AGAGCTGAGATGACCACACATATACTCTGACTTGGTATTCCTTTTTGTGCTATAGCTTAGTAGTTGATTCCTTCACCAGTTTCAAGAATAGTCATTCAGTGCAAATTCTTTCTAGGACATGATGAGTCCAAGCATGGTGTGAAGGGAGGTCATTTGAAAAGATAAGGATGTTGTCCATGTAAATGACCAACCATCCTTCATTTATTTCTTGCTGGAAGGTCTGATTCATGTATGCTTGAAAGGTAGCAGGTGAGTTGCAAAGACTGAAAAACATGATGTTAGGTTCAAAGAGGCCATACTCTGTGGTGAATGCTGCTTTCCAATGATCATTGGGGTGAATTTGGATATTATTATATCCTGAATGGACATCCATCTTTGTGAAGTATTTAGCACTGTGTAACCAAGTGACCAAGGACAATGGGAGCAGGAGAGGGTAAGCATTTTTTACTGTCCAGTCATTGATATATTGATAATCTTGACAGGGATGTAGATCACCGCTTTTCTTTCCAACAAAGAAGAATCTGCTAGCTTGTGGTGACTTCAATTCTGATATGAATGCTTTGATGGCAGTTTGCTCTGTTTCTGACAATGGGTAGACCTTGGACGTTTTTGGGACAAAACCAGGTTTAGTGTCAATGCAGTGATCAATTCCAGGGTGTTCCAGGGGTAACTGATTCAATCCGTCTTTAGCAAAGATGTCAGCAAAGTTGTGGAGGTAAGAAGGGATGAGTTCTTCAAACAATTTCTTCTTTTGTTCAAGTCTGGCTGCTAATGCAGAATGCTGGGCTTTGTTACTGGTTTTAATGTATTCAGTGGACCATGACAAGGGTGTGACTGTGGGTTTCTGTTCTATGGCACTAGTACCATCTTTGGTTAATGGGGTGTCCATAGAAATGTTGGTAATGACCCAGAGCTCAGTAGTGTCAGCAGGGTATCCAACCAAAAATTCATCGTCATTGAGATGATATGTAGCAAGTTCATGTATGGGCAGTGCATAGTCTGAAGTCCATACATTGTTTTTGGTGTCAAAAGAGTCATCATCATCATCAGGGATGGGGTCAAGGTTGGGTAAAACTGGGGGTGCTTCTTTGATTGTTGCTCAGGGGAGTGTTTCTATGACCGTGGGTTGTGCAGGAGGTGCCTTTGGCAGCACTACAACTGGCATTTCTTCTTTCTTCAAACAGGAGTTCTTCCATGTCTTGTTGATCGGGGTTTCGATGGTTTTCTGAAAGAGGGGAAGAAGACTGTTCTTTCTTCATTCAGTGTCAACATCTTCTTCTATTAGATCACTCTTCTCAGTTTGAGAGAGTTCTAGGGTTTCAGCTTTCCACTGAATGACTGGATCCATGGCATGCAGCCAAGGGATCCCTAGCAAAATCTGGTCATGATGGCTAAGTTTCATAATATTGAACTTTCCAAGCATGGATCATTCATTGATTTTCATGATGAGGATGCAGCAGCAGGTGATTGTGCCTCCTCTTGCATAACTTCCATCTGCTGTGGTAACTCAGAATGGTTTTGTAAGTTTATGCATTCAAATTTTGTGAAGCTTAACAAAATCTTCAGAGATGAAGGTTCCAGCAGCTCTGGAGTCGACAATGGTGGTCATTTCAATGGTTTTCAGACAGGTTTTGGAGATAAGGGAAATGGGAATGCAAAGTTCCTTTCTGATTCCTACACCTCAAACAAGTCTAATAGGTACATCAGAAGATACTGACATTGATCCAGTCTTCCACATCAAAAATCCTCATTGATATCTTCATCTTCTTTGGCTGGCTCAGTACAATGTACAGGAGCTTTGCCGTTCTTCTTCTTAGGGCAGTTACAGAAGACATGGCCCTTCTGGTGACAGTTGAAACACTTGCCATTTTGGTAGTGTTCAGTCTTCTCTTCCTCAGTGAGGCAGTCGACCTCCATAGCATTGGGGTCACAGTGATCAATGGAAGGTCTGGGGACATAGCATTGGCTGGTAGGCTTTGTGGTTGTGCAATTATTGTTACAGAATATCGCACTACATTGCCAGTCACTGTCAAGTCTGATTGTGGCTTGAACATACTTGTCAAAGTCCATAGGGACAGTTTCCATCTGATAAATGGTGTTGCCAATTCCCTTCTTGAGTCCATCATTGAAGAATGTGATTAGGACAGCATCTTGCTTTACAGAAGCTTGTGCAGCAAGGGTCCTAAAACTAGTGATATAGGAAGTGAGGTCACCTGTTTGCTTCAGGGTTCAGAGTTTATTCATAGCAGTACTAATGGCATCTGCCAGTGCGAACACTTCTTTGAACTTTGCTTCAAAGTTCATGAAGGTTCCATAGGACTTAGTGGCAGAGTTGTCTACTTTGGTGTAAAATGTTAATGCCCAGCCTATGGCACTATCTTTAGTCATATATGCAAGTGTGGTAATAACTTTTCTCTCATTGGTGTTGTAAACCAATGCATTAATGGTGAAGTATGCTTTTACCAAAAATAACTATCTTAATGCCTAGTCAGGGCTCCTGTCATAGTTGTTGGGTGTTCCAGCTTTGAGCTTGGATGTGGATGTAGGAGCGGACATTCTGATACTGGGATGCACAGAAAGGTTTTGGGGTGGCTGTTCTTCTGGGAATTCATCTACTGATGTAGTTGAATGATGATCAGGTTCTGTGGTTACAGGGGATGGTGTTTGTTTCTCTCTGTCTTCTGTGATATCCAGACCTGCAGCCTCATGATACTCTTCTTCTGGTTCTGCTGGTTCTGTGGGAATGTCATTTGGATTGCTCTCCCACCAATACTTTCTAACCCAAGGGGTTGTCTTGCTTTTAGCTACTGGGGCCTCCCTGGATGGAGAGGTTTGATAAAGACTTTAATCCTTTGTTATGAACTAGGATAGTTCTAATGACAGACAACTCAATAAGAGTCAATGACCTCTGCCAAGATTCTATGCAAGACAATAAGTTGAGCATTCAGTATAAGCTAAGACAGAAGGAGTGCTTCTATCTTAAAGTACAGTTCAGACAACAAGAGATTGGAGGTCTCAAGCAAAGGATGTTTCAGGTAAAAACCTAGTAGGATTAAAGTGCAGAACTAAAGTGTACAAGAGAACTATTTATAGTGAACTACAAGTACTTTAGGGCAGATGTGAGAATGGATATGAGTCAGAGATAAAGGATGCATAAGTGATAGCAAGAATAGGTCATCTAGCAACAGCAACAGCAGTTGTGATGTAATACAAGGTATGAGTCAAAGATAAGTCTAGTGGCAGCATCATGCAGCTCATGACATAATACACAGTAAGAGAGAAAATGAATAGGGGCATACATGATTGTAACAGTACCCCATTTTGCACTTGCAAATGGCTTGTATCATGGTGAACTCCTGACATATTTCAAAGATTTAGGGTGAGAATGAGGGCAAGTGTCATATGCCATTCTGGACTCTCAACTCTAAATCCACTTCTCCAGATATCTGGATCTGAGATCTGGATCTCAAATGATCTGATCTATCTTTATCTCCCTTCCAGAATCCAAACCCTATATCAGTGCCCAACCCTATTTAGACTGCCCGTCTCTGGACTCCAGTTAACCATGTTTCCCTTTTGATTATTGATCCATTACATACATTTCATTTCCAGTGTTCATTATTTGTGATCTGTCCTACTTACTAATAGACTCTGCATATGCTTCGTACATAGCCTTTATGTTTGCTGACTGATTCCTATATGATACCTACAGTATATAAACCTCCTGTAACTCTTGGAAATACTCCAGTTCGAATATCATCTTAGTTCCTGCTCATTCCTGTGTCCTCTGGACTTGAGATAAGTCTCTTGTCATATTCTGAGTCTTAGGATTGCATCCTAGACTACATTTTCAACTCTACCTTAAAGGTAGTCCATCCTCTGTTAGTTTCTAGTCCAGACTTCGTCTGGATTAGTCTTATCCGCTTGCCCAGGTAACATCCAGACATCTGTCAGATTTATCTCATGTTTCAGATCCAGAAGTCTGTTATCCGCCCTAGTCAAAACCTGGAAACTCTGGACAACTGTTCTAGCCCCTGGAAATTAAGGGTGCATACTCGGGAAAGGGGCACAGTGTACAAGCTGAGGCCAAGCCCTTGTGATTCCGACCTCCTTGAGCACGCGACCTTAACAGATCCCCATCACCACTGCCAGTTCCATCAGCCTCCACCATCACTGCAGTAAAAACAGAAACCATCAATAATGTTGTATGTCGCAACTGCCACGCCACCAGACACCATCACAAGAATTGTCCATCATACTACTGTTGGGTTTGCAAAACCTATGCACCCAGCCACCTATCGGTCTTTTGTAAAGATCTGAAAGGCGAAGCAGTAATCCTGTTGATCTGGACTGATATGGGCTTTTACAAAGCTCTCTCTCATTGGGAGACAGAGCAGGATGCTCTCTATTGCACCACTGAGATTGCCAATAGACTGCAGTTTGCTGTAACCGAAGAACAGGATGATTTATTGGACTCTAACTATGATGCTGACCTGATCTACTGGGCTAACCAGGATAACTAAAGTCAGTGACTTTGTCTCTAAACGAGGGGTAATGTTACAATCATGTACACCCCTATTCATTTTCTCTCTTACTGTGTATTATGTCACAAGCCACATGATGCCACCACTAGACTTATCTCTGACTCATACCTTGTATTACATCACAACCACTGTTGCCATCACTAGATGATCTATTCTTGCTATCACTTATGCATCCTTTATCTCTGACTCATATCCATTCTCACATCTGCCCTAAAGCACTTGTAGTTCACTATAAATAGTTCTCTTGTACACTTTAGTTCTGCACTTTAATCCTACTAGGTTTTTACCTGAAACATCCTTTGCTTGAGACCTCCAATCTCTTGCTGTCTGAACCATACTTTAAGATAGAAGCACTCCTTCTGTCTTAGCTTACACTGAATGCTCAACTTATCATCTTGTGTAGAATCTCGGCAGAGGTCATTGACTCTTATCAAGTTGTCTGTCATTAGAACTATCCTAGTTCATAACAGGTACACTATTCTCCTTCAACAAAGCAGTGAGACAGTCACCACATACATTCATCATAGTCAAGTCAGGAGAATCCTTGACAATCCCTGCCTTATCAAGCATCACACCATCAAGATGCTTATTCTTGAACATGAAAGATGTGGAGACACACTGCACAATACATTTTCAGATGATGAAGGTGTCTGTAATGCAAAGAGCATCCAAAATAATTGGCAGGCATGGTGCTCCAGGGTCTGCTGAAATAACAACCTCCATGGATCCAGACTGCCTTTGAGAACAGACAGCACACACAGGAGGATCAGTCCACTTCAAGCCCTCATAATAACAATGCAAGCAATCTAGGACAACCTCTTTTGAGACAGGTGCTGGCCATTCATGCCGGCGCACTCTAGCAAGGTCTCGTGTTTCATTTGTCAACTTGATCTTCTGCTCACACTGTATTATTTTGCATCGGTCAGGCTGTGAAAGGGCTTGATGACTGAGCCAGTCCACTACAGTAGGTCTATATTCAAATGATAGGATCTGTAGAATATATTGCTCATCTGGCTGATTGCAAGGCTGAGATTGCAGTAGGTAACAGAGCAAGATATCACACACCACACTTGGACCAATATACTGCAAGAAATTCACTCAATCTTGAATGTGAATGGTGAGACCATTGCAAGTCTTCTGACACAACCAGTTGTTTATCGACAGATGTCCCTTTGTAGGTAGACCACATATACAATCCAAACACTTTGACAGTTAACTTATGAAACCTCTGAACCAAATCTGTAAGTGGAAGAGCAGACCAACTGATCATTAGCATACTAAGGGGTTCAAAGACACAAACTTGCAGTGGGGGCAGTTGACATAAAGCCACAAATACCTCTTTTCTGTACATATCACCAAAGTATCTCGCCAACTGAGGCACAAGTAGTTGGCTACCCTCTGGAACCATTGTGATAAAGGAAAGCAATGTTTGTAGTTGGTCTTCACTCAATTGTATCACCTGTTGTTGGGTAGCAATGAAATGAGATAGCACTGCACAAACACAGTCCCTTTTTGATTTTCCTCACAAAACAGATAGACAAGAAACACACTCAACTAGGACATTGTCTAAGAGGGCCAACAATTTCTGCTCCTGAAGTTTATTGTCGTAGTAGAACCATTTTGGGTAGACACCTAGTCTCAAAGACAGACACTGCTCAACAGAGAGAGCTTCACTGGAGGCAAGATTGCGCAAGATAATACAATGGCAGTAACCCATGCCAGCAAACTCACTTGGTGCCATTGACAACAATACTCAATGTTAGCTTATAGTTACACAAACACCATCATACAAAACACAACCACAAAATTCCAAACAGTGGTACACTGAACAAGACAAAGGATGAGATTTAAGACAGGTTTTCAACCAAGTGCAAAAATTTTCAGATGTTTCAAAAATGGCAAGATAATATTGTGGATAATAGAGGGCATCATAATAATGAGGATAGTGCTTCACATAATGGGGCTCATCACAGGGAGGACACTGTCCCTCCTCAAGGACACAAGCCAAAAAGCAGGGCGACTTCATAAGAAAAACCCTGAAAACACATGAGCCATACTGCAGTGAAACAAAACGGAAATATATGAACTCACATGCCGTCTGATCCATTCCTGTTCGTCGTACGATGGAGTATTTGGGAGAACAATATGTAAAGGCCAGTGCCCCAAATATTTTCCCACTGACTAAGCCATTTTTGTTCCCATGGGTGCATTTGCAGAGAGTTAGCCATTTGTGTCCAACAAAACCCTCTCTCACTGACATGAGAGTCTGTTAAGAACCATGTTGCTCAAGGGGGTCGAGAGACTGACTCAGAGGGGCTTGGCCTCAGCTCATACGCTGTGCCCCTTACCCAAGTATGTGCCCTTCATTTCATATGAGGTCCAATGATGGTCCAATGAAGTCCGGAGGACTTCCAGAGGCTGGCTACTCTGGTGGAGTGCTAGAGGACTTCTGGAGGAGTGCAGGAGAGTTCCAGAGGAATGCAGGAAGTGCTCAGGAGAGTTCCCACTGCAAGGTAATACTCCTACAGGAAACAGGATGGAAGAATAGGAGGTCTGAGGGTCCAAAGGTCCAGAGGACAGGAGGACAGGAGGATGGAGGACAGAAGGACAGGATGTCCAGAGGTATGAAGGTATGGAGGGCAGGATGTCCGAAGGACAGGAGGATAGGACATCCGAGGGTTAGGAGGACAGGACACCCAGAGGTCCAGAAGGAATAGGGGCTACATCAGACTCCATCCGATGTAGAAACAAACAGAGGTAGACTACCCTAAGGTAGAGTTGGAGAGAACAGGGATTGGACCTAAGTCCAGAAAGAGGGTAAGTGCCAGAAAGGCAAAGTTCTGGCCTAGGGAATCAATCCCTAGGCCTGATGGATAGGACAGACTTAGGTGGACCAAAGTCCGAGAGAGGATTGGGCAAGTAGAACAGGATCTAAGATGATATTCAAACTGAGGAAACTACAGGAGTATCTACAGGGGTTATATACTGGAGACTATCTGAGGGGATCAGTAAGCAAAGGAGCAAGGCTATGTATGAGCATGTGGAAACACATTAGTAAGTAAGATGGAACATAACTAAATGAACTCAGAGATGAAGACTCATACAAGGAACAATAAGCAAGATGGAAGAAGAGGTGACCGAAAGCCAGAAAGGCAGAGATGCCTAAATGGGGATAGGCGCAGGATATCAGATAGAGGGTGGGGATAGGTCCGGAGATCTGGGGATCCAGAAGACATGGTGGATACAAGACTGGGATATGAGAAGGTGATATAGTCTGGAATCCGAGATGAGGTGAAGTCCAGATGTCTTGCTGGATGGAGTGTGCATAGGGTGGATGGGACAGGGGGGTATGGATCAGGCTAGCAGTGGAGATCCAATGGTCCAGAGCTCAGGGGTAAATCCAGAGCAGAGTTGATCCTGCTGAGGTGTGGAGCACACAGCAGAAGGGGATCTGGGAATGAGTTGGATATGAAGTGGGGTCCGGATGTAGGCTTGGAAGGCATGGGAATATGATGGAACATGGGTCCAGATTGTGGGATATGACAGAGTCAGGGATAAGCACCTAATGATTAATCAAGTACTTGCACAACACACATCCATACTACATACTGATAATAGCTGATGATCAAACAGTGCCTGTCAAGATCCTTATGTGTGCATTTACTTTTGAAAAGTAGTCCTACAAATATCAATTTTTATCTCAACAACAAAGCAAGTGCAGGTGACCACCAACTTCACCAAATCGCTTAGTTTTTTCGCTGGTCATCTGCATTCGATTTTTCTGATCGGTTTTGTCGCTTGGACCATGTCAATAGCTTGCTTCGTTGTTGAGATAAAAATCGATCCTTGTAGGACTACTTTCGAAAGTAAATGCACACTTTTTTTGAAAGTTACCACCAGCCTCTACCCTTATGCAAATTGCTGTAAAGAATGCATTATTCTTTTCATCATTGAGACAAAGAGCCGATCCTGCTCTGCAAATATGTACATAGCTAGGCAGAGAATATACATTTTAATGATTTCGTCCGATTATTTATTCAACCAACTCAGTAATTCGACGAGCTCCCGGCGTTTTATCAAAGGGCACCCTCACTGACCACTGTAGCACCCAATTCTTGCCAGGCTTCACTATTCGTAGCTCGCTGTACGCGACCAACCCAGAGCGATATACGATATCCTCTTCACGCCATCCCGTAGCATCCAAGATGAGCTCCTTAAACTCGCCAGCCGTGAACCGAGTACCTTTACCTTCTTCGTGCTTGTACTTCGCACCATCTGGTCCATTGGCCAACCCGACTTGACGACCCCACATAAGTCCACCAGGTTTAACTAGAAAGGCCATTGACCGTATGAATGCTAGTTGCCCCTCAGTCTGGAAGAGATGTAGGACATTTGCTGAGTGCACAAAATCGAACTTGCTTTCCAACCTGGCGTTGCGTTCACAGAATAGAGGATCAAGGGCATCGGTCTGCTTAAACTTGATGGAAGGTGTGTCCCCTTCGTTGTACATGAGACGCCCGATGTCAAAGAATCCTGAACGTCATATTAATAAAGAATTTGTAAAAGACACGAAACTCACGGTTCTCGATATCGAGCCCCATGATGTCCTAGGGCATCTAAGTAAGCATCCGAGCACACGATTCGACAAGTGAGCCGCACCAGTACTGGGAAACCATCCACGACCAACTTCCTTAGATCAGTTCCCATACAACATCCAAGATCAACCAAAGTCATTCTGTATGGACGTGAGCGGCGGGTCTCCTGCACCTCCTGGTGCTGGAAGTGATGATCAATTCTGGGCTCCGCAAAGATGCTTTCACGGATACAAGTATGTGGGGCAACCTGACACGAAGGTGAGTCTAGGCCAAAATACTTTTGAATGGTGCATTACCCTAATTCCCGTTCTCCGCGCATCACCTATTCTTTGAATGACAACAGCAGAGGACTCGTTGGAATTCTTCGAGAACTTCTTATGCAAACGCAGCGTGTCATCTAATCGTTTAAGGAATACCGAATCCGGTTCAAGGTCGACTTTATTGAATAAAATGCTGAAGAGCTGAGTATCGAACTGCTTGGGCGTGAGAGAGAAGCCTCCACCACCGAATAATGCTAGTTCTTTGTCTGGCTGCGCTTCAGAATTTGCTTAAAGAATGATAAGCGACGCTCACCATTGATAGATGTCTCCACGACGCAAGGCCAATTATCCCACCCACAGAACCGTTTGAGTGAGCCTTTTAGGTCGTTATACAACAAAATACCAACAGCACAGTTCAAGAAGAACGAATCGGGGTGCCGGGAGAAGTCCCTCGTCAAGAGCGCGCAGCATAACAGAGCAGCTGACAAAACGTTCCCGGCAGACTCCATCTGCTCTTCCAAATTCCAGGCGGTGTACTCGAGAAGCGGCTTAAGAGTATATTCCAATTTCATGAAACATATGACTTTGTCCAGATCACCCAGCGGTCATCAATCCTCCACGAAACCGGAGCGCGTTCAGAAGTGGGGTCGGAGGATTTGGAAGTGATATCGTGATACATAACGGGGAAGAACCCGTCGAGGTAAAGCGGTTTCGCGAGATCTAAAAAAGGACTATGATGTCCGGCAGCTTCGTAATCTATGAAATGAATCGCTGGATCCTGTTTCTTCGGCGAAATCATCACGTTTCCTCTGTGACCATCTCCTAGTCCCAAACAGGCCCACAGTTTTGGTAAAATTTGACCATGAGGATCGAGAATCTCTTCTGCCTTCCTGAAGGACTCCTGAAGCGGGGGATACTCCACGTCATCGATTCTCCAAGGAAGAGCGATGAAATCATCAAACTGTACTCTGTTGTCTCTGCTGAACCCGGGGGTGGTTGGGTAGTAGTGTTTAGTGAACCTGACATCATTGTGAAGACGGTCGTAATAGAACTTGTGTATTGGAGAGTCTAGTCCCCCCGGAGCGTCGGCCAAGTCCTTGCCGACCGAGTACAGCAAGCCACATTCATACGCACGACGAAGCTCGATATCCACAAACCAGCCAAGGGCCTCTCGCGAAGACTTGAAAGAAAAATCTTCACAATTCCTCGTCATCGCATATTCAAGACGGAAGTCGTTCAAGGTTTTCCCAGGAAGTCTGGTCATAACAAGTGAATTGAGATCGGCATTGTATGCCAAGAGATTTTAAAGCATGCCAGGGGAGATACGAGTGCTTATTACAGGCAGCATCTTGCGCTCCCATTTTATGGAGGCCGCCGATGACACTTTGACAAAGGCATTCATCCATTCAGTACCGCCTTTTCTCCTTATATGCGTGAAGTATGATTGTGAATTCGAAGAGAAGAGGCTGGAGATCATCAGCTCCTCCTTTTTCTCGGAAGTAAACTCGAATTCTCCGGAACCTAAGTCCGGTGGGTTGGTGACAACGGGAATAAGGGGAGTGTTGTTATTCAATTGGATGAAAGTAGGAGGGGCATTGAATAGGATTCGGTTGTAGGGTCCTTGTATGTCATTATGTTCACCCAGAACCAACAATGCTCCCGATATCTGGATAGAGGTTTTGTCATCGGCCTCGGAATCTGACTTTTGTGAGACACCTGCACCGAGACAAATTAACCGACGCATCTCATTCTCCAAATTTTTACGAAGAGTAGGATAATACGTCTCCGACTTATAGATAGATTTGATTGCTTCGTCTAGAGCATCGGGATTAAGGAGAGGGTCTTGACCAAGCCACTTCACTAGAAGTCGACTACGTGGGGGATCGAGAAATTGGTGAGAGGAGGTGTGGAACAGCAGAACCGATGTGAGGAGCAAATCGCAGGTGACTCCCAAGACTGCATACTGGAGAGACTCTGTCGTTGTCGACGAGTCCTTCAACAGGAAGATATCTTGATCTTGTAAGATGGATAAACCCCCTGCTGCACGCCGAGGTTGATGAACCAGGGCCGTCCATCCCAATCTCGGATGGAAACGAGGACAGCAAGGCACGTTTCGGAACGAAGCAACCTTGATGAGATGTGGGGCAGGATCGTTTAACGCCTGGAGGATGTGATCCAGACTCCAGAGTTTGATAGTACGTTTAGAACCATCCGCGGCTACGACCAGAGAAGCGTATAACATCCCAGGCGTCTTCTTCCACATCGTTATCAACGAGATCCTGTGGGTAATTAGCGGATACGAATGGAAGGCAGCAGGAAGTAATCACCGTCCAGGAATCTCCTGGGGCTTCTTTGTTCACTATATGAAGGAGGGAACAGAGACTTGCGCGAAGCTTGTCATTGACGACAAGTCTCTCGATGTGGCTTCTGGATTGAAGGATGCCTAGACCATCCCAGTCTCTGTCGACCTCTTCAGGGAAGGATTGAACTTGAAGGAAATGTGCTCTGCTACCTCCGAGGAGAATAGCGAGAAAACCAAGGCTAGTTGGATCGATAGAAGAGTTTAGGTAAGGCATGTACGTCGTCTGATGAGGGAGCTTGTGAGGGGAGTGGGGGTTCGATCGTCAGGCGTGCTCAATTCTTAAGTGGTCAAGGTCAAGAGCCGCATCAGCCCACTTGTTTGAACAATTAAACGATGCCATGGGTTCGGTTCCCAGAAACGATTAGAACCGGTGTACAGTTACACTGATGCTGACTCGGGAGTCCATGGTAACCTGTTATCATTCGGACCTTTCTCGGTCCCTTCGAACGACTTCAAACCCTGAGTGAAAAAAGTCCGGAGAGTTGGATGTAACTTAGCTTAACGAGTTTGCGAAGCTAACATGTCGGAAACCCGACGAGAAGATCGAACCGACGAAGCTGAAGTTAAAAATGGGCGGAAAACCATGCGGGGGAGTGAGGATATGTCGAGACCGTTATATTCTGCTCAATGACGGCTACGACATTAAGCTGAAGCGATCACGTTGAACAGAGTTTGGGGTCTTTTCATCGTGAATGACGTGAGGGTGTCCAGACTTTTTGCATTCAGGGTTTGAAGTCGTTCGAAGGAACCGATAAAGGTTCGAATGATAACAGGTTACCAGAAACCAATTATTGTCTGACTAGGCCAGAGATTCAGACTTGCGTAAAAGATGTTGATGAATTTAATTAACGCTCGAGGCGTACTAGTCATCGGGCGGTTGGACATCGCGACTGTCAGAGATAAAGTAAGGATAAAGAGAGTGAGCTCGACTGGTAGTCAGCCGAGATGACGAAGCAAATGGCATTGAAACCGGAAACCTTGGCGTCGATCGATGGAATTACCGATCACATGATGCAAATATTGACGCATTGTTTGGAAAATCGGTCAATGAACCATCTGCTTCGCTTTGTTAGTACATTGTTGCCGTAGCACTCACTGCGGACTAACTGCCACTAGGTACCTCTATTGCTCTCGACTGCCTCCAGCGGGCATCATTTCACATGCTCACTCCTGGCACTGATCGCGTCGAAGGCGCGCCTTTCGTCAGAATTAGTAGTTTATATAGATACAGCACAATGTACCTTAGATCCACTTCCCCCACCACGAGCTGCCTCGATGACCCTTGCAGTGATCGTTTTGTCATCATGGAATGTCAACAACCGAACTACTTCATCCATTGGACACCAGACAGCATCAAACTCCTCGTCGTCTTGTTCTGTCGTATTCGTCTGGCGTATGGCGCAAGAATCGCCTCGTGCCGCATACCAAAAGATGATCTTCAGCACACCCTGAGTCATCCTTTGCGTCACAGCGACGGGTTCCGTTGTCCCTCCAGGTATCGCAGATCGGACATTATCATTCCCATGGAGGGTAGCAAGGGTGGTCAACTGAAGGGGTAGTAGCTCAACGATGTATCCTGTTTCTTCGTACGTCTCGCGAACGGCTGTTACTTCAAGCTGTTCCCCCACATCTTTTCTCCCCTTTGGAAGGCAATATTCGCCTGTTTTTCTCAAGTAGATGACGAGGACTTTAGATTGATCGATATCGAGGGTAACTGTGCCACAACTGATGACAAAGGATTCGGAGAGATGAAGAGATCTATTCATTTTCTTTCAGAATCTGGAGTGGGGCCTAATAGGAGCTTATTGCTCTTGTGACGGTACAGGATCGTGGGCTCCAACTCCGGAACGTGGTTCAACTCAGGACAAGGGCGGAGTTATTGGACGTACTCCCGGGTTGCCTTCGACAATTCTATATTTGCAATTAGTATGGTGGAATGGCGTCCCTGCATTCCATGCTGCGGGATAGAATGGTTGACATACCAGGAAGCGTTCAAGTTTGTTACACCGCAAGGTAAGGATTTGTTAGAAGCAACAAACTGTACGATGCTTAGTCATCATATTTCCCATATAGTTATATGTCACGTGTTGGTAGTTTCCCTTCTCCTTTGACTGTACTACGACAAACGGAATCCATTACCCTGTCACGTCTGTGCGAGTCCAGTGCCTAACTCAAACTCTGACAGGATGAGGTGGACCCGTCATCACTGCAGAGTCCACTATCTTCTTTCCATGTCATAGGTCCCTCGCTCTGGCTCGCCCACCAGTCCACGTCGGCATAGCCCATACCTGATTGTCGCCTTGCTTTCGACAGCTTACTATGCTCGCCAACCAACCAGTCCCCGCCGGTGCTGTGCGTCCTGTTCATAAATGTTTCTCAGTCCTCACTCAATAAACCTTCAAAGGTCTGCATGCATGAATCAGGGCTCGAGGGTGAGCTCATGATCGCACAATTTTGGGTCGATAGTGTCCAGCCATTGCAGGGGCCAAACGCTAAGGAGCAACGGATCGCATTTGCAATGAGAGCTTCAAGTTACAGACGAGCATCATCACTGGATCATCTGTGATAACTAACTATGATAAAAACATAGAAACACGACATACAGCAGCAATCGCATCCTATTCCGCCATGACCATGTTATTTCGCGCAGTGACGAAATTACTGACTCGGAGTTCTTTGCATCGTACGTGCAGGCCATGAACAGAGTGGCGACGGGGGTATCTACAAGCACAACGCAGAGGAGTAAGTCCGATTCGTATTGATATAGCTACCATGCCGAGTCACTAATGCATCACACTCAGATACGACATCCACAAGCACAACACAAAGGGGTAAGTTCACTGTTTGTCATATTGTCGATATCACGTTATATACCCCTCTAACCTTGTTGTAGCAGGCTTTTCGACTGTATGATCCTCACATCTGTTGTCATCCCTGGCTGCAACCACTCTCTGCATGGTGCTCGCATGATTCAGTGGCTCTCGGCCTGTTTAACGAGAAACGCATTTATGGTGGGGATATGACTTCAGGGGCAACCGCGATAGATGAGTTTGTAGAATGTCGTGTTTGAGTTGGCTTGCAGAGCGGAGGAAGAGGTTGAGATCGAGATAGGACATAGCGGCCAGCTCGGTGTGCTGCTGTATGATGACAAATATGGACTCGACATTCATGGTCCGTGCTCAGCGTGTGACACAGCAGCGGGCAGCAGCAGTGATGGTGGGATGTTCATGACAGGCGCTATCCAGTGCAGATGCAGACCTGAGACCAAGACCGGGTATTTCAGACTCATCCTCTGGCTTATAGTCCAGTTAGGATGTATCAAAGTAGCCGTGTTGTCTGAGATGCCGATACAGACCTCACACATCGAACTGCCCAATTCCTGGACCTTCTGGCTGCTAGGCTACCCACTATCTTTTGCACCGTGTCTCTTGCTGCCTACACTCTCACATCACATCTGACTACGCGTTGAGGTTTCTCACATGTCTTTGGCTACTTGCATGTTTCCCGTTTTGCGCCGTCATGTATTCTATTACTCAGATGGTACGCAACTTAGTGTTAGAACGCACTTCAATGACAATGGCCGCCCATTGCAAGACAAACTGGCATTCTCATTTAATACTCCTCGACTGATTTTCACATAGTATCTTGTGCAAATCACGGAGAAATAAGTACGAGATACAGCATCAGCTGCTGCTGTATACTAGGATGAGTGGTGAAGCTGTGGTGAGTCCCTGATATCTGTTGGGTAAGTACATACACGAGTCTTGTGCATCATGCTGTGCGTGCATAGTTGCCCAGTGTTATAAACTTGGTACCATCTTACCTGTATTCCCTCTTACCTAGTATCCTCTGACCTATCTGATCAAAATGCCCCCTCCACTGCAGGTCAAAGATTTTGTCAAGGATTTGGGCAAGGTCTTCGCAGTTCGTTTGATGCGCCCCAAAAAGAACGGACCTAGACAACGCAGCTCGACAACCACCGATCATAACGGTGATGGCTCCATCCATGCACAAATCCCTAGCGCCTTTGCCTTTCCTTCACCAACTCTTTCTTTGAATTCATCGCCAGCACACTCTGCGAGCAGCAGAGAGCCAGGTCTCGAATCCTCCACCAATGTTCCATCCGCTAGACACTCGGGGGGCGTATCCCTTGCCCGCGAAGCTTCTGACATGGCTCAGCTAGCATTGCCCTTGGTGCAGGCTGTTACAGGTGCAATCCCACTTGTCGGTGCTCCGATGCAAGCGGCTATTGGTGGATTATTGACAGGCCTTCAAGCTATAGACGTGAGAGCTTGTATTATTGCGAGCACATTTCTTGATTTCAAAGGTCGCTACAGAGACGTAACCAGAATCAGGCGGACCTCAATAGCTTGATCTCACGACTCGATCGACTGAGCCGCGAATTGTGTAACGCCTCGCCTGCCTCGGATCCTGTTGAACAATTCCGAAGAGATTCCTTTGTTAGGTATTCACGCTATCGGTGTATGCTTGGATTCACCTGACTTCGAGTTGTACCCAGGATGCTACAGGACACCTCGGCCCAAGTGACAACGTTGCGCGAACGTTGTCTTGCATCCACATCCGTCACACAAGCTATCGCTGGATGCTTTGTTAAAATCGATCGCTATCTGGCGGAGTATTTGGTTGTGTTCTATTCTCTAACGAATGTTTGCACCACACTCACTATTCTGTTTGGTTAGTGGTCATCCCAAATGCAAAGTCAACGTGATATACACGAAGTGCTGGTAATTCTGCAGAGGGAACGAGAGGATCGTCAGAACTTGTTGATGACGATCGAAAGCCTGGTCACCCGCAGGCAGTGCTCTGTTGGAGGCTGTGTGACACTAATAGACGCAACAGGTCACCAACATTCGATATCGGTGAACTTCTGCACCTCATTTGAGGTACGTTTCGCCAGCGAAATCTATCTTAGGAAAGCATACTGATCAAATTATCTTTAGCAATTCAATGAGATGCTCAAAGTTCTATTCAAATGCAACTCGGTTGAAGCTCGAATTCAGAGACGATATATGGAGAGCGAACAGTACGATTTGTGCATTGACGAGGGCACGCAAGTAACTCAACTTACAAGCAATAAATGGTCAAGACTTGAAGCGGGCGCAAAGGTTGTTATGAGGATCATTATTCAACAGGGGACGACATCATTCTCTGGAGTTTCCTACAGATGCTCTTGCGGCGCGGTGAATCCCCTTAGCGTTAGGTCTATCATATATTCGCTTGAACGGCAGGCTAGTTCCTCAATTGATTGGTAAGTATGCTTCAAGTCTTTTGGGCCCTGGCTATGTCTGACAACTGGCAGTCGAGAGTGTGGACGACGGTTTCAGATTTCCCGTGTATCATCCCGTGAACAGCGGAGTCCTAGTACTCGATCGTCTAGCACCGATTCTGATCACACAACTGACCCAGGAATGGACCTTATTCGCAACTTTCATATCCAGCAATCTGTATGTCATCATGAAACTGTAATCTTAAGCTGAATACTTAACAAACATTCTGCTCTTAGGAAGTGCGTGAGGGTGCCTTTTGAGCTGCTTACTTGACACTGATCACGGTGCCAGGACCAGGCCTTCCACTCTCTTGACGAGACGTTCTTGTGTATGTGGAGCGAACCACATGGATTGCGCTGCAACGCCTTAATACGTGGCCATCACCTTTCTGCTCACCTCCGTGAGGCTCACGGGGTTCGCGGTCCAGATGACATGCACGTTAAATGCTCGTGGAATTGCTGCAACATGATGATGATGAAGGAGAGCCTCACAAGACATGTGCAAGCGCTGCATCTGTCCATCTTATATCCTTGCGAGACCTGCAACCAGCAATTCACGCGCTCGCACAACCTCCTTGTTCACAAGAGACATTGTACGGGTCCGCGGGAGTAGATGTCAGGGTCACGAATGTCTCTTGCGTATGACCGATGCTGATTGTGCGATTCCAGGTGTTATCTCGGTGTTTCGATCTAGGACAGATTACGGCGTTTGCTCTTATTTTACCTGTGGTGTCTTAAGTTCAGCTGGTGCTTCTACTTATGTAATTGATGTTGCGTCAATCTTTTGGAGTTGCACATGATGCCTGGCTAGTTTGAACGGTCTGGCGAAATGGCAACTTTTGTTATTTCGCTAGCTGTAGTCCGGGGCACTCAGGTGCCGTTTTGTGTCTACCCCTAAACATCAGCATGTAGAATGGAACCCGCAATTTTTCCTTAATTGACCAGTCTCGACAGTCTAACACTGATTGATCATGATGGCAAAGAAATTGAAGGGGACTAGTCTGTCGGTTGATGTCAAGAGCTGTTCGTGAGCAGTGGCGCAGTTAAGGTGAACGGCAGGTTTCATAGATCCAACGATGGGAAGAGCCACGCTGTACTTGAGATACGACGCGACGGTGACACACTGAAGGGCAATTTGCAATGATGTGCTTTTGCAAAAAATTGAGTTGGTCTCCTCCAGATCATGAAAAAAACGGAAACAGTCGTTCCTTCCGTCTCTGTGACCGTCGCGACTGTTTGCTTGATACCGAGGCAGTAAAACTTACTTCAATCACCACACAACTCATACTCCCAAATAAAAAAGTCATGACTGTCATTAAAACCGAGAGCGCATAGAAAGGCAGACATGAATAAAATACGTATATACTTCAAGTAAAAAGAACGCATAAACAACCACAAGAAACGCAGACCAACAATTCAATACAAGTGTGACAGAAGAAAGAGAAAAGAAGAAAAAAGGATAAAATAATTGTAATGCGATGCGATGCGTGAATGCGTGCATGAACGGGTGGTATGGGGTTGGGGTGGAGTGATATGCCACCACGAAGGATATTGATGTATGAAGTTGAAAAATGAGTGCGATGCGTCAAAGAGAGCGAGGGACAGACACGATAGACATAACAGATGAGAGACACCCGAACCATCCGATGCATGCACATTCCACAGCGGAATACCTGATACTCGATACGTTTTATCCATTGCAAATAGCACATTGGGAAACGGGAGTGGGAATAGAAAAATACGCACTCCTCACCCCCTCAATACTTGCTTATTCTGGTTTCATGCGATATAGCACGGCAGCAGCCGCGACGCTCAAGACAAGGACGCCAACGGCAGCTGTTATTGTCGTTGATGCCGAATGCAGCTACGCGCAAGGCGTTAGAACCAGTGGTTGTATGCGTGTAGAAAACGAAAATACTCACCCGTTGCGTCACCTCTGTCTGCGTCTGCATCTGTAGTTGCGGTTTCTTCCCCACAGTATCCGTACCCCCGGCATCCGTGATAGATGATTCTGGGGTTAGAGGTTGCACACCCTCGTGCTTCTCCAACTCACCCTCTACCTCAGGTTCGCTCCCCGCAATCGACGGTCCAGGCGAAGGAGATCGTGATCGACCTGCATCATTCCCGTTCACAATCCCATTTCCATTCTTCTGCGCATCATCGTCCAACTCGATGGAAGACACAGATGGAGATCTCGAACGTCTTCGTCTTCGCGCTTTCCCCCGACCAGGATTAGAAGCGACGCTCACAGGACTCGGAGGCGTCACCAGTCCTCCACCAATAGGGTTCGTCCCGTTCGTAGTATGCAGCTTGAGGTCACCGTTTTGAAGTCTTGCATGTGTTTGCGCCTGTACGTGCGAAGTAATGACAGTCGATACCCGTGCGTCTAGTCCGTTTTCTAGCCCCTCAAAGGCCCGGCGTAGCCGTTCGCGCTCTGCGCCCCATTCTTCTTGCACTGTGCTCCATTGCCCTTCCACGCCCTTCTTCCACTCTGCCATCAGAGCAGTCAACCCTTCTGCAGGGTCCGGTTGCTGTTGTTTCTGTGCGCGAAGCTGGGCTTCTACCGCGCTTTCTACGGCCTTGGCGAGTTGGGCCTCTACAGCTGCAGCGATCTGCGTCTCGAGCTGCCGGTCTGCAACCAGCGCCTCCAGCGCAGGTGATCTTGTCCTGCAACACAGTGATCGTGCCTTGAGCGGCAGCGTGTTGTGCCGCTAGGGAATGGTTGACTTCCACAGCACTATCTATGCGTCCACTGAGAGCTGCAAGCCGTGCTGAGAGCTCGTCTAGTGCAGGGTGCGATGGCTGTGGCGAAGGAGATCGTGACCGTGATCGAGATGTCGAAGGTTCAACGTTGGATGCACGGGCATGCACAAGCTCGTCCTCGTCCATTCCCATTCCCGATGGCTCCGGCGTCCGTGGCCTGCCCAGCTCCTCCCTCCTCCGTGCACGCTCCCGATCCTCCTCACTCTCATCCTGCTCTTCGTTCTCGTCCTCTTCTTCGACGCGCTCCAACTCATGCGGGGTGATCGTACGAATGCTAGATGCTTCGTCATCGTCTTGTTCACGGCGACCGCGCTCCAGGTCTACATTCATGCCATTGTCCTGCTGGGAACGTGCGGATGAAGCGTGGATAAGGTCGCGGAGAGCTGCAACCTCGGCCTTGATGGCCTCATGCTCTGCAAGCATGTCCTCGAGTGCGCGGACCTTGTTGACATGGCTTGCGAGGCTGGCTTGAGTCTCGTGTAGCTCTGTACGCAACTCAGAAAGGGCAGGGTGCTCCGGGGGAGGCGCAGGGGGTTCTGTATTTGCGGGCGCGGCAGGTGCGGGTACAGATGCAGGGCTTGTCGATGTTTGTTGTGAACGCACGGGAGGGAGTGATTGAGGGAAGTGCGGTAGGTTTTGGGGCTGTGAGAATGGAGATAGTCAGTATGTAAGGATATAGAAAGTAACGGAAGACGGACCACGGAGCCACCGAGCGTGTCGTGAATATCATTCATTGAAGTGCTTAGGGAATGCAGTTCTGCACCGGTCTCGCGACTCTTTTGGAGTTCGCCTTGAAGCCTACTTAATATGTGGTCAAAGGTTAGGCCATTTTTGCCCGGTGGTCGCATACTACCGCCCATACCACCAAGCTGGCTCTGGAGGGCGGGGCGGCGCTGCGGATGTGCAAAGCTAAAGTTATTATTACTTCCAGATGATGAAGTGGCGGGAGGAAGGACAGAGGGGATACTGGAAGGAAGAGAGACGGATGATGGGATGGCCTCTACGCGGGCAGCGAGGTGTGCATCTTCATCTGTGAATACACACATGACACGGGCGGCAACTTTGTGGTGGATTGTGGTCTTGTTGTCTTCACCAATGATGTCGATACCAAATTCCTGCCAAGGGATTGGGTGGGTCAGACGGGGAAAAGTGAGGAAAAACATACCACTATATCATCGTTTTTGAGCTCAAATGGCTCGGACTCAACTCCTTCTGGGCTGAGTCGTTCGCCGTTGATGAAAGTGCCATTAGAACTTTTCACGTCTTTGATGTATATCTTCCGGAACGCCACGTCCGTTAGTCTTTCCCCCGAAAAACAGAGAATAAGACGCACCTTTCCACTATCCTCCCAAATCTCTGCATGCTGTCTGCTTAGTACTTTTGAGTCAAAATAACCGTTTCTCTCTCCTGGGATCGTCTTTGTGTTTGTCTGGCGCCCGATCTTTACGCGCTGACCATTGTGAAGGGAGATATGTTTTGGAATGAAAGTGTCGTTTAGAGGATAAAGGTAGAGAGAAGGATACGGCGGGTGCACATGGGGAGAGGAGAAGGGTTGAGTCGGGGCCATCGCTGCAAACGTACGGCGGTCGAGGTAAATTATCGTCAATCCCTTCTAGCCGCATTCCACAACCCAGTCAACGCTTATGTAATAATTACCTAATTCATCCATCCTCTGCGCACGAACCTACCCGTTACCAATTGGCCAATATTCCTTCCGTTATAACGTGCCAAGCATCAAGCAGACATGCATCTTTCATTTCTGATACCTTCGTGAGCGGCGTTTTCTGGTAAAACGAAACTGACCAACTGTAATAAAACATTGATCACTTGCATCCCAATATTAAATATTTAGGAGCGTGACACTCGATCGGGCGAGTTTTCCCCATTCCATCATAGTTTAAACGCTCTGCCCACTGACCGTGATTGAAATTTAGATAAGCATACCTTGATTGAATGTGGACAAGTACCAGCATTGCCCAGGCTCGTGCTAGCAATAGCGCGCAACTTCTTCTCGGTCGCCGAGAAGAAGAAAAAATGCAAGTCATACAAAGCAAGCGGACCCTGGTGTTTTGAATGACGAAACGATTGAACACTGCCTCCAACATGTGATTTAAGCAAGCCTCAACTGGCGCTTACAACCACGGCGTGCAAACTGTATCATCTGAGCCTTATCTGGTCTCCCAATCGCCTCCACCATCACTAACATCTTTCCTCGTCCCCATCTATCAATTGATCGAGCTCTGACTCGTTGTCACTGACCAGCAAAAGACTTATCATCATTACTAGCGAGAATAGCTTCTCTGTCTCTTATTACAAACTTATACGCCAAAAAATTCTTTATAGAAGAAACGAGGCCGGGTCAAGCACTTTACCAAACCGAATAAAAGCAGGACCAGAAGCGTTCCCTAACTCTCGCCTCATCGTTCTCTACTAGTATCCACAAGCCTATGGTGTACAGTGTCGCCAGAATGGAAAGGTAAGCAACTTCATTGTTATACCCACTGTGCAGTTCAACAAGAACCAGTCAGGAATGAAGTACTTGGTGGATAGAGTTTCAGCTGCTGGATGGCGTTGCATATCTTCAAGACTATAGTCTGTTCATGGTTTCAGGAAACCAACCTTTCCCAGGAGCATGACTCGGTGAGTGAAGAGAGTGCTACTGAGAGCGACGAACTCATGGTTGAGTATAGACGCGGAGATCTTGTTCCCGGATGTGAGTGGCATCTCCCCATTCGGTCGGTCTTACATTGTCAACCACAATACTAGGACTCCCTCGTGGAAAAAAACCACGCCAGAACGTCCTGCAAGAAGCTTGGCGCAGTTGTACCTTGTTGAGCCACTTCGCGTGCACATTGAGCCTTGCTTTCTTAGGCGCTAGTTCCAATACAATAAGCACGTCGTGGGACTGTTCAATTCACCAGTAGGAAAGGCTTGGGATGCGATAGAGAGTGGTCATCTTCGTAGCAGTGTCATCCGATGGTACAATGGTCGTGACTGCACGTGCAGACGCCAGGGTACAGTTGTGGATTGGGTGCCTGCTGATCGAGACCAAAGGACGCGAAAGCTGGGTATGGATTATGTTAGTTCAGGGACAATGCACACATCTCCTTGTCATCAGATCATACCATCCCGAAACGACGGTTGAATGATGGGGAGAACCTCACCGTTCTTCGGGGTCATACCAACAGTGTAAGATCCTTCTGTCTATCCTTGGATGAATGATATCTTGTGGGTGCATCCATGGACTGCTCAGTTCGCCTCTAGGATCTAAGACCAACCAGCAAATGGGAGACCCATCCCTGCACGATGACGAATTCATGGTTCTTATTATGTCGCCAGTCCCTGATTGGATACTAAAATTTATGTGTAGAGCCTCGCGAAGTGCTCAAGGAGCAGCGTGGTGATCGGTTGCGTGGTGATCGGTGGCGTGCGTGCACATCACTGTTGTCGACGTCTTTTCTTAACAGGTTTTTATTTCATTCAGAGTGCACATAGTGACATTATGAAGTCGGATACAAAGCTGAAGGCAGGTCATCTCTTTGTTCCTTCATGGTCCACGCCTCATTTATCTTGTCAGGTCATCAACACTCCCTTACCCAAACAGCTGGACAGAATTTGGAAGATATGTCAGTGATATTTCATCTCTCTTGTGCTTCCTGTGCCAATACATGGCGATGCCTTCTGGGGCGGTGGTACGAATCCCATGCCTGGCCATTCAGCTCTGTTCGCAGGCCCATCACTTCCTTTGTTTGGTTTGATGTACTTCAGCACTCGACCTGCTACTGTTCCTCGACGATCACCAATCCAGCCCTGGCATTTGGAATTTCAAAAATTTCCCTCCTGTAAATGCTCCTCCTGCCCACGATGACGATGTGAGTCTATCTGAATCATTAATACTCAGCACCCTTGACCTTGAAGGCTCACTCCGAATGCGTTTGAAGCCTGGCCTACTTAAAGGTTATCTGCTTCGAGTTCAATGCGGCACTGCTCCTCATGACACCGTTCTCGTTTAAGCAACGCTCGAATGCCATCTCTTACACTGGTGTCTTCAATCCAACGAGGGATATCTCTAACAGATGCGGGGTGATCCAGACATCCTCCCTCAGCGTCTGATCATTGCAAAGATCAGCAAGTTTGGTAGGGAGAGGGGCAGGAAGTACACTGGCGCGCAGGGCAAGACTTGTCCATCTGAAGCGGGACTTCATTTGCGTCGTCATTGAAGTGAATGCCGACTTTCTGAAAGATAAGTTCACAGGTTCGGGATCCCGTGTCCTTCGGAACCGGTTCTGGGTAACCCCGAACCCCGAACCAGTCTCTGGTAACCTGTTATTATATTCGGACGTTCCTTCGAACGACTTCACACCCTGATCACACAAAGTTCGGACACACTCACGTCATTCACAACGACAAGACCCCAGTTCAACGTTTGCACTTTCAAATTCTCCGGTGTTACGAGCACTCCGAACTTCAAAATGGGGTAAGACAGTTCACCAGTATTTGACTGTGATTCTCAGATTCATCTTTGTTTGTTGCCGCTCGAGGTGCGATACAGTGTCCTCTCGGGGAATGTTCGATTTTTCACTGTCCGCGACTACCATGTTGGCCGATATGGTGGTCAGGAAGCGCGTTTGCTTTGACGATAGGCTAGTGTTGGGGTATTGTCCATGGCCGGTGTACATGAAAGGCGAGTTCATTTTGGGCAGGTATGTAAGACTGGAGGCGGGCTCCACATGCCGGTTGGTGCGATAACGACGACTACTGATCAATCAAACATTTACGTGATCGCAATCAGCTCCTCCAGATTCAATCTCTACGGATACTGGGCCACTGTCCTTCCGGAGGGTGCGAAGAGTACTTACTCTATAAGTAATGTCAAAGTCGAATCGAAGTCCAGCCACAGACTACAACTGAACGGTGAATGCCAACTTTCTCATACATTCAACTTCGAATTCAACACAACATGACTTCTGTCGTCAAAAAGCTCACCTTCGTCTCCAGAGACCTCGGCATAGATGCCGACCTTCTTCTCACTTTCGACGATCAGCCTACGGCTGAAATGTACAAGAAGTATTACCCATCGGCTTTTGCGTACGTATATCCCTATATCCTTCATCTTTTCGTCTTTGTTGTCGTGTGCTCTCACTGATGTAACTTTTCGAATAGGGTCAGGAAATTTGGAGCTGAAGGTGGGTGAATATTGTCGGCGCTTTGGGTTCTCTAAATAGGCAGTGTCACTGGCAGGCATCTACCGCGCCGATGTTATGTATCGATCACAGTAAGGGGCATTTGAAATTTATGTGGGGAGCTAATTTACAATGCACCCCTCAGACTTGCGTTCACCAAGGTTATCGTGTCCAGTGATGACATCCAAAGTGCTTCGACCGAGGTTCCCATTAATGTGAGTCTGATAGAATCATGAATTTGTCGCTGGTTTCATAGACTGCTACTTTAGATTGGGGAATCTACCATTTTAACCCAGCAAGCTGAAATATACCGTTTCTCCGTAAGTACGCCCAATTTGCCTTTCTCGATATCGGTTTGCGAGACAAGCCTAGGATCCCAAAACCGACCTCTTGGTACCGAAGAAAAATATTCAATGTACAAATAATGTACCATTCAAGAGGATATAGGCGTTGGTACGTACAATTCCTACCCTAAAATTTCTCGCTCTACATGTTGTCCAGGTTTCATTGTGAAGGATGGGGACGCACCCAAGACAACCCTAGTTTGGCGTGGTGTAGGACACGGGCAGAAGTTGAACGTGGAATTTATTCCGCGTCTACGAGGTTATATTGCTGCGGACCCCTACAAAGAGGATGGCTTGATCAAGCGCCCAGTTGACAGTGACCGCCTTTTCGACGAAGACCTCACTGCTCTTGACAAGCATACCACGTGGGCCATCACATATGATGAGACAGCTGGAGTCTTTAGCATCGATGAGGAGATAAAGAGTGGGGCTCAAGATCTATGATGACCTGTTGATCATTTCCTTTTATGAACCTCTTTCAAATGTTGGTTGCCGTCGATTACTGGTATGTACAGTACATGTGCTGTTTCGATGTCGTTATCTTCTTGTAAACCATTCCCGTTTGTTGTGCAACTCGTGTTTTCAAAGTGAAACATGATAAGTAGTCTAGTAGGTCTTCAAGACGAATGTCCAACGTTCAACATACAGCTCACAAACAAACTGGAACATAGAAGAAGCGGTCCATTTCTTATAAGTCCTGTTACATAGAATGGCCTTTGACATCATTCCTGCAGAGAAGGATGGTTGATTGGTGGTTGATGAGGTATCCTTCAACTAGATAGGTATAATGGTAGTTGATAAATTTTGTTTGTCAAAAAGAAGTCCGATGCTTACAGTACTGTTACACACTGTGAGTGCCTAGGTGAACAGGTCACTGTATCTAAGTCCAATACTCAACAATCTGAAATCAAGGACAATGTTCTATTAACGTCTATAGTATATTTAGAGTTTTTGAGACCCTCAAAACGCCCTCGAGTTTTTGCTATGACAAAAACTGATGATGTCAAAAACTCTGGAGTTTTTCACGGAACACTATTCCAGACTCACGTTGTGAACAGGCACAGCTTGCGCAGCACAGTAGTTAGACGTCAAATACAAAGTAAGTTTTTTATCTATTGCTGTGAGCCCTCAGCGCTCAGCACCAACATTGCGCAAGGCGATTGTTAATCTCCGATCAGAAAAATAATTCCGTCGCTGAAGATCGTTGAATCATTCCTGCCTATGTGAGTGTTCCCGTGCATCTCAACACTGCAAATGACAAAATGCTCGTACCTAGGATCCAGCGGATTGGCTCAATTCACAGTGACATATACCCTTCTTTGTGGCGAAATGGAAACTTTGACTTACGACAGGACCACCTCAGATCTAAGTATTCTGTTGTCAGCCATTTACCCCGATATGCTCGACAATCGTGCATTATAATATCGGTTCGGAGCGCTCTCAACACCGGTGACATGCTACAGGGAAGTCGTTCCCAATCACGTATATTCTGACGTGGACCCATTCATCAAATGTAGATGTCATCTCATAAATAAGGGTGGCACGTCGGCGAGAACGGCGGACTGATGGAGCACGCCTCACATCAGGGCATTCATGCACCCGGAGATGCGATAGGAATCACCGATATTTGTCGATGAATCTTCCCTTTCAACGATGACCCCTTTTCTTCATTTTTCGTTGATATCTGGCTATGTGTTCCTGTCGGGAAGGTGAAGGGCTTGCTAACTGTGATGATTAGAATATTTTTAGGATGCTGGTGGAGAGCTGCTGCATTGCACCGCCAGTCCAAATTCGATTTCACTCACATTCCGAAGAAGATATATGATTGGTGTATTACAGACATATTTTATGAGAAGACTCTGTGTGAGCAACCTGAGTGTGGAGCCGGTAGACATGCCGGAGCCGGTAGCGAAGGGAGCGCAATCAGAGAGCCTCAGAGGGGTGAAGGACGATATCAGTAATGCGGGAAGTATTAGGAGCTGACATCTGACGCGAGGGACCACTGGAGGCGAATAATGGCGTATGTGGTACCTGTTGTCGGCGGCATGGGCATAAGTGCGTAGGTGCATAGGTATGGTCTGCGATGTTGCGCACGCGAGTAAAGAGCCGCGGCCGTCGTTCCAGAAGCAGATTGAAGATTGGAAGCTGCAGCCAAAGTAAGAATAATATTTGAATCAGCGGCGCCAGAGTTGTCATGAATTATTTAATAGAGGGAATCAAACATGGCTTGGCGCAGAGGAGCAGTTACATTTTGATAGTGCTTAATACCTTGGAATCACCGCGATGTTTGCATTTCCAGTAGTAATGATGCGAGCTGTTGTCAACTCATCAGTGATGCGAGGGGGCGCCCTCCAGCATGCACCATGGACGTCGTTTTTCATGTTCTCTTGAGAACTCTCCGCGAGTCTCGTATACCTCGGGGTTCCGAGGACCAGGCATAACCAGTTTTGCCAACTTCATCAAGTCTCGTCATCGCACCGCTCCTGCCCGAAATGAACTCCGCACCGGTCATGGACAACCCAACACTACCCTATCGTCAAACGAGGACAATGTATCATACCTCAAGCAGAGATGAATCTGAAGGGAAGAATCATTGTCAAATATCGGTGAACTGTCTAACCCCATTTTGACGTTCGGAGTGCTCGCAACACCGGAGAAGTCGAGTGAAAACCGAGGTCAAGTTCCAATGTGGCCAAATCATTGCGTACATCGACAGGCCCCTGTCCCTCCAGGGGGTGCAAAGAGTGGTATATAAGTCGTGTCGACTCAGCCATAGGCCACAACTGAACGTTGAACACCAACTTTCAATCTCTCTACGCCATGGCTACCTTTGTCAAAAAGCTCACCTTTGAATGCAACGACCTCGGCATAGACGTCGACCTTCTTCTCACTTTCGACGATCAGCCTATCGCTGAACTGTACAAGAAGTATTACCCATCGGCTTTTGCGTACGTACATCCCTATATCCTTCATCTTTTCGTCCTTGTTGTCGCGCGCTCTCACTGATGTAACTTTTTGAATAGGGTCAGGAAATTTGGGGCTGAAGGTGGGTGAATATTATCAGTGCTTTGGGCTCTCTAAATAAGCAGTGTCGCTGGCAGGCACCTACCGCGCCGATGTTATATACCGATCACAGTAAGGGGTATGCGAGTTTATGTGAAGAGCTAATTTACAATGCACCCCTCAGACTTGCGTTCACAAAGGTTGTTATTTCCAATGATGTCATCCAAAGTGCTTCGACCGAGGTTCCCATTAATGTGAGTCTCATAAAAAACACAGATTTGTCGTTGGTCTCATGGACTGCTCCTTAGGTTGGGCAATCTACCATTTTGACCAAGGGAGGGGAAGTATACCGTTTCTCTGTAAGTACGCCCAACTTGCTTTTCTCGATATCGGTTTGCGAGACAAATCTAGGATCCCAAAACCGAGACCTCGGTGCCGAAGAAAAATATTCAATGTACAAACAACGCACCGTTCAGGGAGGATATAGGTGTTGGTACGCATAATTGTTATTTTGGAATTTCTCGTGCTACATGTTGTCCAGGTTTCATCGAGAAGGATGGGGATGCACCCAAGACGACTCTAGTTTGGCGTGACGTAGGGCATGGGCAGAGGTTGAATGCAGAGTTTACTCCGATTCTACGCGGGTATATTGGCACGGACTACAAGGAGAATAGCTTGATCAAGGGCCAAGTCGAGACCGATCGCCTCTTCGAAGAGAATCTTGCTGCTCTCGCAGACCATACTACGTGGGTCATCACGTATGATGTCTCCACCGGAGTCCTCAGCATCGATAAGAAGTGAGATTCAAGTTCTATGGTGATCTCTTAGATATTTCCTTTCTGTTCAAATTGTGTACTTGTGACTCGGAATATGTTGGCTGCTATCATGTACTTGAATACGTCTGTGCTCCTTGAATGATGTCGTTACTATGTCGTAAACCATTCCCGTCTGTTGTGCAACTCGTGCCTTCAAAGTGGACCACGATAAGTGGCCGAGTCGGTCTTCAAGGTGAATATCCGATGTTGAACTGACAACTCTCAGATAAACTACGAATAGATAAAGTGAAATTTGCCCGCAAAGCTCTTTTCGCCTCTGCCAATGAGATAGTCGGTGATATACATCGTCCCTTTGCGTACAGAAGCAAAGCCATACCCACCATGACACGATTTTCCTATACCATAACCGACACCTCACCTTCGAGAGCTAGCACTACTGACCAGGCAGAACTCGTAAAGTTTTGAGAACAAATGCTAGTTAACACGTCAATTTGAATATTTGCATCACTTGTGTGCTTTCCGGGACAAGAAAAATCAGTCATCTTTACTCAAAAAAAAACAGCCTAGCGACGGCAGTATGTCATGTATTTCCGTCAAGCAACAGCCCTCCCATTATCCATTACCTCAGGAGAACTAAGCAACGCAACAAGGTGACCATGATGCGTGACGTTGCTTCCATACACAAAGGGACAGTATACTCAAATGGACGGGGGGACCGCTCCGCAGTACACCAGATGTCATCGTCATAGATTCCAACCACGTCGATTTCGCTACTTGGCCGCAATGTGTCGTGTACGTTGTCGATAGGGAGCGTTTGTATCTGCGCCACTTCTACATGTAAAAAGCACAGTTAGAATCAGAGAACTAGCTGAGAGATCGACCTGTATACGTACACCCTCACTAAGAAGAAACAAGAGATGTCAACCCAAAACTCAAGAAGAGAAGAATAAACCCACCCTGTCGGTATCTTCGCAGGACCTAACGCTCTACATGATTAATGATCCTCCTGCCGTCGCGTTGCGCGTAGCGCCATATACATTCAAGTACTAGTAGCTCCAGTGTTGCTGCCCTTCTATTGGGAATGAATCGCTCGTCAGGTGCGATGAATATCTAACGTAGATCCAATTAGTGTCGTGCCTGGAGCACTGTTGTTATTGAGCTGGACTGGGGTCATAGGGTTGAGCACGGGTGAACCCGCGGGTCGCTGAAGCCACACCGTACCCGTACCCGCAAACACCACACCCACCACGGTACGGGTGTACACCGACCCGCCAATTTTGCGGGTATGAACGGTGTTTGCGGTATACCGCGGTTTTTTCACAGACCCGCGGGTCGTATAGTATTTTGAGATGGGCTTTTGTATACACAAGTAACTTACTAAGTAGAACTACTGTGCTTCCTCTTCTTCGTCTTCATCACCACCTTGAGGAAGTCCTGCGTATCTATGAGATCATGGCGAGACCAGGAACCAAGGCATAAGAAAGCGCGAATGGAAGCTGGAGACAACCGGTTGCGTGTGAAGTGTAAAAGTTGTCGTGCTTGTGAAAACACGCGTTCGACTGCAGTTGAGGAAGCTGTGTATTAAGTTAGTGTCAAAGATATGAAACTTATTTTTAAAAAACAAACCTGGAGCGCTCAGGTAATCCAAAGCCATGCGGGATAGATTAGGATACTTCTTTTGTTGCACAGACTACCATTTTAAGGCGTCATCCACTTTTTCGAGAGGTTGCTGAAGGTATTTGTCCAACTCATTAATGGGCTGAGTAGGGGTAGAGTCGCAGCCGAGAGTAGTCTCCAAACCCGAAAAAAGGTGTTGGTTCATTTGTCGCAGCCGCCATGGTTGAGTCTGTTGTTGTTACCACTATACCCTCATAGTTCGTTGAATATTCTGCTCGAGTCAGTGCTACAGCTTCCTCAATCCATTCAGCATCCCAATTCTGTTTTCGGAAGTACTCCAGTTTGAGTCCAGGGTGGAGAACTGTAATAGAACACATAAGTAACGAAATCTAACAGCTGGGAGACAGCACAATACCCATAGCGATTCAGTATACATGAGATTGGTCTGTGTGGCGCCAATACCTGTCCATCTTGTTTCGTGCAAGTTTCATTGCCACCTTGATTGCAGGATGGTAGTCACAACGTGTGGCATTGTTGAGGTGGTCGTCAAGCCTGTCCATAGCAGGAATCACAGCGGCGATGCTGGCAGAGTCTTGCGAGAAAAAAAGTGTTGCCTGTTTGTATTTCTAGCAAAAATTGCGAGGGTTAAGTTTGTGAAAAAACTTTAAAATGGACATCACATTACCTCAAGCAAAGCTGTTATATCACAAATAATCTGCCATTCTTCATTGTCGAGTTCAAATTTTCGCAATTTGTACTTCTTCTCCGCAGTGATTAAATCGATTGGTTGACGATATGCGAGAGCGAACACTAAAGTGTCATATGTTGAATTCCAGCGTGTAATGACATCTCGGGGAATCAGCTTGGGTTTGAGTTCGGCATCCTGACATAGTTGGCGCCACGCAGGAAGGGCAATCGTAGTTGACCGTATGATAGCAAACGCAAGACCTCGAACCTAGAAGCCCAATTAATAATCAGATAAAGTACACTGAACTAGTGACGAACCTCGGATATAGCCTCCTTGATGGTGACTGTCTTAACAATCATTGCTTGTTGTTCATCGTCAGGTAGTTGTCGGAGTTCATCAATACCATCATCAGGGTCGTTCTCAAGGTCAGCATCAGTATTACTACTGGACGTCTTTTCATTCTCTGAGTTGTCATCATCTCCGTCGTGAATGAGTGACGAATATAACATGTTATAGTGTAAATTATCCTACCCGGTCAGTGAGACCAAAACGTTCGAGCATGGCTTGAAAGGCTCTCGCCAAGGCAACACCAGTGTGAGACTGACAAAGAGTAATGTTCAGAACACTCTCATTGAAGGTACTGCGAGGTAAATATCACAAACCTCTGCAAGCTCCACGATATCCAGGAGGAAACAGAGCATTTCGCCATTGAATTCCAGGTGCACTGTCCAGGCCACGAATGCTCTATGATTGGGCAAAGTCCACGCATCAGTGGCAAAGTGAAGGCGACCAGGATATTCCTATATTTATGTCATAACCAGAAACAATAGGCGACAAACTCCAAGAACTCACTCGAAGTAGTTTTCCAATTTGGTCACTACATTTTTCAAATGAAGCCTTGATGTCCCGTGATATGGTAAAACGTGAGGGGAGTTGAATTGATGGGCGACCAGCAGTGAGAAGGTCTTGAAGAGCACGATCATTGATGATATTCAGAGGCCGGTTAGATTCCGTGAGCCATTGAACAAGTCGAGCACTGTCAAAGGCCCATCATTCAAATGGAATTTAATCAAAATGTACACACATACCAAACTTGTGGATTGGTATGGCTGCAATGTGAGTAACTGACTGGTTCTTTATCTTTGCGTGCAAATGCGGTGAAAATTGATCCACTAGGCTGTAAGTCGGGTGTTACGCTTGGCGTTCATAAGAACGACTAGACAGAAACAAATGATCTAAAGTGTGAACCTATTCATGAGTCATGCAAGTTAAGCAGTATATTGCAGGCCCTGGTCTGCATAGGTCAAGTTAAAGAATACAAGTGTAAGAAATAGAGTATATATAAAGGAATTAAAGCGGAGTTTTAATAGATGAATCGGAGATGGAAAGTAAATAGTGAATCAGAAAAGAGAAAAGAGAATCGTACAATAGAATGTCATAGAATGTCTAAGAATGATTAGTAATCGTGAATAAGTGAAGAAGTGAAAGATAGAACTGTAACATTACCCCTGTTTTAAGGGTAGTAGGCACCGACTACTATCAAAGAAGATGATGTGATCGTTTATAATTAGTAAGAAGTTTGGAAGCGTTACCTAGTTCGGCTTCCTTCATCCATTCGTTCTTGGAACTTAGGAATCCCTTCCATTTTACATAATATTGTCTTCATGATGAAGATCCATGGTGTCCAACAACTGCTTCAACTTCATGTTCTTCTTCGCCGTCAACCATGTCAGGAGGAGGCGGAATATAATTAAGGCCGTGGGTATCGTTCTCTTTGTAAGGAGAAAGGAGTGCGGCGTGGAAAATGGGATGAATATGCCATTGTGTGGGTAGGGCGAGTCGATAGGTTATAGGGGATAATACATCAGTGATCGTGAATGGTCCTTCCCATTTAGGGGCAAGTTTCCAGTTAGGATATCCAAGATGAAGATTTTTGGCTTCAAGCCAAACCTTATCGCCTTTAGAGAATAGTATGAATTTAGATGTAATTCGTTGACGCATAGTATTACGTGCAAGTTCATGAGTGGCTAGCACTTCATCGCGTGCTTTGTTAAGCAAAGAGAGTCGTTGTTCAATATTAGGGATGTCGGATTTCGGATGAAGGTCAGGGAGGTGTCGTGGGTGATAACCCATCATGAGGTAGAAAGGGGAGGTACCATGTGTGGAATGATGGCGCGAATTATGAATGAATTCAGCTAGTGGTAACATGGGTGCCCAACCAGTTTGGTCATTGGCGCAGAAGATTCGGAGGTAGACTTCGAGTTCTTGATTTACTCGTTCGGTCTCTCCATCACTCTGAGGATGGAATGCGGTGGATAGGGAGTTCTTGTATCTGAGGAGTTTTCCGAGTTTGATCTGGAATCTGGAAGTGAACTGAGGTCCACAGTCAGAGATAATTTTATCGTAGAGTCCATATCTAGAGAAAACTTTAGAGAAGAAAATATTTGCAATGCCTTCAGTGTCTATAGATTTAAGGCAAGGGGTGAAAACTACCCCCTTCAAAAGTCCATGATCGACCACAACCATAATAGAGTCGAATCCATCAGAAAGAGGAAGATCTGTAATAAGATCTACGGAGCAATGAGCGAATGGTCAGTTTGAGATAGGGGCTGGGATTGGAGAGAGTGGTGGTGTAGACAGGTGCATGTTTACTTTATTCTGTTGGCAGATGCAACAGCCGTCTACGAAGTTCTTGACAAATGTGGCTAGTCCGGGCCACCAGTAGTCACAAGAGAGAAGTTCCTGGGTTTTGAAGCATCCAGGATGTCCAGCGGTGGGGGAGTTGTGATGTAAGGAAGTGAGTTCTCGTCAGAGATCTCCAGGAGGTACGTAGGTGAGTCCTTTGAATGAGAGAATTCTGTCGCTCAATTTCCAATCAGAAAGAGCTGATTGGAGCGGAGGGGGAATAGAAGAGTCTGTAAGTGCTTGAAGCGCAGTATGTACTACAGGGTTGATAGAGGAGGAGATTCATAATCTGTCCGTAAATGAAGTGTCAATAACATTAATGAACATTGAATCGGGGAGGAGTTGTATACTAATATTGTCCTTTTCGACATTATCGTCTGGAAGGTGATCTGTTCTACGTGATAGTAAGTCAGGAATAATAAGTTCTTTTCCGGGTATGTGTTGGATTTGGAGTTCAAATTGGGAAAGGAAGGTTTGCCATCTTGCTTGGCGTCGGTTAAGGTCTTGTACATCTCTGAAATAAGTAAGGTTCTTGTGGTCAGTTTGTACCATAACAGGGAAAGGAGATCCAAGAAGATAGTGTCTCCATGCTTTCAAAGCACGGACGATGGCTAGTAATTCTCGATTGTAGATCTGATAGTTACATTCAGCAGGGTTAAAAGATTGAGAAAGGAATGAACATGGGAGCCAGTCTCCATTATCGTTTTTCTGAAGGAGTACTGCGCTGGTTGTGTAGAGGGAGGCGTCAGTGGCGATGGCAAAAGGGGAATTTTTGTCGGGTATTTGAAGGATGGGAGAGGAAGTAAAGATACATTTCAGCTTATTGAAAGCTTCCTCACGTTCAGGGGTCCAAGAGAATTCTTCGTCTTTCTTGGTTAGATCGATTAGGGGTCTAGCAATGGATGAATAATCAGCAATAAATCGTCAGTAAAAGTTAGTGAATCCAAGGAATGATTGGACTTCCTTCACTTTCATAGGAGTCTTCCATTCGGATATGCCCTTTAATTTGGCAGGGTCCATGGCGATAGAACCAGGTTTAATAATCATACCAAGATATTCGATTTCCTTCACATTGAAGGTACATTTTTCAGGTTTAAGATGAAGGAGGTTATCATGTAGTCGTTGGAGCACTTTATGGGTTCGGATACAATGAGTTTTGTCATCTCTAGAGAATATCAGTATGTCATCCATGTAGATAATAATCCATCCTTCTTGGATCATGTCTCCGAACAAGTTGTTCATCATGGACTGGAAGGTGGCGGGCGAATTACACATTCTGAAGAACATGACTGTGGGTTCAAAAAGTCCTCTGGAAGTGGTGAAGGCCGCCTTCCATTGATCAGATTTTCTCATACATACATTGTTATATCCCCATCAAATGTCCATCTTGGTAAAGATCTTGGTGTCCTTTAGCTTATCTATAAGATCAGAGATTAGCAGTAAAGGGTAGTTATTCTTAACCATGTGTTCGTTCAAGTAGTGATAGTCCTGGCAGGGTCGGAGGGAACCATCTTTCTTCCCGACGAAGAAGAATGGGGAGGATTGAGGAGATTCGGAAGGGACAATCGTCCCTTTAGCTAGATGTTTGTCAATAAAATTGTTCATAGCCTTGTCTTCTTTGGCGTTAAGCAGATAAATCTTGCATTTCCGTGGTTCGAAGGATTCTTTGAGGTCGATCTTGTGGTCATACTTATGTTCTGGGGGAAGAGTACCATTAGCTACATCACCAAATATGTCTTTGTATTGTTGGAACTCTTCAGGTACAAGTTCTTCAAAAGTTTTCTTTGGTTTAGCAGTGTCCTGGGCGAGGGTTTGGGAGATGTTGTCAGTTTTCCAGATATAGGTGTAGAAATCGTTGTCATCGTTGATAGGATCTAAGAGATGTGGGAGAGTTTCATTAGCACAGTCCCATTCGTCTTCTAGTTCTTCTAGAGCGTCATAAAAGACGTCTTCATCTTCTTCGACTTCTTCAATCATTGCTTTTTTCAGGGTACGCTCCCTTAGGCGGACTTCTTGATTAGTCCAGTCGATATCTGGGTTTTCCTTTTTTAGCCAAGTCATTCCCAGGATAGCATCTTCTCCTCCTAGAGAGGTTACAAAGAATCACTTCCGCATAGGGATACCTTTGATTAAAAATGAAAGTTCACAGTACCATGTGATTCTTCTGGCTTTGTTTAATGTGCCGTCTATGTTTCGCACAGGTATCAGGGTTTCAAGTTTGTGCATGCAAATGTTTTATTTGAGTATGAACTTCTCGTCGATAAATTCACCTTCTGCGCTGCAGTCAATTAGAGTGGCGGCTACAGTGGTTTTTTCGGTCTTCTTCGATCTGATTGTTAAAGGCAAACAAATAGAATTAGTATCGCCAACAGATTGTACTACAAGTCCAATTCTGGGAGTTTCTGACACTGTGGCAGGCTCCCCTAAGCAAAATCCTCCTCATTGCTGCTCTCTTCTTTCTTAACTGGTTTCTTACTGGCCTTCTTCATCTGGCATGCTTTAAATGCCTTCCATTCTTGAAATTCTTTGTAATCGTTGTCAGATGACTCCTTGATTACCTTTCTAGTGCTTATCGTAACCATGGGGTGGTTAGGGCAATCTGCAGCTAAGCCTTTCTTGCCACACTTAAAGCAGAGGCTGCCCTTGTGCCTATGCTCCCGTTCTTGAGGAGTGAGGTAAGTCTTCCTCGTCTTCTTCTCACTGTCTTCTTCCTCTAAATCTACCTTGTCAATATCCATGGCATAAGGATCTTTCACCTTGGTATACGAGGGAGGTGCTATTAAGGTCCTTCGGACCTCGACATCTAAGGCTTTCTCTAGCCACATTTCGATGGTTGTGGGAGTCATTTCAAAGGCATATATAGCAGAGACTATCTCACACTTTAAGCCGTTTCTGAAGAACATAATCTTTGTGTTCTCTTTGGTAATGCCGGTGTCGGTGAGGATGGTTCGGAATAATGATGCATAAGTGGCTACACTGCTGGTCTGTCTAAGGGAGGATATGCAACAAACCGCGGTCTGTTTGACGTTCTTTGGGAAAAAGGTGGATTTAAATTGCTTAGCGAAACCTTCCCAGGTTCCATAAGACTTTGCTGCGACTGCAGCCTTGAGTTGGCCTTCAGCCCATTTAGCAGCCTCGCCTTTAGTCATTAGGCTAAGGGCGAAAATGACCTTCTTCTTGTCATTGTTGTATACTTCATCATTCATGTCTAGGTACACCTCAACTTGAAGTGTCTATCCCTGAGCAAGGCAGGTATCACTGTTGAAGGGTGAGGGGGTCTTTCCAATCTCTTTAGGCATGGTTGCTGTAGAGGATCATTCATAGGTTTGGGTGTGGAAATTCCAAACTTTGTTCTTTGGGGCTATACTAGTGTAATAGGCTGCCCACTGGTCGATGGAGTATCTGGTGCCCTTGGCATCTATCTGAAAGAACTCTTGTTCTTCTTTGTCCCAGGTAAAACCAGGAGGGGTCGGTGCAATCAGTGGTATGGTGTTCTGTTCTGGGTGCGAGTTCTAGGGAACCACGCGGTAAAGAAGTAACTTGACCTTTTGTTATGCTCAGCATTCATAAGAATGACTAGACAGAAACAAATGATCTAAAGCATGAACCTATTCACAAGTCATGCAAGTTAAGCAGTATATTGCAGGCCCTGGTCTGTGTAGGTCAAGTTAAAGAATACAAGTGTAAGAAATAGAGTATATATAAAGGGATTAAAGCGGAGCTTTAATAGATGAATCGGAGATGGAAAGTAAATAGTGAATCAGAAAAGAGAAAAGAGAATCGTACAATAGAATGTCATAGAATGTCTAAGGATGATTAGTAATCATGAATAAGTGAAGAAGTGAAAGGAAAAAGATAGAACTGTAACATCGGGCGCTTGCTTATCAATACATGCAACTTTGACAGCCTTGTTACCGAAACAGCCAATGGCATGGTTCTTTAGATTAGCAGTCGAAGCCTTATCTTTCGAGTCCTGGAAACGGCGAACCCCTCCAATTCTCGTCTTACATTTTTGTGCTGCACAGGGGAAGAAGTGGCAATTACGACCATCCACATTCTGAACAGCAACACGATCAATGTCAAAAAACGCATAGACAGGTGAACGCCAATTCTTCTTCAGTTTTTCTGTATTGAATCGGTAAGGCACTGACATAGTAGTATCAGTAGAAGTCTTACGAAGTTCTGCATCTAGGTCCTCTTCGTCGTCAGACTTTGTCGCCGTGTCGATGGCATCAATATCGATCACCGATGGTTCAGGGGATGACGGTAGTGATGAGCGTGTTTTTTTCGAGAGCAAGATAGTTTTGACTCTCTTCAAAGGACGGGTAAGCACATCCACACCCTTCTTAGCTGCCTGGCTGACAGACTTCAGAGATGATGCTAGCGAAGACGCTTTTGACGAGTATGATTCGACGGAGGACTCGTCAGCCTTCTTTGAGCGGCGCATGAGAGGAAGGTGAATAGTATTCTGCATTTCTTCACAACTCATTGGCCTTTAAATTCGTACTACAGAACCTAGGTACCGCAAATTATTGCTTCTGTCCGAGCTCATGGAATATCATTCCACTGGCAAATTAGCATAGCTGGTGCCGTCGATTGTGACTTTGAATCGGCATTGCGACTCGATGAACCTGCAGTTGAAGTTCACATGGTGACAGCTACAACTCGCCGGGAGGATCTTCATGAGTAATGAAATTTTGACCCTCGGACAACTTGGGCATCCACACCCGTCCAACACCGTAAACCGCGACGGGTATGCACGGTGTACGTGCGGGTCTCCATAATCCACACCGTACCCGTACCCGCCACACCCGTCAGCGATAAACCGCGGGTTTACCCGTACCCGTGCTCTACCCTATGGGGTCAAGGTGGGTAAGAGTGGGGGAAGACGTCCTTGTTTGAGGAGGCGGTCACTATGTTACAAATTACAATTGGCTATTTCTACGAAAAAAATTGTGTAAATTCCTGGGCATGGAAATGGGAAGGAGGTTTTAGGGATATTGGCCGGAAACCGTTGAGGGTGATCTCGTGTAAGAAGTCCTCACCCTTGCTAGTGACATTACCGAAGAACCGCTGAGCAACGGTTGAGGATTTCTTCAAAGACAAGGTAGAAGAGTTCTCGGTATAGCTCGACGTTGTTTGGTCGAATCAAGTGTGGGCTGCACCTGCGGTTACCTAGAGATTAGAACGAAAGTAGAGTACTGCTTCGAAACGGAGCCTCGGAGATGCTCACCCAAACTGGTACTATTAAGGTTGACCTCCGCGTTTTTGTCGAAGTATATAGGCGCGGACTGAGATGGCGTAAGTGATAGTGTTCGCCCCTACACCGCAAACTGCCGCTTTGGTAGAGCCCCAAAATGGTAATACCAAGAATCTGTTCAGATACGCGTGTTGCTAACTTAACTTGAACTTACATTCAGATGCTGGCCTGTTCAGAACAGGTTTTGACTTGTTGTTGACCAACTCGACTTTTTCAGATGTATCACAATTCATTTTTGCACTTCTTCCAATCCTACCAATGATGCTGCGCTGTATGGCCGTCTTTTTACTTGATGCGGCAGCTCGTAGGGCGCAGGGTACCTCCACCGGCAGCGTGTTGCTAGGTGCATGACGGTCATGACCTGGATCGTGAAACAATATCACACTACTAGTATTTGAAGTAGCTCTACAACGAGCAGGACTTGCAGTCATTGACAACTGAGGTGATACCCTGCTATCGTCAATCATTTGCCTGATTAATTAGTCAGGACAAGAAGGTACTATCACAAACTATGAAACAAAGAGGTCCCACCACACGCGAGAAGTCGCTGGGAAGTAAACGCCCAGGGCGGATAATGATACGAATTACGAAGATTATATTGAACTTTGTCTCATTTGTCAGGTGTTTCAAAATGTACTGCGGACATACTGACTGACTATTTAGCGCACCTCTTTATTACCATTGATGTCCGACCACACTCCCGATTATCAATTCTGTGCATTATTGGTCATTGCAACTCACTTTTCATCAACCCGTTTCTATCTATTACAGCATGGTATTTATTCTAAGACATTCTTAGTCGATATAATGCCGCGCAAGGAGGTCAATTCAGGCACATTGGAAAACAGGACGGACTTTCCAGCACCAGTTACACCTCCAATGAGCGCAGACGATCCACCTCCCTATGGCGTACAGCACTTCCAGGACGCATTTTGGAAGGGTGAGCCATCACATTGTAACGCCCACTAAGTAACCGACTCAACAAGAAGCAGGTGGGAATGAAGCGCTCCCTCCTCAATGGCAAAAGTTCAAGGTGTTGGATAACAAACCGAAATATCAGGATAATACACTCCTAATGGTTTCAGAAAAACGACCTTTACCAGGAGTCCGACTGGGTCAGTGGAGAATTTGGCACTGAGAGCGAGAAAATCACGACTACGTACAGATGTACCAGGAGATCTTGTCACCGGGTGCGAATGGCACATCTCACCGCTCGGTCGGTCCTACTTCGTCAACCACAATACTCGGACCACGTCGTGGAAGAAACCAACGCCAGAACGTCCAGCAGGGAGCTTGATACCAGAATACGTCATTGAGGGTCACTCCGCATTTATATGGAGCCTTGCTTGTTTAAGCACTGGTGGCAATATACTGAGCGCGTCGTCTGATGGCTCAATTCGTCAATCGGAAAAAGACGGAGGGCCTGTAGGGAAGCTTTGACAGCGGGAAGGTGATCTCAATAGCACTGTGTCCAGATGAAACAATGCTCGTGAGTGGAAGCACGGATGGCAACGTTCAGTTGTGGAGTACAAAGGAGGGGAACATGGTCGGGGACCCATGGAAGGCTCATCGTGATGTGGTGATGTACCTCCATTGGTCTCCGAATGCGGTGGAGATAGTAAGTGGATCGCATGACGGCACCATACGACGATGGAACCCGCATACTGGCCGAGAAATGGCACATCCGATAGCGACCAGTCATGGTTGGGTGACTGTCGTTAGATACTCCCCGCAGGGCGATAAGTTCGCGAGCGGTGGTGCGGACAAGATGATTCGGATATGGTCTACTGATGGCCAGCCCCTCATCGAGATCAATGGGCACGACGACTGGGTGATGTCGTTATGTTGGTCCAATGATGGTACACAAATATTTTCCGCGTCATCAGATAGCACGATCAGGAAATGGCAGACGAGTGACGGCAAGGAGCTCGTCATCCTCCGGGGTCACACCAACAGCGTCAACTCCCTTTGTCTGTCCCTCGATGAAAGCTATCTCTTCAGCGCATCAAAGGATTGTTCAGTTCGCATCTGGGATCTTGGGACCAATGAGGCGATCGGGGACCCACTCTTGCATGACGAACAAATTTGGGCTCTTGCCATGTTCCCTGATGGGACATACTTTGCCAGTGCTGGTGTGGACGCAAAGGTCTATGTATGGAGTCTGGACGCAGCGCTGAAGCAGCAGGATAGTAGCGTGCGTATGTCTGTATATTGCCATTGTTGGCGTCTTTGTCTAAGCGGATTTGGGGCATCACTCAGGGTGCTTGTAATAGTAATGCAGAGCTAGTCGCAAATTTCACGGCAAGTGGTCTCTGTCTCCCTTCCATAGTACCAATCTCATTCTATCCCAGGGACGCGCAGCTCGATCTAGAGAGGTGCGCCAATCAGCTATAAACGTTCTTATACATTCTCCATTCATATTTTTTAGGTATGTGACTCCTCTCCTGTATCCAAACAGCAGTCCTACGACAGAGCATTTGGAAGATATGTGAGTAATGTTCATTTTCCCTCAGCGCTTCCTAGCCTGACACTCAGTGGTACAGGGCAATAACTTCTGGGGTAGTGATACGAACCCGATCCCACGCCGCAGCTCCGCTCCGTTCGCAAGCACACTTCGTCTACGCAGTGCGTTTGGTTTCCTCCGCCCCAGAACTAAACCTGTCGATGCACTCCAAGAAATCCCGCTCAAGACCCAGCGCCGGAACTTTAACTTCTTTTCTGTGAGAACCTCGATACGTCCTGTCGAGGTTGCTCCGTGTCGCGAGGAAGATGTGAGTCGCTCGTCATTATCAATATCTTCCCGTCCTTGACATCGCTGATTGACAAACCTTGCAGAGATACGGTATTGCCCCACCGTCTGAGGCAGAAGTGGCTGCAGCTATGGAAAGCACGAGCGACAAACAGCTTGATAGTTCAACACAACAAGGTCAAGCTGTAGCGGGAGCACAAGGTTCTCAAGTCCATAATATACAAGGACCGTCAACACCCATGGCTCGAGCCGAACATTCTGGCTATGACACAGGTGAATCATCGTGTGTGATAGGCTGTTGTGGACTCTCGCTTCGTTTGTCTTCGGCGCACTAGTGACTAGGTGGCCATCATTCCTGCCAGTCTCTATACTCTCCAGTTTATTGAATTTTGTTATCACTGACTCGCATTATAATTTGATAAAACGCACCTTCACACCGACTGAGTGAAATTTGACATCGTCTCGGTGCACGCGCTCACAAGTACCTATATGTGAATTCTCTGGTTTTCCATACCTCCACCTATGATACTTCCACCTAAGCATGCCCTTTCCAATATTCATTATCGATGCCATAGCCCTTACATTCTGCTCGTACTAAGTTATGTCGTTATCTGATCATGCTTTGTGCGTTGTTCACGTACCTAGTACATACAGTGCCGTTTGTCATACACCCTAACTAACTAAAATTATCCCACGGTATGAAATTGCTTAAAGTCCTGCAGCCTCGGGATGATCATGGGGACAGACATTTAATTTTGTTAAACCAGTACCAGTACCTATTCTAGGTCCTGGTATAACGCGACACAACAAGATTATGCAGTATAGTGGAGTCCGTGATGACAAACGAGGAAAAGGAATACAGGATGTTGAACATCCAACAATACAAATACAAATACTCCACAGGGAGCTTATCAAGGAGAGCGTGCTGTGGGACTATATCTGTCGCGGGGTAGTGAAGAATGCAAGGTCGGAGCTAGTTGCGTTAACAATCTATTCGAAACAGCGAGGATGCAAAAATGAGATATGAGAATTCAGTCGCACCGAATCCCGCAAGAGGCCAAGAACGAAGGCTAGATGTTCGAGATTCGGTCCCAGAGTGTATTCGGGAGAATATAGGACTCGCCCAGTACCATCTGGGTGCCTTTTGTACACGAAGAACATCCACTGTTCTCCGCTTGTGATAACACCCCTGATGACAGATAAGCTATCATAAAGTTAGACTACGTCACGGGACATCAAACGACAGAGAGCTGACCCCTGCAATTGACAATACGAAGCAGCAGCAACTGTAGCTTGAGATAGACCGGCCCAAATATTATCGCGCTTGGCTTCGAAGATGTTGGACATTATTGGTTCCTCGATGTTTCCGGGACGCGCCAGTGCTATGCTCGGATTGCTCAGGAGGTATGCTAAAGAACCGTTCAAATTCATTCTAGCACGCGACAGAAAATGACTTACCGGTGTACTGAGTGGGGATTTTAGTCACCAAGAAGTCGACAACGCCACTAAATGAACATTTACCAGACTCTGGGTTGAATGTCGTTTTAGGGATAGGGAATCCTGGAATTATGTTCACATCCGGACACGCCGATATAACTCTCAACAAGAGTATGCTGATCAAGATGCAACATCCAGCTTCCGTCTTTGGAGTTTAAATGAATATACAGTCGATCACGGAAATCAGCCACCGTAACACACCACCGTTGCGACGTGGCCGCGCACTAAACTTATCAGAGATCGTGTAGTATCAATCAGAAGACACCCTGGTATTTCGGCCAATCCAAGGTCTTCGATTTCTTGTTTCTTGTCGCTGATCGGAAAAAGTGGACCAGACGATATCTCCAATGAAGCAAGCGTTATTGGATCCACCTTGGAGAAGGAAGTGTGCTATGGAGAGGCTGATCAGCTCTGTAAACAATTCAACGTCATTCAACCTTAGCATTTTCCAATTTGTCGCGCAGTTCTTGGAGCTTATCGATCAGACCATCAGGCAAATCCTCGTCTCCTTCATCAAGGTTGGAACGAAACTCCTCTATCTTATTCAGCAATTCGTTTGTATCTCCTGAAGTTAGGTCTGAAAGCTTTCGTCGTTTGGAAATGGGAGCCATGATGCGCGATACACCGACAGATGCGAGAGACACAGGGATTTGATTGTGGGGGTTAATTGTGGCTCAAGTGAGTTGATACTTTGTGCAAAAATTTGATGGGCCCTTTAAAGTTTATGGTGGCGGGTGACTCCGCTCGAAAAGGCAACTGCACGTCACGAAGCCATCCGCCGGTACACGCTTGGGTGTCTTGGTGGAATACATAGAGTGCCGTTTGAGCTCTACGTGCGCGTCAACTCTCGATTGCCACATCCCTTAACGGGTTCCTATGAACCAGTAACTTCGTGAACTGTTCCGCAACACCGCGAAGCAACTAAACAGATATGCTTGAAGCTGAAGGGAATCCTGTTATTCGTATTCGCTGGAGAGGTGCAAATAGTGCACATTGAGAAAAGTATGGACGTGGTGGACGTTAGAGCAGTTGACATGCAATACCAACAGATGATTGGTGAGTACTTGTGTATTCAAGTTCATGTGACACGTCGCTAGCAACTTGCAAGTATATCATGATACTTAGCTACCCTTCGTTGGTAGTAACACCGAAGTTCGACTCTCAGAGGCCCAGGTCGGCCCTGGCCTGTCACCAAGACTATCCAAGACTAAGAATATCTTCGAAGAAGTTCTGTGTCACTCCTTCGTTCCGGTATTCCCGCAACTTCCACTAGGAAGACTTCTAGTAAAGTTACACAGCCATTTAGACACATACCGGGCCCTAGGCCGTAACGGCGCTACTGGCATCGCGCTGCAATGATTCGCACCCAGTGCCAACGTTTGGCCACCCAAGGTAAGTAACATCCCAAAAACGTTTCAATGTTGACAAGATAACAGCTTCTATGATGCGCGTGGTTTCTCTACCACTGCTAAGCGTGTTCAAGCAGATAGCCGTAGCGCAAAGTATTGCAAATGTCCGAGGTGAAAGGACGGATGTTGGCTCGTGTAACGATCTTGTTCCTACTAGACAGTGTAAGTAAGTAAGACCAGAGTTGCGGCCGTGCAGGACGGCGCTAAACAAAATGACCATAGCAATTTTGGTACACTGGTTCCAAGCAACAAACGATAACGATGATAAGGGAACAAAAGTAATGGTATTCCAAAGTAGAACGAATGACATACTGTTATGTCATTCTGGTCGAATGTTGGGTCTGGCGCTTGTCCCCTGAAGATTCGCAGGCGGTCAGGATGCTGGCATCGCGAAGTTCATTTTAATGACGGTGTACAATTGTTCGGTTTAATTTTTGTGCCGCATGGGGTATAAAGCTGGCATATAAGCCTAACGCCCGCCTTCATCTTTTGCATCTCACGAAAAGGTCGAGCAGTATGAAAGTCACCGCAGCTTCCGTAGCTCTTCTGGTTGTTGCTGCCCTCCCTGGGTTCTGTGTGGCAGCACCTGCCAAACGTGATGATAGCAGTACCCCAACAGGTGAGTTGGTCGCTTACCCCATTCTCAGTGATCTCATGTCTTCGTGTTGATAGACATTCAAATCCTGAATTTCGCACTCACGCTTGAACACCTTGAAAATGCATATTACACGCAAGGCTTGGAGAAGTACACCCAGCAGGACTTCCTCGATGCAGACCTGCCTGCCTGGGCGCGTGGACGATGGAACCAAATCGCACAACACGAGTCGACGCACGTGTCGTTCCTTGAGAGCGTAATCGGTGATCAGGCGGTACAGCCATGCACCTACAGTTTGTGAGTAGAGATTTCATGAGAGTGATCCATAAGTTGCTGAATAGACTACCTTGCGTTAGCCCTGATACAGACCCAATTTCTTTCGTAACAACAAGTTTCATGTTGGAGACGGTCGGCGTTTCAGCGTATTCTGGTGCGGCGCAGTTCTTGTCGAACTCGGTAAGTTATGGTTTAATCTATATCGTGATTAATGCGTGTTTATTTCGTTATGATTTGTAGGATTATATTACGTCCTCGGGTGCTATTCTAGCTGTTGAAGCAAGACAATCAGCGTGGATCAATTCGGCAGTTTTGAAAGCTAACCCATGGAACACTGCGTTTGACGTATGTCGCCATGCTGTTGCTAAAGATCGCTACTCAAATATGTCTGTTTAGACCCCACTTGACCTCAATCACGTGTGGACAATTGCATCAGGCGTCATCGTGTCATGCCCTTCCTCTAACATGCCACTGCCTGTTAAAGCATTCCCCGCATTATCCTTCCCTGCCGGTGCTCAGCCAGGCCAGACCGTCCAAGTTTCTTTTAACGCAACAACGACCTCTGAGCAACTCTATGTTGGGTTCATTGCTGGGCTTGGGGCCACTTTTGTGCCACTTAGCTCTCAAATGACGGTTGAAATCCCATCGACTTTACAGGGTGTCGTGTTCCCTGTGGTCACTTCCAGCAATGATACGGTGACTGACAACGTGACGATTGCTGGACCCGCCTTTTTGAGTTTCGACTTCAACTCTGACGGCGTGGACGAAGTGTGAAGTCCCTCCTGTCGTGATTGTAGTGTAGTACGTTACTGTATGTTTTTTTGGTTCTTTCGTTTTGGTTCGTGTATAGTGTATTGATGGAGTATCTACTCGCGAGAACATTGCCTATAGTACGAATGGACACATGTTGTTTGATGATCTCGCTAGAGCGTTCTGGGCCATGCGGCCAACTCCGGAAAAAATATACTCGGAGCAAGTACTGGTTCAATTTGACATCCACTTGGGCGTTTCATCTCCACTACAATATTATCGATCTTCCTTATGATGAGCAGACCAACTTGATAGTATCATAGAAGGAAGATAGACATTCATCGAGTCACTGACTTATACGCGTATGAGATGACTGAAGTACTGACTCCTAGTCACCATGTCACTGGTTCCGATTCCGAATCAGTTGGTGTTACCTTTCTATCACTCTCTAGGTACATACCATCATCTTCCGACTTCCTTGTGATTTGATCAACCCACTGACGAAGCCTACAGGGACTCAATGCCAGATTTGAATGAATAGGGAGGCTGACATGGGCTGACATGCCTACCCATATAAAATGTTCCACTGGCATTCTTCGTGAGTCGTTTCTCTTTTCTGTTTTGGACGACTCGGATACCCCACTTTTTTTTTAGCAAAACCCTACAGTATACCCTTGTATTATTAACATTTCACAATGAGGGCCATCTTTGCGTTTCTCGCCCTCGTTCTTCCCCCTTCCGTTCTCTCCCTTCCCTCAGAGCGGCGTGATAGCGGTAGCGCGCTAACAGGTGACATGATTTTCCTTTCTCGAAGCCTTAAACTGACGAATACTACAACAGAGATCCAAGCTCTAAATTTTGCCCTCTCCCTTGAACACTTCCAATATTACTTCTACGAACGACTGCACCACTATGAGCCACGGGACTTCTCCAACGCTGGTCTGCCGCCCTGGTCGCATGGGAGATACGCACAAATATCCTCCCATGAACTTACGCATGCTCAGTTCCTCCAGAATATCCTGGATGACAAGGCTGTTCAGCCATGCACATACAACTTGTCAGCTCGTTTCTTGTCCGTCTTTCACATGTGGGCTGAATGGATTCTCCGTCAGCCCCGACACCGACCCGAGATCGTTCGTGAAGATCAGCAACATCGTGGAAGCAATAGCATCCTCTACGTATACGACTCTTGCGAAGTATCTCTCTGATCCTGTACTTTGATTTCTATCGCTCCATGTTGGAATCCAACTCAAAAGCGTTTTAGGACTATATCATTTCCATCAGCTCTATTCACTCCGTAGAAGCGAAACACTCAGCGTGGATCAACGCAGACGTGCGTGAAGGTGCCGCTTGGAGCACGGCATTTGATGTATGTGGCATCCCGTCTCATAACATACATTTCGAGACCAATGATTAACAGGCACCACTGAGTCTGAGTCAACTATATACCATCATGAATGGCTTTATCGCATCCTGCCCATCCTCTAATCCGCTGCCGCCCGTCAAAATATTTCCTGCACTCACATTTCCCTCCAGTGTTATGCCTGGACAGATTGTGCAGGTGTCGTTTTCGCCCGCAGCCCCGAAACGCGATTCACAAACGTTGTATGCTTGGTTCATCTCAGGCTTCAAAGCGCTCGTCGTACCTCTCCGCTCTGACATGACGGTCACCATTCCGGACACGCTGCAGGGTTTCGTGTTCTCAGTCATCACGAACAACAAGGAGAGTGTGTCCGACGATGCTACAGTCGCTGGGCCGGCATTCTTAGTCTTCGATTATGACTATCAAGGAAACGATCAGTCGCTACCAATGTAAAGGAATCAATCATTTCTTCAGTGCATCCGAGTTGGTAAACTACATTCTATCGACTGTACATTTATTGCCGAAAACTACTTCGATTTTCTCAACTATCAGTATCGGAATGCCGCAGCTCCAGATTCTCCCCCTACTGCAGCGGTGAGGTTTGCTGCCAACGACTCGGTCATGGCACCAATGTCAGAAGGTGACATTAATCTACATGACGCAAAAACGAATGAGCTACAAATGCGGATTTTCAGTCAAGTAATCTCACCATGTCGAAGCCTTCCTCAGCACGTTTAAGGGACTGCTTTCCTGAGGTGCAGTAAATTGCGCTGGATCATAAGTGGATCGGTGACAATGAAGTAGCAGGAGATTCAGCACGCATGCTTACCACTTCTTTCCTTCCTTGTGTGCAGCTTTGAGGATATATTGGATGACAGTTTCCACGTCGGGGTGCGGGTCGGGAGAGGGGGGAGGGTATCCTAAACACAGGGAAAGATCGTAAGGACCGATGAATAAGCAATCTACAACCAAAGACGCGTTGAGCAATGCACACAATTCAAGTATAACCCAACTCACCAATACCATCCACAGCAGCAATGGCGTCAACATTTTTCACGCCCTCCTTCGTTTCGATTTGGATCATAACAACTACATTTTCATTTGCAGATCTGAGGTAGTCGGCAGCACTGATGCTCCAGACGCCATGAGTGAACGGACTTCCAAAACCGCGTCGGCCTCCTGGAGGGAAATGACTGTCGGCCACGATCTCTCTCGCCTTCTCAACAGTGGAGACCTACAATTTGGCACAAAGTCTAATAACGTTCCATACTCTCCTGAAACCACCTACCATAGGAACAAGCACACCCCGTGCACCAGCATCAAGCGCATACTTGATTTGCCACGACGTACTATTGCTGAATCCCGTAGCTGGAATTCTCACGAGTGGACTGGGCGCATTAGGTCCAAGACCGGTGATGGCCTGGATAGACTCTGCAGCGCCAGGCTGGAGCGATGTAAGACCGTGCTCGCAATCTATCATCACCCATGAGAGGTGTGGGCTGGCTTGTGCGACTGCGCGTGCGTTCAGCACGCCTGGCAAGGTAATCCATGCACCGAATGCAGGGCTTGGAGACCTTGAATGCTTGCAGGAGTGCGTGGGTTGTCATGGCTAGCTGGAAATTAAGCGCGCGAGTCTGGAGATAAGTTGTTTATGTAAATTGTTTTGAGGGTCACGATTCAAGTCATGAGGGGTTCTAATTTGCGGACCGATCGAGCCGCCAAGACCTGTATTTGAACTTAACTTTCGACCTCGATTTATTGTAAAGTTCGTGTCATTCAATTTGAGAACTCAGTCACTGGGGGTGTTCAAGCAGTCATGTGAGCTAAGATCACGAGAATGTATGCCGTACATTACCTATTGATGCGCAACACCATCACTTAGATGAAGAAACATATAACAATCGAAAACTCAATAGACGGAATCAACGGTTAATGTTTATGAAAGATGCAGAATGCGCGCGGCGAGTCTTCAAGCCTAACAAGCTGCTGCTCTAAAACGAAATCCATTACATTCGACTGGTGATTAAAGGAGCTGTGATTATGCGTGGTCAGCGGTAGTTGCAGGTTGTATGGGAGTAAAAGTATTGCGAGGACGCCATTCACGCTCTGTTGTCCAGTATCGTATCCACCTCCACTCCTTTCCCGTCTTTTTGTGTACCTTCTCGATCGTCTTGAGGGCGTCCAACAACCAAATATTGGGCTTCTCAGCATATCTTGCCCTCATCGCGCTTTCCTGTGGAGCCCTAACGGGAGGTTTGTCTTCGACCTTGCTTCTGGAGCTCCTCATACAAGGCCTTGCCCACAGCACGCGCATTTGCAGAATTATCTTTAAGACATGCAACGTAGAGCATGGAACAAGCAGCGAGGTCAGACGAAACAGGTGGGAGCTTGTAGACGCCAAATAGAGCTGCGACAGTCATAGAGTCCGAAAGCGGGCGCTTGTCATAGACGGAGTGCAGCATATGTCGTGCGGCGAAGAGAGAGCTCAAACCCAGACCGTATTTCGAATGGTCTCCAAAAACCTTGAGTGCGAGTGTCGGGCACTTCAGCTCCTCACAGCGACCTTGCTTTATCTCAGCAGAGAACAGGGCAGCGATAGGATGCTGGACTCACGGATGAAAGCCTCTGCGTGTATGGGGCGGAACTCCTTACCTGAGTCTCTCCACCTCGGAAACAACTCTGCTACCATTTCCAGCTGTTCTGACGAATTTGCGAGCTGGAACAACCGAGGCCATGCAGTTTGGCGCACTTGACCGGCTTTGACAGCACGTTTGCGTCCCGTGCGGTCGGTCACGTACTCCACAAGTTCGTAGAACTGTCGTTCTCGACGCGCAGCGGCATCCTGAGATTTAGCTTTTTGGACGGTGGTGGACTTCGAGACCTCCGATACTGGGGTTCCAGACAGAGTCGCAGATGAGAAGAGGTCGTCATCTCTGGTCTGTCGAACTGCGTAAAATTTGCTGAGCACTGGATGATACTCTGCTGCCGTGCTCCTCACCTACAGCCGTCAGATTGAAATTTCTGCGACATACTGATCGATTGGCGGTGCTTGCTAATCGAAAGAGGGCCTGCGGCCGGGAACTTAAGGAAAAGAGGCTGGACATCCTACGGAGCATCATTCATAGCTTTGCGGCAAAAACATGAATTGAATTTTTTGTCAAACATTGCCAAACAAAGGTCGAATATTATGATTCGAAAACATCATTTTGATTCTTTACTAGTAACTCGGTCACGGCACAGACTTAGCGCTCAGTACTGCAGTACCGGTCCTCTACGGTGAACGACACTTCTTCGCCCAACGCCAGTGATATCTTGTCTCAGACGCATGGTATTTGATTGATTCCAACTTTCTGACGGACCTCCCATCTGGCCTCAATACGAACGTTTATTGACTGTCAATATCCTCGGAGGAACCGACTTGATCGGCTCTGTAACGCGAGATTCAGATGACTGTCCTTTTATACTTTCGAGGGTAAGAATCACATCGTATGTAGATTCTCGCTTGACCGGATCCGATCACTTACTGCACACTCAGCGAACTTCAGTTCGTGCACGGAGAAGGCGTACATCACCGCAGATTGAAATCGAGAGATCTCAAAGTCACATCGTCACACGCCGGTGATGACTCCACTGCTGCGCTCATCAGACCGGCAGCCACAGAAACCTTGCCTGAGACCGGTGAAATTTATTCATATTTCGTTTTTCACCTAGCTTCACGCATTTCACACCTTGCACGCCGTCGATCGTGTCTATGACTCTGAGGCATCAGTTTGAATGTCATATCCTCTGGCATCGTCTTGGGATATACACGACACTAGAGGGTCTCAGTAGGTGAAGTAGTAACTCCCTTACGTCGCTGGGGGGGAGAGATGGTGAAAAGCCGTAGAAAATCGTTGGCTCACGTATAGACGAGCTCGGTGGCTCTCTCGAACCTATTGCAGGCAAAGTCACCATGTGACATGTCAACAAATCTAACTGGTCTCAGGTTCAGGGCTCGCCGGCACCACTCCTTCGAATGTGGGCGGAATACAAGGAAGAATTCGGACGTTCCAAACTTATTCCAAACTCCACTAGGCAGACCACACACGTTCGTTCTTGAAATGCCAGGCTCCTCAATGTCGGAGCATTTCCAGAGCTGGTCGATGGTTTTAGCGAATCTAGCATGGTCGTACATCACCGCAATGGACAGTCTCGAATGAAAATGCAAGGCGCCCGGCCTACCTAGCAGTCACGTCTTGAGATCGGATTGAAATAAAAGTCCGGTCGAAATTCAAATCTCTGGTTCTCGCGCACCTTCTTCGTGAGTCGTCGTTGCAAGAGTGGCGTGGCGAAAGTGTGGAGTGTGAGTGAAGAAAATAAGGTTTCGTTCGAGTCTCGAGAATAATGCTTTATATAAGGCGATTACGACGTGGCGGTATTATATATACGTAGCTATAATAATCCGAGCGTGAACTGTTACCTGTACGACAAACGATGAGGTGAAAATACCAAACTCTAACAGTGTTAGTGAGTTAGTGTTGGGATGCTATGGGTTAGAGTTGTGAAGTTCTGACGTCAACTTATGCGCCTCGATGTCTGCTGAACCATAATGCTCAAGGTACTAGGAGTCCGAGTCTAGGACTGGTTATGCCACATCATATGATTAATCTACAAGACTGATTTCCCACAATTCCCACTCCTCAATATTCACGCGTCTCCTCGTCCCCCTCCGCATCTGTTTACCGTTCTTGAGGACGTCCAGATGGATGACTCTTGTCAACCGATAGGTGCCTTGACACCCTGTTCAATTTCTGGATTTTTGGTGAGAATAGTGAGGTCCCATGAGACCTACGCAGGCGATTGCGTAAACGTTTAAGAAAGTCTGTTCCGATCAACATGAAGTGAACTCCGCTGCATAGTATCCCCTATACAAGGCTCCGTGTCCACTTTTGATTTTTTTAGGCATCCATACACCCCCCGCGGACTTGAACGACGCATGTTAGCGGCTTGAGCGTCGATGCAAGTCTACGGGAGCTTGTGGATTAGCCGCGCTGAGTAAGTAATATCCCCTGTCTCCCCACGGATTCTTCCTTGATCCTGGAGGATTATGAATACTATATGCCACGGATGTCCAGATTTGACAGCTTGTCCGCTTGCTCATTCTCTCATACATTCCGACTGACCAGGCGCTCATGCGATCAAAGCTCGACTCAGCATGAGATCGTATTTCGTATCTCGAGCGCAAAGATTTGAGAGGATTGGGATGCGACAGCATTCACCGTGCCAAGGTAGTTCACGTTTTATTTATACCGTACCAGCGGTACTACGCCCGTCCACATCGCACGCCTGTCGTATTGCGTCCATTCCGCATCTGATCTGGAGATGAAGCGAGATCATCGAGTTAGCCGGGTCGTTTTTGGGCTTGTGTCGATGTGGCCTGTTGGCCAGGCTCTGATTATCGCCTCCACCACGGAGCTACATCTGGTTGAGCCACTGGGGCGGGCTACGCGTAATTTCAGCAACCGTATAGTGTCTCATCGAATCCGTCTAGTAATTGGTGGCATGTGATATTCCAGTTCCAAAGTTATGGTCCAGAATGCGACGTAAAAGTATCCGAGGGATTTCTTTGGGATGAGTGTCAGTGTATTTGTGAGGATGCAGGCCACGTAAATTGGGATCGTTAGGACGCGCTTTTACTAGACTCATCCACAGAACGAACACAACGATGCCACAGGGACAGGTCACGTAGATGACTCGAAGCGGAGTTGAGTTAGACCTCTTGGTACAGTTATATCGATGAGGAGAGAACGTGCATTGTAACCGTATAACATGATTTATTGTCTGGGACTAGATGCCCAATTGGGTGATGTTAATTTTTCGATACCTCTGCGACTGGTCCAGTTCATATCTTTGACGTCGATCAACCAGCTTCGAAGTACTTGAAGCATGTGAGCAAACGTACTAGACTGTTCTCGACGCCGACAGTCGTCAATATATTACATAGCCACACGATAGTGACTGCGATGGCGCCGTCAGCACACAGGATTATTTGTAATGCATTTAAGAGTAGGCTTACTATACGTAATATTGATAGCGCGGGTAGGATGGGGGCCGTTCTCTACATACGAATGCCGTTTGGATGCGGAACGAATCAATTCCGTCGGAAATGAATACACTTCCGAGAGGAACCATTGCACCCATTTTGACCACCGATGCTTCTCCCGCGGCTGACGAAATAGATCTGCAAGTGCCAGGGTATGACAGGATGTAACGTCAACATAACCCTGCATAGCCTGCTGGCGGTACAAATGTCAATACTGCAAATATAAAGCAACAGACAGCAGTCTACTGCAAAGTGACAAAGATATGTCAGACTTTTTGAAGGAGGATTCCGATCAAGAACCTAGCAAACATTCCATCAGGTACTAGTACGCCCGCGGTCAATCCTCTACCTCACCCGCGTCTCCACCAAAACTTGACAAGCTCTCACGAAACGGTGACAACGATTCTCAGGCGGGTCAGGATGTCGTATTGTGCTCTAACTGTATCATGACAACCACACCTTGTTATTACTATCAGTGGTAAGGGTCACCTGTGACAAGTCGAAGGAAGGCGAGGAACCTGTAGCATGAGCCCAAGGACAGTTCTCGGCATCATGATGAGAACCCCACGGGCCCACGTTGGACTGTTAGTATGCTATACAATGTGCGGTGCTATACATCAATTAGGTTTGGGGGCTTACTGATCATTTAGTATGATTGCATGGCAGTGTGCGTTTCATGGAGTGTTTTCGGCATTGGCCGCTGATCATTGGCGTTGTTAATTTAAAAGTTCGATGAAAATAATGAATTCAGGGTACTTATACTATCCGGGGAGCGAGTTAATATGATAATCGGAACGAATGTAAGTAAAGTGAGCCTATCGGGCTTAAGGCTCTTTGAATCAACACTGACTCGGGGCCTGAGCGGGAGACTGGCTAGATAAGTGAGGTCAGCAATATTATTATTTGGTGGCTCCCGCTACTTGAATTCATACTCCGCGCAAGTGGTGGGTGTCCCTGAGGCCGTCGCCTATTGGATGATAAAACAATGCACAGCTTAGTCATCAAAACTCCTTATCTCTTGCCAAGTACAGCTTAAAACGCTTTAAGACGGTGGCAGCATGAATTCACGCACGGTAACAGTCCGACGTCTAGGTCCCACAAATATTCCTATATCTACCCACGAGGCGCCCTTTTCCTCCTTTTTCAAGGACGCTCATCTTCCATTTGCAGGAACATTGATTCGCCGCAGCCCCCATCTCATCATCAACTTGCATTAAGGGCAAAATGGTGAACGTCACCTACGACGCTTGTAAGTCCCCTACGTGATTCATTTAAAAAATACTGAACAGTAGCGCTGGATAGCTGGAGACCTGATATCATCTACTGGAACTGTGTTTAATGAGGGCGATATTGCCTGGACATTAGCATCAACCGCCCTAGTATGGATCATGATACCTGGGGTTGGCTTCTTCTACTCCGGTTTACTCAGGAGGAAGAATGCTCTCAACATGATCTACCTCAGTATGATGACCATCGGCGTGGTCTCCTTCCAGGTCCGTTACACTATGGGATTTTAAGCGCCCTGTGTGCTCATCGAGATTGTAGTGGTTCTTCTGGGGCTATTCTCTAGCTTTCAGCGAAACTGCAAGCCCCTACATTGGCAACCTCAGTATGCGTTCCCTCGAATTGAAAGTTTCCACATTTGACCGTTATTCGTTAGAATACTTTGCATTGCAAAATGTACTTGACCAGCCTTCTATCGGTAGTGCCAGAGTACCGGCCATTGTATTTTGTGTATTCCAGCTTATGTTCGCTGCCATCACGTAGGTCATGACTATCGTCTCTCATTCAGGGCGCTCATGTAGCCTCAGTCCCATGATCGCCATTGGTGCCGTTGCAGAACGCAGCCGTTTGGGTCCTCTCGTTGCATTCGTTTTCGCTTGGTCTACACTCGTCTATGATCCTATCGCCTGTTGGACATGGAACTCCCAAGGTTGGTCCTACGTCCTTGGTGGCCTTGATTTCGCTGGTGGTACCCCAGTGCACATATCCTCTGGTACTGCCGCACTTGCGATCTCACTCTACCTTGGCAAACGTCGGGGATATGGCACGGAGCGCCTCGCCTACAAGCCTCATAACACAACTTATGTCATTCTGGGTACGGTATTTCTATGGTTTGGCTGGTTCGGCTTCAACGGTGGCTCTGCCCTCTCCGCAAACTTGCGTGCAACTGAGGCGTGCATTGTTACCAACCTTGCGGCAAGCGTAGGCGGTTTGACTTGGATGTTCTGGGATTATCGTCTTGAGCGCAAGTGGTCCGTTGTCGGTTTCTGTTCTGGGGCTATCTCGGGTCTCGTCGCCATCACTCCTGGTTCGGGCTACGTGGGTTCTCGTGAGTCTCACTTCTTTCAGTCTCCATTGGAAAAAATCCTGACACATGATTAGCGGCTGCTGTTTTGTTCGGCTTCATGGCTGGTACCGTCTGTAACTTTGCTACCCAGCTCAAGTTTATTTTCAAGTTCGATGATACGCTCGATGTAGGTGAACATCCTATGGGCATGAAGTCATCAATACTCATTCTACGTTAGATCTTCGCATCGCATGCCATTGGTGGTATTGTTGGCAACATCCTTACTGGTCTCTTTGCTCAAGCAAGCATTGCTGGTGCTGATGGTATCACTATGATTCCTGGAGGCTGGCTTGACCACAACTACCGTCAACTCGGCATTCAACTTGCAGATTCTGTCTCCGGGCTTTCTTACTCTTTCGTCATGACTGTCAGTCTCGTGACCATATTCTTTCTCTGCACTTCTTTATCTGACTCTTTGCTCGTCCGTAGACCATTATATTGTGGATTATGCACTATATTCCCGGTCTCCGGCTCCGCTGCGACGAGGAGACCGAGATCCTTGGTGTCGACGATGCGGAGATGGGCGAATTCGCATACGACTATGTTGGTATTGAAACCGAGCTCATTCCCGTAGCGAGTACAACATAGGTGCTTCTTCCGGCAGCCGCGAGCCGCAGCACACCGCCGCGACTACATCGCAGATAAGCGAGGAGAAGGATCCGAAACAGCTTGGTGGGGAGGAGGATGTTAGCCGTGTACAGTGAGGTCGTGCACAGGCTGCATTGTGGAATTGGGGTTGGGGATAACACGACTGCAAGAAAGTCTGTCACTCATTTCATCATAGTTTTTTCTCTTGTTGCATCCTAGCGTATTTACTACATTTCTGTATGTTCTGATTGTTTAACAGTAATGTACGTGCTATTTAGATATCCGGACTTTTTCTAGTCACTTCTTGATGGATTGACGTGAAAGTATGCCCCTGTACGGTGGCATAATATTCTCCAAATCAACTACTTGTTCATTTAGTGGTACACTGGTGTCATGTACATCGATACATATTTCGGGAAAGCAAGAAAGCCGGAGATGCGGATTACCACTAATTGTGGGAGTCCGCGGTTCGCAATGAACAATAATATTAGCCTGAAGACCACAGCCGTGGATTAATAATACCTTATAACGGCAGTCTCTTCCTCGACGCGAGACCGTGCAGTTCCCGGGTGTGAATGGCATATCTCACCGCCCAGGAGGTCCTACTTTTCAGGCACAATAATTTAACCACATCATGGATGAAACGGAAGCAGAATATTTGACGGCAGAGCGCAAGTTCGAGACCCGTAGATAGTTATCCAGATAACTTGCGAAATTGACGTCTTGGCGCTAGCGGTATTATATAGCTGCAGACCGCAGTCAAACTTCATAGCGGCGCACCCGAAGAGGCACACTTCAGCCTCAGCACTCCCAACCACCCTCGGCCTTGGTACAGTCCCCAAACTCTCTACGATCGGCACCCCAGGGCCATCTGCCATCTCAGACACAAAGTTTCGCACAAGGACGAACAGTACAGCCTAGAACGACCCAAACTCGGTCAAAACGATCTGGAATCAATTCTCTTAGTGCGCAGCTGCGTACCTTAAACTCTGTCAACGCAAATAGCCTTCCTAAGCACATCCGTGCTCCATCACCGAATGTCATTAAATGACGGTAGCCCTGCAGGGTTCGGGCACCATGCATACCCTCGTCCCCTTCGAGCCAGCGTGAAGGTTTGAACGTCTTCGCGTCAGGGCCCCACATGCTAACAGAGCAATTAAGCGCGGCAAGTGGGACAACGACCACTGTCCCTTTCGGGATACATACGCTCTCGGTAAAGTCACCTGTAGCTGTGCGCAAGGGTTCGCTAAGCGGGATTACATCTTCTTGTATAGCCCGTCATAGTCAGTTCGAGTAGTTTGGATTAAATTTCTGGCGGACACGCACCGCTCGTTCGATTTCCTTGGCTGCTGCGTGGAGGCGAAGAACTTCATTCACTACAGCATCCAGGTAGGGAAGCTTATTTGCAAGGTCGTCATGTGAGGGGGTTGGTCCGAACTCTAAACACTCGTCGCGAAGCTTCGTCTGTATGCCTGGATTCCGCGCAAGTTCTATATAAGCCCACTGTCAAGTTGAAAAAACATAGTGAAAGTAGTGGACTGTTCGAAACTTACTGTCATGGTGACTGATCAAAATGCAAGGAGTAGTGAGAATTCGCATGCGGTCTTGTTCTAGATGAATGTATGTTACCTGCAGTGGTCTCAAAGCCGGCGAGAAGTAGAATCTTTGCCTGGCGGTGACGGAGACCAGTGTCACATCGTTCAGGAGTGTTCTGTGATTCATATACCTGGTCTAATACTTCTTGTGGAGTCAGTCCCTCGCTCTCACCAGATTCTTCCGCTTCCACTAAACAACAGTTTACGATTTGAATCAGAAGGGCAGGACTCACAGAGCTAACCCAAACATGATCTGTCCCCCTGTTCAGTGCCGCCGGTCTCTTTTTCCTTGCGCGTCCGCGAGACCATCTCCTGGCATATTTTGCTAACGATCGGGTTCAGCTTCTGGGAGAACTGTATGCGAGGTAATGGTAGCTTCAGGATGGAAGGAAAATTTTGTGCCAGGGTGACCAAGTTGTAGGAAACGCTGGTAGATGAACTAAAGGCATTCAGGACATGCACGACATCGGAGTTGTTTCCATAGAGTGCGTCGAAATCATGAGACAGAGCAACTATGCCCACACTGTCGAGCCTACGCGGGGAGTGTTGCACGAGTCAGCAGCCTGGTAGAGAGGAATGAAACTGCATACGAGACGTGATTCATCCTACATAATATGTCTGAATGCGCGTATCGGAAACTTATCGAGCGAACAAATACCATTATTGAGCATCAATCACAGCGCAATCAGTTCCTTGATTCGATGCTATCTCATTGTCCCAAGCGATCATTGCCTGTAACAGATTTTGAGTGCAATGCAGACGAACGATTAGCGACTGACCTTGCGAGCGGTATCATGGATGAGAGACATCAAGCTGCGAATGGCAGTTGAGGTAAAGGCAGGGTTGAGAGCCTTGCGCTGCCTGTTGAATGAGAGAATGACATGGATTTAGTTCAGCACAACTTGAAGGTTATAACTCCAACTTTTTGTGATCTTCGCCATCGGCCCACAACACACCTCTTCCGACCCGTCAGTTGCAGAAGCGTACCATCATCTTATAGCTGTACAAGGAGCTAAAGGGACATACTGTCGTTCGAACGGAAAGCTTGTTGAATGGAGTCTGGTTATATAACCACGTGTCTCTTGCAAAAAAATGAGATATCGCCTTCGGATCCCATAGTATGACTCTGGAGAGTCCAAAGACGTGGGGTACCTTGTACACTGGTCCGTACTCTCTGGCCCAGTGTTCGTACAGTTCAGTGATGATAGCGGCAGAGTTCACTGTCTTGGCGAAGCCAAATGACCAACTTGGGCTCTGAGGTCCTCGTATGCATGTTGTTCGTTTTCTTTGATGGTATACCTGCAGGAGATAAAGGGACGGTATCAGAACTGAGGCACATATCGCTAAGCCCACCAGGAGCCATGCGAGGCGAAGATCCTTGAAGGCAAACCACATGTCCCTACCGCAATACTTGTGATGCGACCATGACGAGTCAGTGAGCACTTATGTACTACGGGCAGAGAATAAACAATTGAGATACGGAGCCCGGGCGAAAATGACGTGGTCGTGACGCGACACTGACACGGTGTAGGCAGCACGCTCGAAATGAATTTACAAATACTTTTAATCTTGATTATTGATGAATGCCCGAATTTGCGTACAGGCCCCGGAGTGCTGAAATGCATATCTAGATCTAGATCTCACCACATCTACAACGCTTATCCTCCACGTGCATAAACATTGGTGATGGGTTAATTTGTGTATGCCTTGGAGTTGTACCACTGAACCGGACGTTGCGTTCGATTCAGCGATTTTGCAGAACGCTGCACCGAACGTGTTTGAATGCGTTCAAGACGTTCGGTTCGGCGTTCGAACACTGAAAATATCCGTAATTCATGAAAAAGAAAGTGCGTACAGCGTGTATCTGTGCATGTAGAATCAGAACGAGGCCATGAAGACGAAGAACATGTGGTCATGTGGATCCTAGAGATGAGCGCAAAAATCACGCTGGGGTACATTGATTTTGCGTGCACTGTGCATAACAGAGTGTACAGGCCAAGTTCGGAAGAGGCGTATTCAGTAATAGAATTGGTTAGCAGTGAAGCCTGCGAGGAGTACAGCACCTGGAGTTCAAATGTTGGCCATGAGAGGGCGGGAGTGCACGGATGGTGCAATGTTAGTGGCGGTAGTGGGCGCGGCATGACGACTCGATTCGATCAACATGTTTAGTAGAGCAAAATGAAGAAAGCGCAATGGCACACGTACCTGATATCTAACACAAAAAATCAAACTACAGTTACTACACCAATCCATATTCCTGCTTGACCCTATAATGGCAGCGAATCGGTTTTAGACTGCTGTTATCCTTAGCGTTACGTTTGGAGACGAGCGAGTCCATAAGAGCCTTGAGGGCATTACCAGTATTGCATTCTACACACAAAGGTCGTTAGAAAAACTCGCCCAAGAGCACCAACAGGGCAACTAAGTGAATTGTATACGTCGAAGCAAAGACCACCATAATGATGCCAATGGCTACCATGCCAATGACCGAAGGAATGAAGCCGCTCCAGACCGATGTAAGCACGAGCCAAGTCGCCAAAGAGAGAAGAACGGCTAGCAGATGCCTAAGACCTGAGACTGAAGAAACTAAATGGGTAACCTCGCAAGCCGACAAAGCAACAGCGATAACACAGTGCAGATATCTGAATGGACCGTGGGAAATCGTTGAGCGCTTGGTTAACGAGACAGTCACAGTACTTTAAGCTCAAACTTCATCGGGAGCATATCAAACGTAGATCTGAACCCTCGATTCAGTCCATCTCAAATAGTGATCTAATGATGGTCTACGATGCATCGTGTCGAGCGTTGTCCCTACCTTGTCAAGCCTCAACCACTGTTCCGCGTCAAGCTCAAGCTCGTGACGTGTCCCTAACATCTACGCAGTATGATGGCAAATACATGCTGCGTTAAGCTTCAAGGTTTACCTGCCGCGTCAAGGCTCACTCATGACGTGTCAGCCCCGTGTCACGGCCTGGCCATCCCTCATCAATCATCCATGCTGCGTCGGTGCATCGTAAATACTGCGTCACGCCTCCCATACGCCACGTCAAGCTTTCAAGCCCCACCCTACGCGTCGGTGCCGCGTCAGCTAACATTAGTGTCCCTTTTTATCCTAACAGAACTAGACCTCGTAAGTACTGTAGGAGACAGTAATATCTAGTTGCGACGTTCCAAGAAATCTTACTTGTATGATCTAGAGAAAAAAATAGCATCGCGCTGTTGCAAATCCATATATCTTATGGCTATCGTGAGTGCTTCGATATATGGAGTGAACACATTGAAACCGTCCTCTAGGAACTAATTGAACATAAAATGTACTCCAGTTTGTATCTGGACCTCATAACCGATCGATGTTCTGGGGGACCCACTCTTTCACGACCACAGTATATTCGCTCTTGTCGTGTGATCTGATGAACGGGATGTCTCCAGTGTTGGATCGGATGAGGCAGCACAAAATAGCAAAGTGATGATCAAATTAGTGTGAGTATTTCATTGCTATCATCGTCACATTTTCTAAGCGTGTTTTGGATCTCGTTCAGAGTGCATTTCCCGTGAGGATCCCGAGACATCCCCTTGCTCCTTGCCATAATGAAGACATTGTTCGTCATCACAAATGCCTGCCCTCTTTGATATCATTAACATAAATCTGTAGAGATACAACATTGTCCCTCCATCTGAAGTACAAGTGGACCCAGCTATGCAAAGTATGTATGGTAGACGGTCGACAATTCGACGCGGTAAGGTCAATAGCATGGGGTATGAGGGTCTTAAGTCGGTATACAAAGACAACTAACCCAGCCACAAGGTTCAGCTGGCGCGGCAGGAGAAATATTCGTGGCGTCGTCCTATATCGCGTGAGTTATGAAGACATTTGTTGAAATCCTCCTTCCAATGATTTACTTTCTCTTTCGCAGCAGTAGTCATGCGGGCAATTTCTCACCTGGCCAGTGCATCTCGTACTGTGTCATTTAGTTATCTAGATGAAGCGTGTCAGATACCAACTGAGTAGTTCTCTGATGCGTTGACAACAGTGTTCATGCGGACTGAGTGGTCGAATGGTGCGCTGACAAGATAGGATTCAACAGAAAGGCGGATCCAACAGTGTCGACATGCCCCCTAAGAACGACGAGCCCTTCCCCCACAATGGACTACTACGGGTGGTGTTATCGAATGACGCGGGGCAGATGTGCGCCGTCCTTAGTCCAACACAACGACAACACCAAGTTGTCATGTCCCTTGATCTCGATGAGCGGCTCGCTCGTCATCTTTTGACCACATGGAGACCATGTTGATGACAATAAGCTAGTCGGAACCCCACTCCTGCACGACGAACTCTTGGGTGTTGTCATGCCCCCTGATGGAAAATACATCACCATTGCTATATAGATGAAACGTGAAAATCTACGCATGGAGCCCAGAGGTAGCGATCAAGTAACAGGGTGGTGTCATTCAGAGTTTAATGTAAAGCCCCACATGAAGCTCTGAGGCATGTCATCTCGAGCTCCATTTCGCATTGCATTCACCAGGGACACACAACGTAATCCACATATTAATAGAGACGTACCCATGGTCAGCTGATCCTTCATTCATTGATCTCTGACACCTGTCTTGTGTCGAAACAGCATGTCAACATTTGTCAGTATAGTTTATCCTGCTGGAACGTTTTCTTGCCTGACGCTGATACAGGAACATGACTTCTGGGGAGACAATACAAGCCGATCAGCTCCACTTGCAGGCCCATCAATCCCCTCATCATGATGGGCGCAAATTCTGTGGCATCCTTCGATTTGAACCTGCTTATGCAGGAAAACGAATACCGCTCCGACGCCGGCCCGAAAATTCGGCACATTATATAGATAGATCCTGAGATTGATGTTTTGAGGTTAGCATACAGTTTCCTTACGATACCATTACATAGTTACAGAGCAATCAAAACTCGTAGCGACGCACCCGGAGGGGCACACTTCCAGCCTCAGCACTCCCAACCACTCCCGGCCTTGGTAACATCCCCAAACCCTCCACAATCTGCACTCCAGGGCCATCTGCCATCTCAAACACAAAGGTTCGCACAAGGACGAACAACACAGCCTGAGACGAAACCAGACTAGGTCAAACCAATCCGGAACAAATGCTCGGTGCGCAGCTGCGTACCTTGAACTCTGTCAACGCAAATAGCCTCCCTGGGCACATCCGCGCTCCATCACCGAATGTCATTAAATGACGATAGCCATGCAGGGCTTCTCTTGCCCCCCGAGTACCCTCGTCCTCTTCGAACCACCGGGAAGGTTTGAACGTCTTCGCGTCAGGGCCCCACATGCTAACAGAGCAATTGAGTGCAGCGAACGGGACGACGATCACAGTCCCCTTTGGAATGCATACACTCTCGGTAAAGCTACCGGCAGCTGTGCGCATAGGCTCGCTGAGTGGAATGACGTCTTCTTGCGTAGCCTGTCATACTCAGTTCGAGTGGTTTGTGATCCATTTGAATCTGATACGCACCGATCGCGGGATCTCTTTGACTGGTGCGTGGAGGCGAAGAACTTCGTTTGCCACCGCGTCCAGGTAGGGAAGCTTATTCGCCAGGTCGTCATATGAGGGAGTCGGTCCGAACTCCAGACACTCGTCGCGAAGCTTCGTCTGCACGTCTGGATTCCGCGCGAGTTCTACCAAAGCCCACTGTGGAGTTGAGAAACACGGATGGAGTAGCGGACGGTTCGAAACTTACTGTCATGGTAACTTATAAAATGCGAGCAACGGTGAATACCTAATTTTTTTGCTAGTCGAATGCACGTTACCTGCAGTGGTCTCAAAGCCGGCGAGGAGGAGAACCCTTGCCTGGCGGAGATGGAGATCAGCGTCCCATCGTTCAGGAAAGTTTTATGATTCGTGTACCTCGTCTATTACTTCTTGTGGAGTCAGTCCCGCGCTCTCACCAGATCCCTCCGCTTTCACTATACAACAATTTCAGGGTTTATGATATGGCAAATGAACGGAAAGACTCACAGAGCAAACCCAAACACGATTTGTCCCCTTGCGCAGCACCGCCAGTCTCCGTTTCCTTGCGTGTCCGCGATAACAACTCCTGGCATATTTTGCCAATTATCAGGCGAAATTTTCGGGCGAATTGTGTGCGAGGCAATGGCAGCTTCAGGATGGAAGGAAAGTTTTGTGCCAATATGACCAAGTTGTTGGAAAAATTGGCAGATGAACCAAATGCATTCAGGACGTGCACGACATCGGAGTCATTTCCATCGAGTGCACCAAAGTCATGGGAGAAGACGGCTATGCCCGCACTGTCGAGTCTATGTGGCAGGTGCTGGATAAGACACCGGCCTGGTAGAAAGGAATGAATATGCATACGAGATGTGATTCATCCTGCATAATGTGTCTGAGTGCGCAGGTACGAAACTTTGGGGAGAAAACCTACCATCGTTGAACATCAATTACTGCGCAGTGAGTTCTTTGGTTCGATTCTATCTCACCGTCCCAAGCGGTCGCTGTCTGTAACACATTTTGAGTGAAGTGCAGGGTGAATCGATTAGTGACCTGACCTTGTGAGCAGCATCATGGAAAACAGATGTCAAGTTGCGAATAGCAGCTGCGCTCAAGGCAGGATTGAGGGCCCTGCGCTGCCTGATGAATAACACGAATTTAGCTCGGAACAACTCGGAGGTCGTTTTACTTCCAACCTTTTGTGACTTTCACCATCGGCCCATAACACTCCTCTTCCGAGCTGTCAGTCGCATAAGCGCGCCATTACACTGTAGCTGTACAAGAAGGTAGAATGATATACCGTTGCTCGAACGACGTTCTTGTTGAACGGAACTTGGTTATACAACCATGTGTCTCTTGCAAAGAAATGAGAGATTGCTTTCGGATCCCATAGTATAACCTTGGACTGTCCAAAGATACCCGGAACCTTGTACACTGGACCGTACTCGCTGGCCCAACGTTCGTACAGTTCAGTTGTAGTGGTGGAATCTAGCACAGTCTTGGCGAAGCCAAACACCCAGCCTGGGCTCCGAGGTCCTCGTATGGGTGTCGTTCGTTGTTTTCGGCGATATATTTGCAGGAGATAGAGGGACGCCAGTACCAAAACCGAGATACGTGTCGCTGAGCCTGGCAGGGACGAGACGAGGAAAATGTCCTTGAAGGCAAGCCAAACATCCCTGCCCCAGTGCTTGCTTTGCAACAAACTCATGATGATGGTTGTTAACAAGATCGATCAGTGCCCGCTCTTAAATGATAATCACAGGGCAGCAAAAGGGCAGGTGAGATGCCCGAGGGTAATGCCCGCTGGCATACACTGATCGCATCTTCAAGCTTCATCAGGCGGCTATCTGTCACGGTAAAGTTAGCAACAGCAAGCGCTCGCGGAGCCTATATTACATGCCACATTCATACTAGTGCTGACAGCGCTGACAGCTTGCAGTGCAATCCAAATCGGATTTCCATCAAACGAGATAGATAGCTTAGGAACTCAGCTGCAGATAACCCGGCGTGCCTTCATCTTTCTCGTTATTTTCAAGACTTTCAATTGTAATACGGGCCTTCGGACTGTTGCATTACTGGCAGGCATACTGTGTATCAGTCCATTTGTCGTCGTCTTGACATTTCAAATATTTGCAAGTATATAATTTATCATGTATATGGTTCTGCAGAAGTTTGCTTCACTTACCTCGCATACATTGAAGTCACTCGTGGTAGATGATACAACCCGCTCAGTTCCGGTTGCAGGCCCATCAACCCCTTCATGGGCGCAATTTCTTCTGCGTCCTTCGATTTGGACCTGCAAATGCCCGAAAACCAAGTCTGCCCCAGCCCTAGCCCGAAAATTCGGCAAATTATATACATTAGATCGATGATTTAAGGTTAGCATACAGTTGACTTTTTACGATACCATTACACAGTTGCAGGGCAGTCAAACCTCATAGCGACGCACCCACAGAGGCACACTTCCAGACTCAGCACCCCCAACTACCTCCGGCCTCGGTAAAGTCCCCAAACCCTCCACAATCTGCACTCCAGGACCGTCCACCATCTCAAACACGAAGGTCCGCACAAGGACGAATAGTACAGCCTGAGGCGAAACCAGACTAGGTCAAACCAATCCGGAACAGATACTCTCAGTGTGCAGGTGCGTACCTTGAACTCTGTCAACGCAAATAGCCTCCCCAGGCACATCCGCGCTCCACTACTGAATGTCATTAAATGACGGTAGCCATGCAGGGCTTCTCTGGCCTCATAAGTACCCTCGTCCCGCTCGAACCACCGGGAAGGTTTGAACACCTTTGCGTCGGGGCCCCACATGCTGACAGAGCAATCGAGTGCAGCGAGCGGGACGATGATCATAGTTCCCTTTGGGATGCATACACTCTCGGTAAAGCTACCGGCAGCTGTGCGCATAGGCTTGCTGAGTGGGATGACGTCTTCTTGCATAGCCTGTCATACTCAATTCGAGTGGTTTGTGTTGCATTTGAGTCGGATACGCACCGATCGCATGATCTCTTTGATTGATGCGTGAAGGCGAAGAACTTCGTTCGCCACAGCGTCCAGGTAGGGAAGCTTATTCGTGAGGTCGTCATATGAGGGAGTCGGTCCGAACTCTAGACACTCGTCGCGAAGCTTCGTCTGCACGTCTGGATTCCGCGCAAGTTCTACCAAAGCCCACTGTGGAACTGAGAAACACGATTGGAGCAGCGGATGGTTCGAAACTTACTGTCATGGTAACTGATTAAATGCGAGCAATGATGAATATCTGATTGTTCTGTCAGACGGATGCACATTACCTGCAGTAGTCTCAAAGCCGGCGAGAAGGAGAATCCTTGCCTGGCGAAGATGGAGATCAGCGTCCCATCGTTCGGGAGAGTTCCATGATTCGTGTACCCCGTCTGTTGCTTCTTCTGAAGTCAAGTCCCGCGCTCTCACCAGATTCCTCCCCTTTCACTATACAACAATTTCAGGGTTACAATTTGGCAAACAAGCGCAGGGCTCACAGAGCAAACCCAAACATGATTTATCCCCCTGCACGGCGCCACCAGTCTCCTTTTCCTTGCGTGTCCGCGATAGCATCTCCTGGCATATTTTCAACTATCAAGCAAAACTTTCGGGAGAATTGTGTGAGAGGCAATGGCAGCTTCAGAATGGAAGGAAAGTTTTGTGCCAATATGACCAAGTTGTTGGAAACATCGATGGATGAACCAAATACATTCAGGATGTGCGCGACCTCAGAGTCATTTCCATCGAGTGTGCCGAAGTCATGGGACAGGACGGCTAATACCCACACTGTCGAGTCTATGTGGCAAGGTGCTGATAAGACACCAGCCTGGTAGAAAGGAATGAATATGCATACGAGATGTGATTCATCCTGCATAATGTGCCTGAGTGCGCAGGTACAAAACTTTGGGGAGAAAAATCACCATTGTTGAACATCGATTACTGCGCAGTGAGTTCTTTGGTTCGATTCTATCTCACTGTCCCAAGCGATCGCTGTCTGTAACATATTTTGAGTGAAGTGCAGGGTGAATCGATTAGTGACCGACCTTGTGAGCAGCATCATGGAAAACAGATGTCAAGTTGCGAATAGCAGCTGCGCTCAAGGCAGGATTGAGAGCCTTGCGCTGCCTGATGAATGAGATAAAATGACATGGATTTAGCTCGGAACAACTCGGAGGCCGTCTTACTTCCAACCTTTTGTGACTTTCACCTTCAGCCCATAACACTCCTCTCCCGAACTGTCAGTCACATAAGCACGCCGTTGCCCTATAGTTGTACAAGAAGATAAAGCGACATATCATTGTTTGAAGAGCGGTCTTGCTGAACGGAGAATGATTATACAACCATGTGTCTCTCGCAAATAAATGAGAGATTGCTTTCGGGTCCCATAGCATAATCTTGGACTGTCCAAAGACACCCGGAACCTTGTACACTGGACCGTACTCGCTGGCCCAACGTTCGTACAGTTCAGTTGTAGTGGTGGAATCTAGCACAGTCTTGGCGAAGCCAAACACCCAGCCTGGGCTCCGAGGTCCTCGTATGGGTGTCGTTCGTTGTTTTCGGCGATATATTTGCAGGAGATAGAGGGACACCAGTACCAAAGCCGAGATAAGCGTTGCTGAGCCTGCGAGGGGCGAGACGAGGAAAATGTCCTTGAAGGCAAGCCAAATGTCCCTGCCGCAGTGCTTGCTCTGGAACAAATCCATGATGATGGCTGTTAACAATATCGATTAGTAACCCCCTGTCAAATACTGGTCCGAACAAGGCAACAAAAGGACAAGCAAGATAACCCTGAAAATGCTAGCATGCAGGCCGCACTCAACAGCAAGCGCTCGCGGAGCTTATATTTTATGCATAGTACTACTACTAAGCGGCTTGCCAGCAACTTAAAGTACAATCCAAACAGGATTTCCATCAAACGAGAGAGAAAGGGACAATTGCCGGTGGGTAGGTCCTATCCACTATTCGCTGATATATCCGACCTGTTTAACAGATCTACTAATTTCACAGGGTTCGATCGCGACATATGACTGTGACGGCTGACCCCCATGAAGCTATCTGACATACTGGCGACTGTTGCTCGATTTTGTCATCTTGTATGCTAGTGACTTGGACGTGAGTGCTGAGTGCTCTACGCAGCGGGACAATTTGCAAGTAGAACTGCGAGGAGTGAATTCTTGTTGGGGTACCATGGGAAGGCAAGGATAAAAGGTATTAGTGTTGACGTTTTCACTGTACAGGACGGCAAGACAATCAATTGCATGCAGGACGGATAGAAAAAATGATGACCCACGTATGTCAAACATTCATCATCAATTACAAATTATGTAATGATCACTCATCCGCATACGAGGACATTCAAGTTGGATCCGCCTTCCAGCACTAGTGCGCACTCGAATATTGGAATAACAAACATCCTTGGGGCCTGATCAAGACGAAACAAGGCATCCGTTCACTGGCAACTGCAAGCTGAACACTCCTTCCTCGCAACCAACCGAACTCCTGGATTATCACTACTTTCTATCCACTTCAAGGCATACTCGCTTCGCCTGTTCGTTCATTATGTCTCTTGGATGATATCTCTCATAAGCCTCCAAAAATGTGACTTATCCAGGTTTACTTCGAACCTTACCAGGCTGGCACATATGAAGAATATCTTTGGCGGCGCGCACCTCACAATCTTCCGATCGACGGATCTGGCGGGCGCATCGTGCTACCTGCGAGTCATCAGATATGGACAGAGTTTGTCTGGATCTCGCCAAGCCATCGTTTCTGGTGCATCTAAAATGGAATACGCCTGTTGGATTACTTGTATTGACGCATCTTCGCAGAATCATGTCAGAGAACGCTTAGGCTAGTAAACAATTCCTGTGTATCAGTCTGTGATACCAGGACAAGTCCTTAGATCCTTGGAACTGCTTGCCGTGACTCCATCGATTCAGTTGCATTCTCCACGGAGGACGACCATTACAGTTGACAGGGTTATCGAGTCACTATACTCGCTTCTCACTGACATTACCAATTCTCAAATTGGCACACGTCCCCTCCACTGGCCCCTTCACAACTTTCTCAAAGAAGAGTCACGGAGCCAGTTCTTCGTCAACGCGTCACCTTAACTACACCCACACTTGCTTGTCTGGTCTTGCTCCCGGCAATCACAAACTAATAGCATCAAGCCTGTTGCATGATAACTGGGGGGAGTCACGTGTCATGAACCATACTAAGTTACAGTACGATTACAACTTGTATGTTGTCGCGTGAAGCACCAGCACTGATAATGCTGATACAGGACGATGATACAAACCGCACATCTTCACTCCGCTCGTACATCAGGATTGATATTCAACCTGTAAATGCGATGCGCGAAGTTTTTGTGAGATCTCCGATCATCGCCGCTCAACTCCCCCTTTTAATGAGATTAAACAGCCATCTTTAGAGACACGGCACTGTGAGGCGGGCATGAAGGCCGACAGTTCAATGTAACCAAGTCAAGCTACAACGGCAGTACAACGGTCTCAAGTGTGTATACAATGATGTCCAATACAGAACAGAAGGTTCACCGTCTACTACCTATTTTCATACGACAAGATGTCATTTTGCACCACCCTCCGACTTCTAGTTCTGGAGCGAAGTAACCAAGCACCTTCCTTTCGGTATCGCTCAAAAATAACTGATATGCTTGTTGAAATAACATCGATATCACGATTACGCGCGTTCCTGATATCAACTGTGCCTCGTGGTGCAGGAAGTGCTCCTACCGATCAGCGTAAGAAGCTATGATTCATCGTAGGATAGATGCGGTACACTGATTGTGAAGTGTATAGATATGTAAATGCACCGCTGGTGGAATTTGTTCCACTAGCGATATCTTCCTCTGCGCAGGACCTTTTGCCACAAGTTGACTTGGGGAACACGTTTGGGGCACTTTATTGGGGTCACCCATTCAGCAGTGTTTGTAAACTATTTCCTCTACCGACTCTTCCGCTGATACAGTTGGTCTTAGATCCAGCTGTTAGAGCATGTTGGTTCGCGAATGGGTTTGAAACATCTTCGTCGACTTTTTGGCATACATATTTCTTTTCCTCCTGTTTGTTATCACTGTTAGTAATATGATCGAGTTTGATGAATAAATAAGTGTCCATCCGCAGGGGGAGTGTACGAATACATAACATTGAGTACTCGGCTGACGATAGTTTAGGTGTTTTTAGAAGAAAATTACGATTATGTTAAAGAAGGGCAAACTGAACAAAAAAGTGCCAAACGCGACCTGGATTATCGTCTTGGAGAGCAAACTAAGGAGAATGTTCGATGATCGTGACCAACCGAGTACACCATCTTTTTCGAGAGCAAACAATGTTAGTGGAATCCCTCGCAACTTTTACTTGTGCTTGTTGTGCAGAGTGTTCTCTTCGTAGTCGTGAATTCGTCAGATCTTCAGATGTGTATTGTGACTTGTTCTTAGAGCTTGAGCCAGGACACTGCCATGATAGTATGAGATATGACCGTGACATTGCCACTCCTCGATCCAGACGCTATGCAAGGCAACATACACTCAAGTTTAAGTCTGTATGCAGCCATCGTGGGACTTTACATCATAGCACCTTCGCCGGAAATTCATTCATGCTAATACGTTTTATAATAGACATGCCTCCACCATCATGCATCAGCGCTCTGCGTCAGAAGTCATGATTCTCTCACAGAACAAATGGCAGTGCAGTTACTCCGGGGTATATAGTAGGGTGGACATAGACTGGTTCAGGCAGCGACAATGTCTTCTTCGGCGCAGGATGCCATTCCACAACTTAATCTGGGAAACACATTTGGGGCACTTTTTATTGGGGTTGTCCTTGCAGCAGTGTTAGTAAACCATTTGCTCATTATGCAATCAAAAGCTGAGCGCTTCCTGTCGTTGTAACATATCCCTTGGAACAGTCTCTTCGGTCTAACCAATGTTCAAGCTTTCATCTACTTCCAGGCGCATAAAAGCGCAGCAGGGATAACATTTTTCAAACTGGTTGTACGTCTATGGTGTCTTGTTGTCAGTTCCGATGATCTTGATGTCACGTTCTGGCAGGTTACCTGGCTTTGGTGGGTGTCCTTTTGAGTTGCAATTATTGATCGCTTAGAGATTTTTTCCCAAACTTTTAGGATATTTGATGCTCTGCACCTGGCCTTGACAGTCCATTGCGTCTATTACTATTTGGTAACAAATTATGCGAACTTTGGTGTGCTCACGGAAATCGTATGGAGTCTCAAAGTGAGTTTCTACATTAGCTCTCTGTGCAGCTTCTAATGGGCTGGAACAGCTTCAGTTAGTAATCAACGTAAGTTGTGTTTCCTGTTTTCTGTGATCCGCCCACAACACGCACTGCACAGATTTTCATCATTCCTATGGTACATCTGTAAGTTCAATAACTGCAGTCTGTTATTGCAATATTCAAGTCATGTTTTGGTCAATAGTTTGTATGTTCATCGCATATGGAAAGGTCATCATTCCTTTACTATCGTGGATTTGCTACGTTTACTAAATGAAACTAGTAAGCAAGGGTCGATCAAGAGTTCTCCCAGCCATAGCATTGGTAGGTTTGCAATCGGGGTTCAATCACATTTCATCCTGTTGATTCACTGTCAGTGTATAGTCGTGGTCCTGAGTTCAGGCGAGTTTGTTACCTGCAAATGTTCTTCATATGATCTTTAACCTCTCCTCAGGTGTTGCCATCCGTGAGATTTCAATGGTGCTCTTGTTATTGGCTCATCATTTGACCTATTGACAGCCCTTGTATGGGCGCAGTGAGTTGATCAGCTCCCTGACCTCAGGAAATGCTGATAGCGAGTAGATATAAGGTCAACTTGTTCAAGGATTTGGTTGGAATCGAGTGGTCGACGTACCTGTCATTGGGAGCGGCTACTTTTGTTGATTTTCTCATCGCATCATCATTATGCTATCTCCTCGCCACTTCACGTACTGGGTTCTCTAGGTACGGAGCAGTTTGTTTCCTATCGGCATCTGATATACTAACGCAGATTGCTCAGCACCGATTCATTCATAACAAAGCTCGTGGGCTATACCATCAGTACTGGCTGTCTGACAAGGTACCCTTCCGTCCAGCCTACCCTATACCTTGACTAATATTTTGACAGTGTATGTTCGATGTCGATCATAATCACAGTGAGATTATATCCATTGTATTGTCTACATCCGAGGTCTCTGAGGGTTGCCTGCAGTGCGCTGTGATGCCGACAACCTTCATCTTCATTGGTCTCCAATTTTTAGTGACTAAATGTATGTCCAATAATACATTCTCTCATGATCGTGCTGACCAGCGGCATATAAGTATATGTCAACTCATTTATCGCATTCCTGAACGCGCGGTACTACATGCAGGCCAACGTGATTATCAATTCTCCTCAATTTTATGAGCGCCACGGCGTCTACCACCCGGAACTCCACATTAGCGCGTCGCAAGACGAAGAGTTTCAGAAATCCCAGAAGGACCCTGAGGATGAAGTATTACATACTGCGCAACCTATCCAGACTGCTATGGTTGGTGATTGTGCTATCGTTGATAGAAGCGGGCTAATTGATGCACCTTAGCCATAGTCGCTGACAGTGGAATGAAGTCTTTCTTGTTATTGGTAGGCATGGATTATTAACTGCGTGTCTAATTGAGAGACCACTCGCAAAAAATCTGAGTTCATAATAAATTATCATTCGTATCCTGACAATGTTTGCGGGGAGTAAGTTGTTTTGTTCTCTTGTAAATGCATGACCAGATTCGATTTCACACCAGGTTCTGGAATGACAAGCGCAGGCTCCATGATGGGAATCAAAATATGTAGTAATTGGTATGCCAGCTGCAGGGTCGTCAGACTTTAGAAACGACGACGTCTTTTTGACATCTTTAGACAATTGTATCGATACATTACCACTTGATCGCCACTGGACCCAATTGCAATTCTCTACTACCCCTGTTTAGAACAACTTGCGGTAGAAACTGGAATGCTGGAACGAGCAAGCTTTTGTTCCCGAGGCGTGATGGTGCAAGGTTCAAACTCATGGCTTATAGGATGAGTGGAAGGATGAGAACCGTCCTATTGGTGCACTATCCTTATAGATGGCAGTGTTGACACTGCCGCTGTGCCTCATTCATCATGACTTCACAGTACAGGATGCACTCCCACCACCATCATCACAAGCTATCCATCGAAGAGCAAATGCCGATGCACCTATCTCATTCTAGATCATATCCACATCTTCCTCAATGCGGGATCTTCTCTCACAAGTAGATCTTGGAAACATGTTTTGGGCATTTTTATTGGGGTCGCCCTTGCAGCGATGTTAGTACACGCTACTTTTTTGCATTCAACAGAGTTATCCTCCCACTTACGTGGGAGTCGGGGATGTGATATTGTTCCCGATATCAAACTTTGTGTCTCATCATTTGTGCAGGAAGTGCTCCCATCATCAGTGTAAGAAGCTATAATTCACCATAGAATAGATGGCAATGCAGTACACTGATTGTGAGGTATATAGATAAATGTACCACTGGTGGAATTTGTTCGGCCAGCAATGTCTTCTTCCTCCGCGCAGGATCTCTTGCCACAAATTGACCTGGGGAACACGTTTGGGGCACTTTTTATTGGGGTCACCCTGTCAGCAGTGTTCGTAAACTATCTTCTCATCACACAATCAATGCTGAATGCTTGTCGTTGTATTATAACTCATAAATAGTCTCTTTGGTCTAACCAACGTTCAAATCTCCATTTACTTCCAGACACATAGAGTCACGGGGATGACTATTTTTAAGCTGATTGTACGTATATCATGCTGTCCTATTTATCAGTTCAATCATTGACACTACACGTACGTCAGGTTATCTGGCTCTGGTAGGTGTCCCTTCGATTACAATAGCTGAACACTGCAATTTTACGCTGTACCCCCATATTTTAGGATACTTGATGCTCTACACCTGGCATTGATTGTACATTGCGTCTATTATTATTTAGTGATCCACTACGCGGACTTCAATGTGCTCACAGAAATCGTGTGGAGTTTGAAAGTGAGTTTCCTACTTTGGCCCTCTATGCAACCTGGTAACGCTTATGATATTGACGGGCTTTTGCAGTTTCAGTTAATACTCGATGTAAGTCATTTCTCCTGAACCCTGAGATTTGCACCAGACACACATTTAACAGGTTCTCATCGTTTGTACGGTACATTTGTAAGTTCGATGTGCAATATTACACGCAACATTTTAATTGATGCTGTCTCGGTCCATAGTTCGTATGTCTATCGCATATGGATAGGTACATCATTCCTAGTGATTATTTATCTCTACTAATATGATGGATCTAGTCAGCAAGGGCCGGTCAAGAGTTCTCCCGGCTGTAACAATGGTAGGTTTGCAGTCGGTACTCGATGGTATATCGTTTTGTTGACACACCGTCAGTGCATAGTCTTAGTCCTATCAGAAGGTGAGTCTGTCACTTAAAATGCTCTTCACTCGATCTTAAAAGTCTATTCAGCTGTTTCCATCCGTAAGACTTCAGTGTTGCTACCTTTGTTATTTACCCATCACTCCATGCAACGACAGCTGTCGTTTTGGCGCAGTGAGTCAGACAGCTCCCTGACTTCGCGAATTTGCTGATAGCCAGTAGATATCGGGTCGATGTGTTCCAGGACGTGGTTAAAACCGAGTGGGCGACATACCTGACTTTAGGCTCGATCACTTTTGATGATATCCTTATTGCGTCATCGTTATGCTATCTCCTCGCTACTTCCCGTACTGGATTCTCTAGGTAAGGAGCGCTTCGTTCGCTGTCGTGAACTGATATACTAACGCGGTCATTTAGCACCGATTCTTTTGTAACAAAGCTCGTGGTTTATATCATTAGTACAGGCTGTCTGACGAGGTATCCCTCTCTCCAACACACCCCATACTTTGACTAATATGTCTGCAGTGTATGTTCAATGATAGCTCTAATTACTGTGAGGTTCCTTCTCCTGCACTGTCCATGATTGCGATCTCAGACAGCCACCTATAGTGCGCGGTGATGCCGAAGAACTTTGTCTTTCTCAGTATTGGATTCTTAGTGACCAAATGTAAGATCAACACATTCGCTCAGGATCATGCTGACCAGCAGTACGGTTTCAAGTATACGTGAACTCGTTCATGGCACTTATGAATGCAGGATATTACCTGCAGGCCGACACAGGCAGTGTGGGTTCTTCCGAATTTCGGGTCCGCCATGATGTTTACCGCCCGAGCTGCGCATTAACACGTCGCAAGACGAAAAGCCTCAGACAAACGTGTCCGATGATCTAGTGTTGCAGATCACTCGACCTACTCAAGCTGTCATGGTTGGTAATTGTATTGTTGTTGATGTAAGAGGGCTAATGACACAGTTTATGCACAGTTGCCAACGACGGGGAAGATGGAAATAGATTCTTTCTCGTTGGCGTGATAGACTATCAGTAGGCATGCATTATTATTTGTGCGTTTCCTCGCGAGTAGCGCTCACAAATAACTTATGAGTTCCAGGTAAATTATCACTTTGCCCACCATATTTATGGACGTACTTCAATTGCTAGCTGTGAAACATCGGCATTCTGTCTGAGACTTGCATGTCGTATGACCTGGACTGTCCCAAACCACAGCCCCTGATCTTGTACGTTCATCCGTACTCTTCTGCTAGTCATTTTTAGAATTCAGTGGTCGTGGCGGTATCCAGCTTTGCTAAGCACCTAACTTGGGCCCTGAGTCCGAGGCCGTATGCGTGTCGTTAGTTGATGATCGATCATCAACGAACGACACGCATAAGTCATGATCAAGTCCATCTTGCCACTGCACGTCAGACAACGGAACTTGGTTGGGCAGGGTGCTATTATGTATTAGCATCAGTCAAATTGAAGGGGGCAGCCATACGATTTCTATCTGGCACAGGCCAGCCTGCGAGCTTGTTGTCCGCCCATCAACGGCCTGATGAAACACTCTGCTTTATTCTGTGACATCGGTGGCTTGGATAAGCGAAGCCCAAGCCAGAGCGTCCAGCAGAGCGTCGCGAGGCAGATCACGTTCTTAGCACCCGCTGCAGTCACCCGTCTCCTAGAATAAGTCTGTTAGCTAGGGTAAGAGGGACGCTAGGATGGCAGCGGTTCGAACCTGCGAAAGTTCTCGTCGCGGGGCTACCACTACCCCAACCGCGCCAACCTTCTCGTTCCATTAGGATAATACTATTGAGCATATATCTAGTGGGAGTACAGGCCCTGTCTCACGACTGCAACCGCGAAACGACGACCGGCCAGCTGCGTCCAGTAACCACGACCCTCCGGCAGGGTAGTTGACGGTTGGGTGAGGGCTAGTAAGGGGGAGGAGGTTAGACTCGTAACCAGTCTGACTATAGCGTCAATTTGAGATGGCGAGAATTTTTGACTACACTCGAGTATCCGTGGTAGTATATGCCAGGCTGGTCACGAGCTTAGGAGGAGGTTAGGAAGCTTCAGACCTCGAGTCTCGTGAGTTCCTAAGACCTTCATCTTTCTCGCTGTTGAATTTTGTTGGCTCGATGTCAGAAGAATGTTCTTCGATGATTGTGCTGACCAATGGTACTGTCGTCCATCGTCGTTACTGATCCTTCCGAATTTCAAGTGCGCCAAGGCGTCTACCGCCTACAGTGTCATGCATCTCGGAAAAATTCCAATAATGAAGAGCTGCATATCATCACTTGACCTATTTGGGCACTCATGCCATGGTTGGTAGTTTCATCATTGTGAATGGAGATGCTAAATGACGCACTTCAGCCACAGCCGCCAACATAAGGCTTCATACTACTATTTATGAATTAGTACGTTTCTTTTTGGGCTTGCAGATAACTTATGGGCACACAGTACTACCTGAGTAAATTCTCATACCCACATTGCCGGAAGGTACTTGCTTGAAGTTGGGTATTGCGGTACATTGTCATTTTGCCGGAACCTAGTCGGGCCATGGTACCGAACAAAGATATGGAAGGTGAGCTCTTTTGAATACGATGTCGCAAAATCGTCAAGGTAACCTTACTGCAGTATAGACAGAACAACCATTTAGTCCTCGGCAGACTGCGAGCTGTCGTGTCATGGACACCCACTGTGAGAAAAGGTGATATAGTTAGCACTAGTAAGATAGTGATTGACGCCCGCCACGCGATCTGCATGCCACGAACGTGGATGGCCCAGAACATCTTCTCCTGCTGATAAGTTCGCGCATTCTAAGAGGTGCTGCGTGTATGTACATACTAGTACTGCGCCATACGGATACCGTGACAATCGGCCATATGCGGAGGCCATCATATGGAGATGACTCAGACAGGATTGCAAGCGCTTTGTCAGCGACTTCGCCATCGAGCTCGCCATCATTAATCATCCCAAGCAAGCAATGGAGGTAAAATTTCTCTCTTTAAATTACCGGTGTGCGCGCATATAAAGTCTTCTTTATCTTTCTATCACTCATCTCCACCTTCCCCCACCTTTATCTCCCACAACAGGTTTACCCCGCGTAATCGATACCCCAGTGCGATATGACCGTCTCCATATCCACCACCAACGGCCACGCCAACAGGCATACAAACGACCTCAAGCATCACTTGAAGCGTTCCCCTGAGTTCGGGTTTTCTACGCGGGCCATTCATATAGGTTCAGAGCCAGACCCTACAACTGGCGCCGTCATCCCTCCTATATCCCTTAGCACGACGTACAAGCAAGATGAAGTGGGCGTGCACAAGGTTTGTATTTCAGTTTCACTGCATATGCTGTAGCATACCTATGACACGTGTATGGTGAATAGGGCTTTGAATATTCTCGTTCCGGCAATCCAAATCGCGATGCATTAGAGCGCACACTTGTAGGCCTGGAGGCAGGCGCAGGACATGCTATTGCATTTGCTTCTGGCAGTGCCACGACAGCAACTATCTTGCAGTCTCTTGGCCCAAACGCGCACGTCCTGAGTGTGAATGATGTGTACGGCGGTACGTTCAGGTATATCACGAGGGTTGCGAAAGAAACCACGGGCACGGAGTCGACGTTTATAGACTTGGAGAACACAACAGACGATGAAATACTAGCTGCTATGAAGGACAATACCAAGGTTTGTCTTTCATCATTTAATTTTAACCAGCTACTCACACGAACCCTTCAGCTTATCTGGATCGAATCGCCAACAAATCCCACCCTCCGACTAATTGATATTCCGCGTATAGTAAGTCTTGCGCGTCAGGCTCCATCAAAGCCCCTCGTTCTCGTCGACAACACCTTCCTCTCTCCATTCTATGGCTCCCCGCTCCTACAGGGTGCTGACATCGTCATTCACTCCCTCACCAAATACATCAACGGCCATTCTGATGTCGTAATGGGTGCTGCCATTGTTCCCTCCTTGTCCACACCAGACAGAGACTATGACAGTCTCGTCCAAAAGCTTCGTTTCCTCCAAAATGCTCACGGCGCCGTTCCGAGTGCATTTGACTGTTGGCTCGCCCAGCGCGGCGCCAAAACTCTTGCAGTGCGGATGAAGGCCCACGGTCTGAATGCACTCCGCGTCGCCTCTTTCCTAACTTCACACCCCGCTGTCGAACACGTCATCTACCCGGGTCTCGTCTCACACCCGCTACACGCTCTAGCACGCACCGTCCCTAAGCCCACACACACAGCAGTTCCTCAGCACCCTACCGCCATCGACCCTTGCGCACGGTATACCGTACGGCGGGATGGTCTCATTCCGTCTACGTGGTGGTGCAAGGAGTGCAGAGGCCCTTCTGCCGAAACTTAAGCTGTTCACGCTTGCTGAGAGTTTGGGTGGCGTAGAGAGTCTTGCGGAGTTACCTGCGCGGATGACCCATGCGAGTATCCCGCCGGCGGAGCGTGAGGCGCTGGGTATTGAAGGGTTAGTGCGCTTGAGCTGTGGGATTGAAGAGGCAGAGGATTTAGTGGACGATTTGAGAGGTGCAGTTGGATGGGCTGGAGGACGAGGATAGTGGGTGTGAGAGTGGATTGATGACGCCGTCTGATAGTGAGTGATGATGGGGTTGGTGCGAATGGGGTGCATTAATTGTAGATCTTGGTATTTATTACCGTAATCATTTATATGCCTACTAGTGACCAGATGGTACACTGTTGTGTAGGTTAACTTTTCATTGTGCGTTAGTGTACAAGGTCTGAACGTCTCGAGAACATGCGGTCAGTGATACGCTGGATATGCAGAAGAGAGCGTGCGACTGAATCATCTGTATACATATGTATGGTTTTCGCGTATACAGTACGGCATCAGGACATGCGTCGTACATACATAATGGGCGCCCATAGAAGGTCAAATCTTCTTTGGGATTACATCTTTCTTATGCTCAGATACCACTTGTGGCTCCTCAACTAGTCGTGCATTCGCATTCCTATATAATGTCGGTTGCAGGCAAGCACCCGACGCTCAACGTCCTGTGTTCATATTACCCGGAAGTCCATTGCCTTGATACCTACATTCGCCGATGTACCAAGAATGAATCATGTAGAAGAGACGTCAACCAGTCTGACTTCTTGTTACAAGGACCTGACTCGATCCAATATCGAGAATTGCTTAGCTCCTCGTTTGTTTGCTTGTCGAAGGAGACTGTGGCCACTACCAAGTCTCCTCAATTCCAAGTCTGCGAACATTATGATCGCATGAAAGACGTGAGTATCTATATTTCTGATTATCCAGCAAGGAACACTGTCTAACGGCCTGTGAAGGTTATACAGAAGGCTCATGAACGTCTATTCGCCAAATCCAAACCTAACAACATTATCACGTTAGGATACAAGAGAGTACGACCCTTACCACCACATTCAATACCTTGCATATCTGATCACTGTAGGTCTTCGACAATGCAAAGGGAAATTCGCGTGGCATCACCAGTTGCTTTGTCAACACGGTCATCACAGCTCTGGAGGCTGCTGAATGGGAAACACTGTTAGAAAGGTAAAGCCACAATCACCGCGAGGCTCACTGCTAACTCTTCATATAGAATCGGAGTAGATATTATGCTTCATCTCCTCACGAAGACCTCCATCTTCATCAAGCTGCCGAACGAGTGCTTGTGTCAATTAACGGGTGAGCCCCTGATTCATGAAATCCCTCCAAAAATCGACGGGTGCACGGCTTTGAGTGATTCGGAAACATCCAATCTTGGAAAGCGGAAGAGACATCCTTTGGAGTGTTCAGGACCGCGGAAGCGGCTCAAGGTTGTGAGATTAAAGGATTTTCGTAGAGTTTTCCCTAAGAGCTTGACTAATGCGGCAACTATTTCTTTTGAACGGTGAGCAAGGGACCTAGCTCTGCTTTATGTTACTGATAAATCCATCAGACGAACATCTGGTGACATTTCATTCGTCCGTGCACGTATCTTTTATGCACGACCAAATCGTGAACCCAAGTCACAATGTCTCATAGTTGGATTACCGTATACCCGTAAGCATCTACCAAAAAGAATATTCGCAATGATTGACTGACGTCTAAAAGACGTTCTTAATCGGCTCAAACCGTCGTACATAAAGCACACAGTCAATCCTGAAACATTTCGTGATCCTGACCCGCGGGATGAAGCCCGCAATGCGCGACATTTGAGCAAATATATATTTCCCCTCCAATATGGACTCTGCAGTGTTTTTACTTCCCAGGTGCCTAGTAAGGAGCATTACGAGCAGCCGGATTTTACTGATAGGGAGCGTGAGATCAAGGTGAGAGAAGGCAATATTTGTCAAGGTACACGAATATTGATCGATGCATACATTTCAGCTTCTTGGACGTGTAAGACGCCAAAACGGCTGAAGGATGTGCTTGTGTTGTTAGAGAAGTTGATCTGGCGGCATGGTAAATGCCGTTATAAACTACTTAGAGATAAAGTTTGCCCGTCAAAGGTAAGCAAGCTCTTTAGATGATAGCATGCTTTGGTTTGAAGTTCACCCATAGATCGAAATGACGCACGAAAAAATTATGGACAGTAACATCATTCTTGTGAGCAGGGGAATACTGAATCGTGGCTTTGATCACTATCTGTTGCGCAGGAAATGGTTTCCGAAAAGAAGTCAACCGAGCAGGAGTTGCAAGTTCCACCGAATGGCATGGCAATCGATACTATGGCAAATGTTGTCGCATGCGAAGGTCGCAAGGAAATGGTACGCAAACCGCGATTTGTAGGACTTCACATGCAGTTACTCTGAAGTACTTGGCTCATATGTCCCTCAATGTGACTTGCTAATGATTGAGCTAGGTCATTCGCTACGCCTGTACTTGTAACTAAGGCTGTCATTCCAAAAGCTTTCTGGGGCTGTGAGAGAAACTTCAAGGTAATCGAAGGCTGTATGTATTTTCATCTCGCTTATGATCATATCAAATATCCACTGACACTTGTTAGATATCAAGGAGATAGTCGCAGGTCGCAGGTATGAATCGTTGACATTGCATTACATCCTTCAAGGTTTTATCACATCAGAATGCAATTGGTTGATACCACCTGGAGATGGTGCCCTGAAGCAGCGCAGAGTGTCGGTCACGGATTCTCTGAAACGCCATGAACTGCTTGAAGAATTCCTCTTCTGGTATTTTGACTCGTTTCTGTTCCCATTGCTTAGGGTTTGTGTCGTGAATCAATATAAAGATCTTGGTTGATGTGTTTTCTCCAGACTACATTCTATATCACAGATTCATCCGTATCTCGCAATCGTGTTCTGTATTTTCGACAGGACGACTGGGAGTCGCTCTGTCAACCCCTGGTGCGCCAGTTCAGTGAGAATATGTTCCAAGAGATTGATAGGGTGCGCCTTGAATTTAGTCTAGTCCCCCTTGTTTTTAATATTCTGCAGTCTGAAACAGAAGAGATTCTCCGGCAACGACAACTTGGATTTTCCTTTGTACGGTGGCTGCCAAAGGAAACTGGGGTTCGTCCCATTGTCAATCTGCGGGGTAGGGCAAGTAGCAAGGTTCATTCTTTCAGTAGCAGTCATGTTATGTGTCTTGATCATTAATGCATAGGAACAATATACAATACCAGCACTGTCGATCAATCAGACACTCAAAGCCACGTTTGCTATACTAACTTATGAGAAGGTGCGACACCTTGTTCCGGCTGACTAGGGAGGACTCACATGAGCTTCCGGAATAGCAACGCCAGCCAGACCTCCTCGGAGCATCCGTGTTCAGCCCACATGAGATATACCCGGGGTTGAAAACAGTTCAGGACGGAGTTATTGAAAGATACGCCATCGGGCACACTGTATGTTTTTTATCAAGTTTTGGCGCTACCACTTAATCGCGCCATTCACAGTCCGAAATTATATCTTGTCAAAGTTGACGTCCAAGCATGTTTCGACTCTATTGAACAGACGAAGCTGCTGGAGATACTCCACAACGTAGTATCTGAGGTAAACGGTCATATCTTCTTTCTATCTTGAAATTCATGTCATTGCACAACAGAACTACATGATACGGAAGTATGGGCAGGTCAAACCTGTAGCTGGGAAAATTCGGCGGGCTTACATTAAGAAGGCGCATCCAGAAGGTTGGAGGTTTTGTATGTTGCAGCTAGCCACATACTGATAGGATATTTCTCAAGACGAACATACGGACTTTGTGGCATATGCTCGTGGTTTATCCACTGTCCTGAAGCAAACAATTTTTACAGATCAGGTTCGTCTCACAATGCGTGGTTTATAGCAGTATTCACTTGTCGCGCAGGTTGTGTACGATTTTCAGTCGAGGGCAGCCACTCTCAAGCTTCTAGAAGAGCATATAAAGGAAAACATTGTCAAAGTTTGTCGTATCCGTTTCATAATTACTTTGCTTGCTATGTCTTTCTTCAGATCGGGACGCGATACTACCGGCAAATTATCGGCATTCCCCAAGGATCTGTGTTGTCGACTATCTTGTGCTCATTTTTATTTGGGGATCTGGAGAGAACTCATTTGAATATCTTGGATGACCCCAAAAGTGTGCGTGTCTCGTTCCTTTGTATGAGCCCGCCCTCTTAACAACCCATAGTTATTGCTGCGATGCATTGACGACTACCTATATCTGACTACGAGTCTGGAAAAGGCAAAGTGTTTCCTAGATGTCATGAATAAAGGTAAAGTAACCCCTTTTCCTGCTTTACCAGACCTCACGCTTTGAATATTGCAGGACATCCTGAATATGGCTGTATCGTATCGAAGGAAAAGACGTTGATCAATTTCGAGTATGAATCAATTGAGGCGGTCAATATCACCGAGCCCACCCAAACATGTATGATACATCCTTTCTTGCTCTTTCGTTGCTTGATGGCCGATAGATTTTCCTTGGTGTGGTTTGTTGATCGACATGTCTACACTCTCCGTCAGAGCTGATTACTCAAGGTATCGTGGAAATGGTGGGGGTTCCTTTCTCGCGCACGCGGTGATTAACCTCATCCTTCGATGCTGTAGACATGGAGTACTCAATCACAGTACACAAGGGGCGTCGCCCTGGCCTCGTGTTTATCCACAAGATGCTACAGTAAGTATGGGTTTTCCCGCATTGACTATTAACTGATAGTCGTCAGGTCTGCCAAAGCTAGGAGTCATGTTATATACACGGATGCCGGCTTGAATGGGTTACATACTGTATATGTCAACGTCTATCAAAATTTCATTATCTCCGCAATGAAGATGCATCACTATCTCATGACCTGGGGTATTAATGTCGCGAAGAACACGAAATTGCTTCGCGGTGAGTTGGATCTGCATGAACCTCGGAATGATTCCGCTGTACTCACTACACATAGATGCTATTGGACACACTGCTAGATGCGCGTATAGCACGATATGCCGGCAGTCCTCCAGCAAGACATCGGACCTGCATGGAGGAACTTGTGATGTGCAGAAAAGTTCTGTGATATGGTAGGCGTTGATCTCAGTTGCATGTCCTTTTATTTGTCAACATCTTCAGGCTGGGAATGCACGCATTTTACACTGTTTTGTCGAAGAAGCCTGAGATCTATGGTACCTCGACGTTGTTGAAGTATCTTCGATTCGAGGTGTCGTTGTCTCGCAACAAACGGTTGAGACGTCGGTTGGGAAATGTGGTGAAAGATGGTCTTTCGGGCGTGGCTGCATTGAATTTTTGAAACGATGTGTTGGCATAATATCATATGATCCGTACTGCTTGTGCAAGACTCGTATTCTTCTACTCCAGGAGACTGGAGGACCGTTGGACTGGCATATCCCACTCCACGGTGGAGATAAGAATTGACGCTTAGATTACAAGATCTCACTGCACAGGTTTTCGATTATCACCTAAGCTGGGCGCCTGCAAGTACAGCATGCGAAATAGCATATCTAACAGGTGTCTTTACTACTTCCACTATCATTAACGTCCCCGATTATTGTCATGTCAGCGAAACGGAGAGAGGCAGATCAAGGACTAATATCAGGCTCATCAGAACCAGTTCCTTCCCTGAGACGCGAAAAGAATCCGCCACCGTATGGTGCACAGCACCGCCAGGATGCACTTTGGGAAGGTGAGCAGCATATTGTGAAACTTATTGACCGACTCAATATTAAGCAGGAGGGAATGAGGCGCTCCCTCCTATGTGGATAGAGAGCAAGGTGGAGCGGAATGATACACTACTATATCACGACAATGCACTCTTCATGTACATCATTTCACCGACCTTTACCAGGAGTGCGACTAGGTGAGTGACGAAAAGTGCGATGAGAGCGACGAACTCATGGCGGAGCATAGATGACACTTGGGAGCTCGTTCCCGGATGCGAATGGCACATCTCACCACTCGGTCGGTCCTACTTCGTCAACCACAACACACGAACCACATCGTGGAAGAAACCAACGCCAAAACGTCCAGCAGGGAGTTTGATGCCAGAGTGCATCATCAAGTGCGACAGCTCGTGGTACAATGGCAACCTTGCCTGGTTGAGCACTAGTAACGATATAATGAGTATCTCGGATGGTTTATTTCGCCAGCGGACAAGAGCTGGACAGCCGGTGGGAAAGCCTTTCAGTAGCGAGGCAGGAGATGTATTCGCAATAGCAGTGTCTCCAGATCAATTGATGGTCGTAGGTAGCTGTGTAGATGGCAGAGTACGGCTGTGGAACATAAAGGAGGGGAGTGTGGTAGGTGACCCGTGGGAGGGGAATAATGATGTAGTGCAGTGCTTCGATTGGTCACCAAATGGGGTGGAGGTAGCAGGTGGATTCAACGACGGCACTATACGACGATGGAACGCGACAACTGGCCGACAAATTGGACACCCGATAAAGGGAAGCAATGAATGGGTGTGGAGAATCAAATACTCTCCACAAGGTGACAAATTCGCGAGTGGCAGGTGAAGACGATATGATCCGTGTTTGGTCAAAGGACGGCGAGTTGCTCATCGAGTTCGAGGGACATGACAGCTGGGTGATGTCATTATGTTGGTCCAAGGATGGCGCATACATCTTCTCTGCCTCATTGGATAACACCGTCCGAAAATGGCAATCGATTGACGGGAAAGAACTTGTCGTTATTCGAGGTCATACCAAACCCGTTGAATCCCTTTGTTTGTCTCCCGATGGATGTCATCTTCTCAGCGCATCAGATGACTACTCGGTCGCATCTGGGATCTCGAAACCAATCAGCAAGTTGGAGACCCACTCTGGCACAACGGCGAAGTCTTGGCCATCGCCATGTCCTCCGATGGCCAATACTTTGCCAGTGCTATCCCTGGACTGGATGCAAAAATCTATGTGTGGAGCCTGGAAGCAGCACTCAAGCATGCTCGCGGGGTTGGGGTGCGTGTGTACATTACTGGAGTCAGAGTCTTTTCTGAATAGTTTTGTGCCTCGGTCAGGGCGATGCAGAGTCCAACGCGAAGCTCAAGGCGAGTTACTTTTCTTTCTTTCATACTTCTTCTGACTTATTTACCAGGGACATGCAGCTCGATCCAGAGATGTGCGCTAGTTAATTGCGAATTATCTGATCCTTCGCTTATTCATTTATCTCATCAGATATCTCTTGCGCCTAGACAGCAAAGCAACAACAGAGGCTTGGCAAGATATGTGAGCCAGGTTTGATCCTTCCTGAGCTCTGCCAGCTTGACACTGATACAGGGCAATGACTTTTGGGGTGATGACACGAACCGTACGCCTCGTCGCTTAGCAGACACATCATCTCCGCCTCGTCTGCGCAACTTCTTCAGCTTCCTGCGCTCCAGCACTCGACCTACAAATGCAATCCAGCTCCAGCCCCGACGAATGAATTTCAGCTTACCTCATGTGAGAATCTCCAGGCGCCCCGTCGATGTTGCTCCTTGCCGTGAGGAAGACGTGAGTCGCTTGTCATCACTACCCTTTGGGATATCACAAATCATTTCGCAGAGATATGGGATTGTCCCTGAGTCCGACACAGAAGCAGCTGCAGCCATGCAACGTACGAATAGCAACAATGTCGACAGCTCAACGCAACAAGTACAAGCTGTAGCAGGGGCACAAGGGTCTCAAGGACAAAGCGCTCAGGGGCAAAGTTCTGATTTCGAAGGAGGAGAAACTCTGATAGGATGCTGTGGATTTTATCTTGTTCGTCGTCGGCCCGCATCGAACTAGTCCTTCTGTTGGTCTAAGAGGGAGGATAGTATTGTGGTTCTTGCGAGTAGTGATTCCTTGACGTGCATGAGCTAATGCAAACATAATGTCTTATCTCTCACTGGCTCATATAATTTCTAATGACAACTGTCGAACTGGTATTTCCCCTGTTCTATTCAATGGATCAATCTCGCCATTTGTATCGGTATTGATCAATACCAATGAGTCCGGATCAAGGTCAGTACTTTCATCTCTCAGTGCCTATCTTATTGTCGGAAAACATAACGCAGATGCACATTGCACAGCATGGACGAATCAGGATCTTGATACGAGACTAACTCACAGGATTGCACCCAATTCATACACAAGCGTAAGCTCCATAGTTTGTTGCTATGTCACGTTAAGGACCCGGTGGTCATGGAGAAAGCGTCGATCCGACTCAAAAGGCAAATCAAGAACGACGCAAGGAAGACGAGCACAAGAAATCACCAAGCACGACCATCGGAGAACTGAAGGCAGGGCACTGAGAACTTGAAAGGTTTGTTTTGATGCACCGTGACTTCAGGTTTAGTGTAAACTGCCGACCGAGGATGTAAACAGAGTGTCATGATCAATGATATGGTTCAGGCAAGTGACCATACTGGCTATTATTGCAGTATGTCCTGAGCCCAGGTGAGCAGTTGGTTGTCTTACTATCAGAACATCCTCGAGGCTCCCGCTCTGAGAAGATCCTTGGAGGCTGCCATTTGATTGCATTAGAAGCGACTTTCCAGTCTAGCATTCGCTGTCGTAGAACATAGACGCGACTACCAATATCTTCTATACCAGCGTCGGTTAGCATAAATGGAGAGAATGGTAGGGCTGGCATTGAGTAATAAGCGTTGAATAACTTCAAACAACAAATGAGATTTAGTTACAAGGATCATTATTATTGGCAAGCACAACAGCTATGATACACTCGTCTAGCATCTTCTCGTCTTTATCATAAAATCAATAAAAAAAGATCAACCGAGTCGGATCCTCTTCCCTGCTTTGTTTGGCGTAGGCGACGTTTCACCTTCCAGTCGAGGCCTCTTCCGCTTGAGGAGGCTGAGGAGCGGACAAAGTTCGATATCACCAGCACGCTGTTGCGCTTCATCGAGATATCCTGCGGCGTCTCTATGTATATCTTCCAGCAGGGAGTTATCAAGCGCAAGCAGGGGGTACTTGGACTCTGCCGTTCGATAACTGTCTTGGAGAGTCTGTGCAAAATGTGGAATTTTATAGCAAACGTCAAGGCATGTATCTGAAAGGATGGATTGGCAGGTCTCCTGAAGCTTTCTGATGTTGGTGAAGAAGTTTTGGCGTGTTCCATGGCCAATCGCACCAGGGAATGCCAGCTGAAGTTTCTCCACTGGGCATCCACATCAAAGGAATTGCTGGAGTTCGCCGTGATCGTGTCCGTGTGATAAAAGAAGATCCACGTATATGCCCACCACACAGATTCGATGTCGTGCAGGAAGTTCACGCGGAACGGAGGGCGGGGCGGGAGGCCTGTACCACGAGATATTCTACCAGATGGAAGGGAAGGTTGGGGGAAGAACATGTACTCCTGATATTCTACTTCTACCGCCATGAAATGCATTGTTCCCTGCCGACGAGTTAGCAGCGAGAAGTATCATCTTCAGGAATTCTTACCGTTCGAACGTCGTGGGAAGTGATTGAATTTATCTCTTTCGCGTACTCAAAGTCACCCAGTTTGCCGATGCCCCCATTGTCATCGACGACCCAAATCACGTTCCCGACGCTGAAATCGCGATGGACCCAACCTGCTTTATGCAAATAAGATAGGGCTAAGGTGGCGTGAGCGATCGAGGTAAGGAGAATAAGAATGGTTGCTTTACCCTTCAGTCCGCCGGACAAACAACTCAGGTTGTCGGCCAGAGAGGTCATATCCTTGACAGCGACTCCAACATCATGGAAAACGATGCGCGCGTGGACTCTCTGTGGGATTTCAGCGTCCTTTCGCCCAACAATGCCCAATCGTGTAGGAAGAAAGGCACAAAGTTTACCACTGTCAGGGACATCGCTCCGTAGCAGATAAATGTGGCCTTCGAAGAGGATGGGCTTGATATCGATGGGTTCCCACTTCCAGGTGTCATTATGCTCGTCTCCGACCATCGGGTTCACCGTCTCATCCGAGGCACCGTCGATCGTGACATCCTTCCAGAGCCGGACTCCAACGAAGTGTCTCTTGGCATTGGTAAACTCCTCCACTCCCAGCTTCTCGCAGGAGGCCAAGATTTTTTCTAGGATCTCGCCCTCAGATTGGCGGTCAACTTCTCGCCACGAATCTTTGATGGCAACCTTCTTCCCATTAGCGTCAATGGCTTCGTACACGCGAGTTCCACGTCCAACCATAGAGTCTGCACCGTAGGTGGCAAGTTCCCGTGTCGTGGTGAACATTTCGTCGCCGACTGCGAACTTGTATTGGATTTTTTCTCCTACATAGATCCGCTCGACAGTGGGATCCCATCCGAGTCCGTTCAAGGAGGTAGACGCAGATGCAAATCCAAGAGCGTAAAAGAGAGAGATGACACTATCAATGTCCTAGATGCATTATACCAGTTAGTACCCTGACATGCAGCGCGATAAGGTGGCGTACCTCGAAGCAGTTGATAGGCTCTGTAACTGCAAGGAACGCACGATTGCTGAGCCACAGTCTCAATTGCGTGTCCTCGATCGTGATACCGAAGGCAAACCGACGACAGGGGTCCTCGCGCATGATGTTGTGAAGGCTCCAGATTATCTTATGTTCGTTCTAGAGCAGGGTGCATAAGCCGGCGCCGACAAGATCTGTAACAACAACATACATCTCGGAGAGCTCTGGCATCCCGTTCCTTCTTGAACTCGAATGGCACAGCGATATCAAACCAATGCATCCTGGGCGCAGTTTGATTGCTCGCCCGCACAAGGTATCCATCCGGCTGGGAAGTATTGTAGGCACTCTGAGATGGGCGTTTGATTTGAATTCGATAGGTAGGATACTCCACAATTAGGGACTTGTTCCAAGATTCCAGAGATGATTCCTTCGAGGGGCTTGAACGTCATCTCTTCGGACATCTTCGCAGGGCAGATGAAGTCCTTCCATTCCAGGCCGTCGTCGGTGAGAATCTCGCCTTGAACTAAGTTGTTGCGCATCTCCTCCAGACGCTGTTGAGAAGGCATGGCACTGACACACTTCGCTAGGGAAACGAACGGGACCTGCAGATACCTTCCTAAATCAGTGAGAACAGCCTCGCGGCCTAGCTTAAGATCCCCTGTGCGATAATCGGATTGTGAGGTGTGGCGAGGGACTAGAACTGTATCTGGTAGTAGTACCTGTGACTTCCGTGATCGTGGTGTATGAGGGGTGGCCATCGTGGTTCGATTTGCGAAACAGTTCGGCTTTGGGGAGAAATATTCGAGGTTGCACAAGAACAAGACTGAAACTGTTATTGCAGTGCTTAAATACTTTCGGATTCGCAGATGTGGCTACGTGCCTCAACACAGGGGACCAAGAGCGAGTCGTACAAGGTGGAGCATTTGTGTGTTATTCAACTTCAACTTATGTAATCCTGGGTCATCTAAGTATGATCTCACGGGGCGTACCACGTAGCTATTTTGATGCAGTCCTGCCGCAGTCGTGACGCACAAGTAATGCGGCCAGTGATGCGCTAGTGCAAGCATTCCTATATTTTACGTTTGACTCCCACATCAAGTTGCATGGGTGCATGATCGTTCGGTTCGTTGATTTTATTCACCATAGGCACACGTGACATTTTTCAGCTGGCAGTGAAGGGCGACGTTTCATGGGCGCAATTTCTTCTTCAACCGGCGGTAGGGAAGGAGCTACAACATCAGACAACTCGTCTGCAGACGTGGCATCAGAGTTGTCGCTGAATGAGGGGCTGCGCTGTCGATCACACCAATTAGAGACCTATTGGGCAGAGCAGGTAATGTTTACTGTAATCTCTTCCCAGAACCCACTCATTAGGAATGTTGAGATACACATTCCACAACCTGTAATGTTGATCAGCATCCAAACTCTACTGCTGGTTGTACGCAGGTTCTATTTCTTCAGAATCTTCAAATATCCTTGCATCTAGTGTTGTCTGACACTCGAGGTTTATGTCAGCCATGCAGCAGGAGATCGTGGCTTGGTTGGGTGACATGACCATCCTCGACTGGACAACATTCTGAGTTTGATAGCTGTCTTCCAGCCCATGTTACCTCTTACAACACTGCTCCATGCACCCTTCCATCTTTGTCTGAACATCAGTACTCTTGCTCTCATGATGCAGTTATCTTGCTTTTGCATATGCCTCTCTCACATTGTTCCTTTAGTGTCATTTACTTAGGCAATGATGAAAATCCTGTGGCATCGTCTTCTATGCGTGAGTGAGTTGACCTGTATGGTACTTTCAACCCAGTCTTCAAACCCTGCTGCACCTTGATGCAACCTCAACTAAGCACCCATAGTCCAACAACCTTAAGATAGAAGCATGGCTCACACACTAGCCCATCTGCGCAGGGATGCTCACCCATCGAAGTTGGCGTTTTCATCAATGCCTTGTGTGTGTCTACCAGTGCCTGAATCTGCTTGGCAGCTCATACAGACAGGGTGCTATGAGGTCATTTTGGGAAATATGGCAAGTGCTCAATCAACTTAGAAATAGGTTTTATCTCATACTTTACCAACCATCCTCAGTGTCACCTGTTGCTCCAGTGCAGTGAAAATTTCCTGGAAATAGCTCAACTCAGTGATTGACTGTGCGCTATAAGAGCTGTGCCATGACGAAACCAGAACAAGTTCATCCATGTGCCATTGAATCTGGTCGGAAGGTAGATTCTATGGTTCGTGCACATCCACATCATTGCCATGATAATCTGTGGCAACTAACAAATAGTAATTTTCACAGGTCAAGGGTACATTGTGTGACCTAGAAGGAACAATAAGTCTGCTCTGGGCCACTGGGTCACAACCTGTGGTCCCACACACAATGTACATCTATTGTTGTGGATGTGATACCACCATTCATGAGGTGAGTATTAAAAGTGGGGCTCCTTCTAAGCAGCTTAGCATCTTACTCCCCCGTCATGGAGCCTGCTATCCACTCTTGATTTAGTGACCTTCCTCTTGAGATTGCCCAAATTATCCTCACATATGCAGCAGAGCTGACGTTCTCCCAAAAAGAGAAATATGATGATGAAAATCCCTATGCAACTGCCCTCTCACTGTGTCTCATCTCTCGATTTGTGAGATGCATCACCCTGCCCAAATTCCTGCACACCATCTCACTCTGCCGAATTGACAGCATGAGGATGTTCACAAATGCTCTTATTATGCAGAAAGCATATGCTGAGGAAAAAAGTGATCTTTTCTTTGACTATACCTCCGTCATACAGAGGATATGGATCGGTTACTCTGTAGAATCTGGATTACAAGACTATGAGCTTGCTTCAGAAATGAGCATGCTGGTGCCAGTTTTACTGGCCACACCAGCACTTGCAATTGAGTGCCACTATTTAGTGCTTGTTATTCAGAGCATGGAAGATGCGTCAACCTCCCATGCAGATCCCAATGTCGACCACGGACCCTCCCCTTTTCCTGGAAAAACCCAGAGTCTAATGATAATGGGTCACGTCACCTGCAATATGATCTTCCACAACATTCAAAAAGGATCCATTTTCCTTGCATCAATCCCCCATCTCACCTACCTGATCGATCTGCACTATGACTCAGACAATTTTTGCGACGTCAGCAGGGGCTTAAAACCCCCATCATTCCTGCTATATTGGTGGTTGCTGGACATTCCGTGGACTTGTATGAAGAACCTTGAAACTTTTTCAGTAGTCTACCCGCATCTGGCTGAGCCCTACAAGACATGTTCATATATCGATCACACAAAGGGAGTAGACTTGCATGTGGAGTGGCTCACGGTGTCTGCTCCCCTCTACAGGCAGGACCCTGTATCTTTCCTGTGGATGGAACCACCGTTTCCTGTGACACATCCTGGGCAGAAGAGGATTCAATTGGATGGTGTTTCCTTTGAGGTCACAGACTATTGCGAACACTTTTGGCAGTTCTATTATACATGGGATAAACCTTGGTCCTGCGGGATAACTGACGGATCTGAGGGGTATCGGGTGTTATGAAGATCATGATAGATGACTTATCTTGGATATGTACTTGCCTGCAATTGTTTCCCCCACTTACTATACGCTTACTATGGACTTCTCATACCCAATGCATATGATGGAAACTGTATGATTCATGAGCCATAGGTCATGGCATGATCTTGGTTCCAGATCCTCAAATTGACAGAGTGAAAGGAAAAAAAAAAAAACCAACAAAAGTGGGTACCCGATGAATGACCACATGCCTTTTCAAGTGAATGAGTGATAGACCGTTACTGAACAAGCAAACAATTGAAATCAATGTTACGCTGAAACCCAAGCAAATTTATTTAAAGATATAAAATTTCCTGCTGAAACCATGGACCATGCATGAGACTCACTCCACAAGGTAGCGGGAATTTCGCACAGGATGTGTTCATGATGCACGCCAAGAATGCAACTCAAGTAAGGTGGTCTAGCTTGGTTTCTTCGCAGGCCAGTGGTGAGCTTCCAGAATGGGGTTTTTTTTAAACAAACAAACAAATGTATTGTCCTTCAGGGGTGTAGACCTTATATCGGTCATAGCTCTATTCGAGTGTGGGGGATTTACTTGCTGCTTTCTATCATCTAGAAGGTTTTCATAACCAGTTGTGAGACCTTGAGTTGTATCAACCGATGGAGAGTGACCTACTGAAACACCTGTAGTAAAACTAGGCAGGGTCAAATGTGAGTGCTGGCTTGATTCTGAAGGTAACAGCACAAAGCTTTTTTCTCCTAAATTCAAGTTCATGTCTGAAAGGGACTCACATAGGGCTTTCATCCCTATCACATGATTACTAGACAACCGAGAAAATGAGTGGGTTCATTTGGCTGCATGGTATGGCAGGTGTCAGAAAGTCTGCTGTTGTATTCACTGTGGCTGAAAGGATGAGAAGTCTGAAAGTAATAGAGCAGACGGATGTCGAAACAAACGGTTTGTAGGAATATTCTGCCTCGTGAAGCGTTGGGTATTGAGGGGCTGGTGTGCTTGAGCTGTGGGATTAAGGGAGTGGAGGATTTTTAGTGGAGGATTTGAGGGGTGCATTGATGGGTTGAGGGTAGTTGGTGTGAGAGTCTGATGAGAGTGATATGGGCCCGGTGTGGCTGACTGCGGTGTGAATTGGCTGCATTGTAACTTGTACCTGTTGGTGTTCCGGATATGTGTGTAGATATCACAGCAATCATTTTGAGCGTCTATCAGATGGTATACTGCTGTGTGAAGGTTAACTTTTCATTGGACAATGCATATAGTCTGAACATCTCAAGAACATACAACCCATGAAATATGATTCGCTGAATATGCAGAAATGAGTGTGTGGGTGAACCATATAGGAGACTGGTCAGCGATTGATCTATTTAAGAACTGGCACCTACTAGTAGGATCTAGACCCGTGACCAGTTGCTGGAGTGGGGAACCCCTATTAGCAGGTGGATTAAATGATGGCACGATATGACGATGGAACCTAGCTACTGGTCGACAAATTACACTGCCAAAAAAGAGAGGCAATGAATGTGGAGTGACAGTCACATACTCACCACAAGGCGACAAATCTGCGAATGGCGGTGAAGAAAAGATGATCTGTGTGTGGTCAAAGGATGGCGAGTTGCTCATCAAGTTCTAGGTACCATGTAAAACAATTCAGCATATTCGCCTCGCCAGCAAGAACTCACTGGTCCACTGTAATAGTGTTCTGCAGATGGCTGCAAGCATGACAATACTCTATTGCCATAGTATGGAATGCGAGTGATTGTCGGAAGTTGAAATTTGACTTGGTAGATTTCTTTTCTTTTTGGGGACTGACCCTACAAATGGCTTTAACATCAATACAGGGATACAGGCGTGTGCGGGTTGCACCAGTTTAAGGATGACTCGGAGAATGGAAAGGGCAGAGGAAGCCAGGTATAGTTATTTTAGTCATGATATTTCAATAGTTCAACTGACTTTTGAAAGAAGCACATGGTACGTGTACCACCGATGGCATATGACTTGCGATTGAGTGAATGGCTATCCCCAACTCAGATTACACTAGCAGAAAGTTGCTTTATGTTACTATTGCACGTGTATTAGGCATGATGGCGAGTTGGGTTTTGTTTGACACGTCTGGACTGTCTCCATCACCTTGGACCCACCCACAACGACTCGGAGATATACAATAAATTTCAGGGTCCTTTCAAAATAATCAATAGCTGTGCACTTCAATAGTCACCTGTATGGCCTGCTCTGACCTGCTACATCATCCTGGACCAGATATTATCATATAAATTGAGATACCTTTTGAAGCTGGTTCCTTGGATCGTATTCTCTCTCCCAGACTAGTAGCTGCACAATGAAGCACATCCTGGCAGGTTTGGTGCTCTCGAGCACATTTGTTGCTCATGCGTGGGCTGGGCAACCTGCTCACATCTATGGTGTCAATTTGGGCTCATGGTAAGTGATACCCTGTGTCTCCGACCAACTGTTTAGCTCAAGTGATGGTGCAGGTTAGTCCTAGAGCCATGGATGCTTCCTCAAGGTGATAAACCAATGAACTTTGCAAATACACGTTCACTAAACAAGTTTCTTTAGAATGGTTGGATATGGGTGGACAGGAATGTGAAACTTGTTCGTCATGCATTGCATCCGAGTTGTACATTCCAATTCTACACTGTTTGTATGTGAAATTTGATTTGTTCTGCGATAATCTAGGTCATTTGCCAAGGTGTATCCTGACGCCATCAACACTATATTTGCTAAACACTGGGACACATGGTTTATGCAAGATGATGTCAATACACTGAAGGTGGCTGGTATTAACACCATCAGGGTTCCTGTGAGTTGGCTACAACGTGCACTGCAAACTTGGCTAAACAAATGTTGGATGGTTTGATCTGCTTTATTCCATGCAAACTTGAATGTGTTATGCAATGTGTTCATTCATAGCTGGGATATTGGATTGTGGAGGCTTTAGTCGATAGGCTGCATGAATTATACCCTCAGGGTGGTTTCAATTATTTGGTGAGAAGCACTGCTGTGGTTCAATTCTCTAGTTAAACTCCAGTGTGTAGCATCAGGGCTTGAGCTGGCTAAAAGATGCCAGGATCCAAGTGATTCTGGATCATCACACATTACCTAGGGTTCAAATACCTGGTCAAATGTTCACTGGAAAGTGAGTTCCCATTTGTTTGTTATCCATTCTGTCCTGAGAGTGATTTTACCAGTTGCACTACTGATGTTCAATTCTATGTGAGCTATTTTGCAACTGGTGAAAGCAACAACTACAAATCCTTACATACAGACTCCATACAACTACCACCACACACTGGTGTGGACAGCAGTCATGACCGTGTTTTCTCACCTTGCCCCTGATTTTGAAAGTGTCTTTGTGATTGAGGCAGTCAATGACCCCATTACAGATGCTACTAAAACACCTGACTATGGCACTTGTATGTATCACTCATTATTCTTCTATCTGTACCCTCATGATTCCTGAACCTTTGTACAGTCCAAAAGAACTTTGTCCAAATGATCCATGCAATTGAGCTCACACTAGGAATATCTGTGCCATCATCCAAGTTATTTGTATCAGTATCACCTTCCATCTCAAACAACTTCACTGCTGCACTGATTGCGACATTTTCAGCCACTGGAATCTCGGCAGAGGTGCAAGGGGCACTTTTAGAAGCTGTTGTGAAGAAGTAATAGGTACTAGGTGGTTAGCAACTAGCACTACTTATCCTAAGAGGTGTGAGTTTAATTGATTGGCCTGAGAGGACTGCTATTGAAGCACTTCCTTCAATTATGTGTGAGGGAAGTAAGAGAGTGAAGGAGCTATAACCTATATTGGCCTAAGAAACTTGAACACGGACCATATGTATACCTCTGAATTTCTATACCAAAGAATTGACCATGAGCACAGGCAAAAATTGACTGATGTTAATATCACAGGAGTGAGATGAACCATTAGAAGATATGTGCAAATGTATTGGATGTCAGATGCTGGTGTGGCAAATGTAATGTGCACAAAATCAACCGCACTCTATGGAGTGGCTGGTTGCAAGGGATATAGCACAAGTGAAGAACAGTGCTAAACTACCGGTCACGGGTCAGGTATTCTTGCAAGAGCTTTAAGGGTAAGATCCTAGCAGTACAGAACTTCAGAGTGGTCGAATTGCACAGGATTGTCAAGAAAGAGCAACATAGATGGATTGCACAAGGTCTACAAAAATAATGCAAGAATGACTCTCCTATAGAGCTGAGTCCAGGGGAATGGGAACTACTCAATCGTATGTACTGCAGTCATTTATATCATAGCACGTGAATGTCCAGAATGCATAGGCGAGAATTGTAGCGTAGTTAGCAAGTGCGTGATGAGTCTATAGGTAATAAAACATCATGCACTGTGGAATGTAAGTAGTCATGTAATAAGACCTGCAGCTTGTTTAGCAATGACATTTGGGAAAAATAACACACCAGCGGAGATAGGTGGACATGGATAGGACATGGGAGGGTGGATTCCTAGGACCAGACTGGAGTAAGAGTGGATGGGTTGATATATATGGATTTAATGATCTGTGCTTTATCTCCTTTTCTGAAGGTGAGAAGAACCGTGCTATTGATCATATGCACCTAGTGCTGGTATGATCATCACACCATCCTGATTTTATGAGACATTGGAGCAGTGTGCAATTTGCAGACGATATTTGAAGCATCACCCTTCAATCAATCCTGTCCTCCATTGGTGGTGAAGTGAGTTCACCACAGATCCTTGCTAGGATACATCGACGATGGTATACATAGCTTCATGGATGTGAACTACCAGTACAACAACCCCTCTAACCCAGCTGACATGATGATTGGCCCCCAAGCTTATGATAACCACGTGTTTTACTCATGAGTGCACAGTTGACTACATCACATTCTCATGATTTCTTAATTTTCTCTTTACAGGCATGGCGTATGTTGCATGTGTGCACCTTATTGTTTCACATTAACATTTTTATAGGGAATTGCAGCTCCTGACCCAATGTCTTACATGACCAGTATCTGCAGTGCGTCTTCTTCTTTTGTTCAGTGATAATATACTCATTTTTGGTGAAGATTTCAAACATATCCAGGCTGATGCAGCAGTTGGTAACTCTCCACTCTGGTTCAGAGAGTGGGGACTTTCGACACAGTTTGATGCCACAGACAAGTTCCTCTGCAAGTGGGCTGACACACAGAAGTTAGCATACAGTAAAAGTGCTGGATGGATTGTATGTGTCCAATTGTGTTTGATCAAGACATTACTCAAAGAAGAATACTCATACTTCAGTACTGGAACTTCAAAACTGAGATATGAAACCATACTAACAGGAGCACCCTTGCAAGGCAATGGTTAGTCATGACACGTCCTGTGGTGCTTTATGAATGATCTGACAGATGGCTGTCTATGTAGGTCTTACCTTGAGGGGTTGAAACTTGGGTTCTTGACCCAGGACCCTGCAGTGCTCCATGATCTGAATGTGTGCATTCCATATGTGAACAGCACCAGTGATGGCACTAGTTCATGATGTGCATTCTCAGTAACTAAGTAAGCGATAGCACAGAGTGTACCTATACCAGTCCCTGTTCACTACAAATGGCAGGAAGTGCATGGATGTTACTCACGTGTACACTCCTTCAGATCTCACTATTGTTGGTTGTGTACATTGTTATAGGATTCGAGCTACATTTCAACTGACCTGCTGCCTACTTGTTTCCTGATGTGTTGTATGTATGTAGATATCACTGTAATAATTTCAAGTGCCTATTAGGCAGTACACTGTTGCCTGAAGGTTAACTTTTCATTGTACACTGCACACATTGGTCTGAATGTCTCAAGAACATACACCAGTGAAAACATGATTTGCTGAATATGCAGAAACAAGCGTGCGATTGAATCATGTAAGGGACTGTAGACTTGGAGGCTGGCCTGCAATTGATCTATTTAAGAGCTGGCGCCTATGATCACAGCATCCCACTACACAGGTTATTGTTATCACCTAAGCAAGGCACTGCAAGTACAGCATGCAAAACAGCACATCTAACAGGTATCTTCATTACCTCCACTATCATCAATATCCCAATCATCGTCATGTCACATGCAAAGACTGAGTCAAGCACATCAGCGAAACAGGGAGAGGGAGATCGAAGATTGCTGTCAGACTTATCAAGACCAGTTGCTCCCCTCAAGCATGAAAAGAGTCTGCCACCTTATGGTGCACAACACCACCAGGATGCACTTTGGAAAGGTAAGCCAGCATTTTGTGAAACCTTCTGACCCACTCAATATCAAGCAGGAGGGAATAAGGTGCTCCCTCCTATGTGGGTGGAGTCCAAGGCGGATGGTGATGATGAACCACTATATCAGGACATTGCTCTCTTCATGATTTCATTATGCAGACCTTTACCAGGAGTGCAACTAGGTGAGTGACAAAAAGTGTGACTAGAGCGAAAAACTCATGGTAGAGCATAGATCACCCTGGGCTGCTCATTTCTGGATGCAAATGGCACATCTCACCACTTGGTCAGGCCTACTTCATCAACCACAACACTCAGACCACATTATGGAAGAAACCAACACCAGAACATCCAGCAGGAAGTTTGTGTTACAAGAACAGGCGAGTGAACAATGGGAGAGGGAGCTAGAACACAAAGGTACAATCTCAGTTTCAACTAGAACTCATATTAATGTGCATAGTACCTAGGACACAAAGGTATGCTATGGTTTTGGTCAGCTAATGCTGACATACATGTTTCCAAGTACTCACATCTCAGTTTCAAATAGAACTGAGATGTGCGCGTCTGATGGGCACTTAGTTTTATAGCAAGGTAAGTAAGGAACACAAAGGTGAAGTTTTCTGACATATGTATATTGCAGGGCACAAGCTGATGTCATTTGGGCACAGCCTATTGGCCTGTCTGGCTCATGTGCTTGGACCTCTCTCTCCCACTCGTACCTATCATGTTGGATCCTTCAGCTTTCTCACTCTCTTTCTCTTTGGTGTAGAGACTCGCTCCTCTATATTGCCACTATAGGATGATATACCACCCCTTCCCACTGATACTCGGTTCTGATCCTCTGGATAAGTCACTCACACTATCGCAAACTGATGCGTGATCGCTGCGCACACGCAAACGTGCTTGCACATCCTGCGTGCCTGCTCTAGGTCCTCCGCTACAGTCCGTCCACCTGTCCATGTCCTCACTAAAGTCCACTGGTGTGTTTTTATTATACTCTTATCACTCTGATGTACCTTCCAGGCCGATTATAGCACTATAAACACACAGGCATGCGTTTAAAACACTATTACATACAGATATCGCTACCTACTTGCTTCGCCTCCATGCTAAAAGCATCACCTAATGCCCAATATAGGGAAGGGAGGGGGAGTTTTTTAGAGTACCTTATCCTAGCACCTCCCACCTCTGTGTAGTAGCAGTAGTTTGTGCATTTGAGCTAGTTTGAAAGCACAAAAGAATTGGAACTCGCACACTATCTTCATAGGCGCAATCACCTCTAGTCAGCTTGATTCTCTCTCCACTGGATTTCATTTCCAGATAGCTCTAGCACCTACACTTTAGACCCCCATCGTGTGCGCTCTCACTTTCTATCACATCAGCACGCTTTTGTGCACATCTTCTTCATGCTTCTTCCGGTATTCGCGCTTCGCACATCCTATAGCGCTTGTTCAGTTTTGAAGTCTCCCTCTGTCATTTCAAGGACCTTCTCTCAGTAGCTGTCCTTAGGGTCGAGTTCAGTCTCACATCCAGGTCTTGCTTTAGTTCCCCCATAGTCCAAAGTCCTCACCTTCATCAGATTGTTCAGACTTCAACAGTTTGATGCCAGAGTGCATCATCAAGCATGGCAGCTCGTGGTCCAATAAAGACCTTGCCTGCTTAGGCACCAGTGGCAATATAATGAGTACCTCAGGTGATGGTTCAATTTGCCAGTGGACAAGAGCTGGACAGCCAGCGGGAAAGCCTTTCAGCAGCGAGGCAGGATTTATAAGCGCAATGGCAGTGTCTCTGGATGGATTGATGGTTGTAGGTAAATGCAGAGATGGCAGAGTACAGCTGTGGAACATAAAGGAGGGGAGCTTGGTAGGTAACCTGTGGGGGGGGGGGAATAATGATGAAGTGCAGTGCCTCGATTGGTCACTGAATGGGGTGGAGGTAGCAGGTGGATCAAAAGACAGCACCATATGACGATGGAACACAACAACTGGCCAACAAATTAGACCCATGATAAAGAGAGGCAATGAACAGGTCACAACAATCAAATACAATCCACAAGGCAACAAGTTTGCAAGTGGTGGCCAGGACAAGATGATCCGCATGTGGTCAAAGTGTGGCAAGCTGCTCAATGAGATTGAGGGACATGAATTCTGGGTGATGTCATTATGTTGGTCCAAAGATGGGGCATACACCTTCTCTGGCTCATTTGATACCACCATCTGAAAATGGCAATCGATTGACAGGAAAAAATTTGTTGTGATTCAGAGTCATATGCATCCCGTTGAATCTCTTTGTCTGTCTCCTGATGGATGTCATCTTGTCAGTGCATCAGATGATCACTTGGTCCACATCTGGGATCTCGCAACTAATCAGCAAGTTGGAGACCCACTCTGGCATGATGACCAAGTCTGGTCTGTTGCCATGTCCTCCAATGGCCAATACTTTGTTGGTGCTATCTCTGGACCGGATGTGAAAATCTATGTGTGGAGCCTGGAAGTAGCACTTAAGTATGCTCATGGGGTTGGTGTGTGTGTGTACATTACTTTTGTCAGTGTCTTTTCTTAATAGTGTTGTGCATTGGTCAGGGTGATGCAGAGTCCAACACGAAGCTCAAGGCGAGTTATTTTACTTCTCTGTCATACCTCTTCTGACTTCTTTACAGGAACATGCAGCTCGATCTAGAACTGTGTGCTAGTTAATTTCGAACAACTTCATCTTTCACTCACTTATTTCATCAGATCTCTTTGGCACATATACAGCAAAACAACAACAGAGGCTTGGTGAGATATGTGAGTAGTTTTATCCTTCCCTAGCTCTTGTTAGCCTGACACAGACAGGGCAATGATTTCTGGGGTGACAACATAAACCGCACACCTTGTTGCTCAGCAGACACATCATCTCCACTTGATCTGCGCAATTTGTACAGCTTCCTGCACTCCAGCACTCAACCTACAAATGTGCCACCATCAGTTCACCTCCAGCCCTGGCGTTTGAATTTCAACTTATTTCCTCTAAAACTTTCCAGGTGTCCCATTGTGGGAAACACAACAAGAAGAGGACTGGAAAGTAGACTTCTAATGTTGGGCTAAATGTGCTATGCCTAGCTGCTATTCAACCCTAAAGGGTTTCTGGACTAAGCTCAGTGCTCAGAGAGGATAGGAAATCATGCTAATAACTCTCAGTCTCAGACTGGTACTGGTAGATGGTGAAAACTATGATGATTACATAAGCACCAAAAGTGCGAACATAACACTAAGTAATATCTGCCTATACAAGCCCACAGAATATGAAATCCCTACACTGTCGATGTCACTCCTTGCCTGTAAGGAAGATGTGAGTTGTTTATCATCACTACCCTTTGTGATATTCCTTAAATAATTTTGCAGAGATATGGCATTGCCCCTGAGTCAGACACAGAAGCAGCTGCAGCTATGCAACAAATGAACGGCAACATGGCCAATGACTCAACACAGCAAGGACAAGCTGTAGTAGGGCCACAAGGGTCCAATGGACAACCAGCACAAAGTGCTCAAGGGCAATCTTCCAATTTTGAAGCAGGTGAACCTTTAATAGGATGCTGTGGATTTTATCTTGTTCATCATTGGCCTGCATCAAACTGGCCCTTCCATCAGTTTATCATGGAAGCCATTGTGGTTCCTGTGGAAAATCACTCATGGATGCTGTCATATCCCACAATCCGGACCCACATTCCATCATATTCCCATGCCTTCCAAGCCTACATCCAGACCCCATATCCAACTCATTCCCAGATCCCCTTCTGCTGTGTACTCCACACCTCAGCAGGATCAACTATGCTCCAGATTTACCCCTGAGCTCTGGACCTCCAGATCCTCACTGCTAGCCTGATCTGTACAACCCTATCCTGTCCACCCTATGCACACTCCATCCAGCAAGACATCCAGACTTCACCTTGTCTCAGATTCCAGACTATATCCACCTTCTCATATTACGGTCCTGTATCCACCTTGTCTTCTGAATCCCCAGATCTCCAGACCTCCGGATATTAACTCTGGACCTATTCCCACCCTCTGTCCTGATATCCTGCGCCTATCCCCATTTAGGCATTCTCTGCCTTCCAGCTTTCAGTTACCTCTTGTTCCATCTTGCTTATTGATCCTTGTATGAGTCCTCATCTCTGAGTTCATTTACTTATGTTCCAACTTACTTATTAATGTGTTTCCACATGCTTGTACATAGCCTTGCTCCTTTGCTTACTGATCCCCTCAGATATTGTTCAGTATATAACCCTTGTAGATACTCCTGTAGTTCCTTAGTTTGAATATCAACTTAGACTTGCCCAATCCTCTCTCGGACTTTGGTCCACCTAAGTCTGTCCTACTCATCAGGCCTAGGGATTGATTCCCTAGGCTGGAGCTTGCCCTTTCTGGCACTTACCCTCTTTCCAGACTTAGGTCCAATCCCTGTTCTCTCCAACTCTACCTTAGGGTAGTCTACCCCTGTTTGCTTCTACATCGGACAAAGTCCGATGTAGCCCCTATTCCTTCCAGACCTCCGGACCTCCTGTCCCTTGTACCTCTGGGCATCCTGTCCTTCGGACATTCCGCCCTCCATACCTTTGGACATTCTGTCCTCCTAACCCTCAGATGTCCTATCCTTCGTACCTCTGGACATCCTGTCCTCCTGTCCTCCTGTCCTCCTGTCCTCCTGTCCTCCTGTCCTCCTGTCCTCCTGTCCTCCTGTCCTCCTGTCCTCCTGTCCTCCTGTCCTCCTGTCCTCCGGACCTTTGGACCTCCTATCCTTCCATCCTGTTTCCTGTAGAAGTATTACCTTGCAGCGGGAACTCTCCTGAGCACTTCCTGCATTCCTCCAGAACTCTCCTGCGCTCCTCTGGACGTTTCCCACGCTCCTCCAGAAGTCCTCTAGTGCTCTCCAGCAGAGTAGCCAGCCTCTGGACTTCATTGGACCATCATCAGACCTTGTATGAAATGAAGGGCACATACTCGGGTAAGGGGCACAGCGTACGAGCTGAGGCCAAGCCCCTCTGAGTCAGTCTCTCTCTCCTTTGAGCAACATGGTTCTTAACAGACACATGTGAGCCAATGCAAGCACTTGAGGATGCAAGAACAGATAGATACTTGACCAAACAGTTACAAACTAAGTACTACATCAGATGCTTAGAGACAACATCTTCAATAACAAGTGGTGAACTTGTAGCAAACACTGTTTGATTCACTTCTGACATTTTGATGGGCTATGAGAGGTGTCCAATTTAAGTGCACTGTTGCTATTGACCACAGACTCATCCAAAGTTCACTTTCTGGATCTGCCAACTTGTAGCACAGTGGTGCTAGGCCATGGAGAGGGGAAGGGTGGCAGAAGCTTCTGCTGTTGAGTGCTGGGAATTGGGACCAATGGCTGACACCCATTCATTAGGCTGTGTGTTGAAGGTTCAAACTGAGGATGAGAGAATTAAAAAATGGTTTCACAAAATGAAAAAAAATGGTCGAACCTGAAGCAAGGCACTAGCCTTTGCAAGCTTCTGCCCCTTGGATAAAATATCAAGGCAAGATGGCAGTCTCTTCAAGCACCACTGCCGTTTGAGCTAGGAATGGAGGTGATGATTCCAGAAAGCTCAAAATATATGATTGAGAGCATCATCCATGGATTTGGAGCACATAACAGGTGAACAACCCAGTTTTGAGATGCATACTTGAGAGTGTCAGAAGATGATTGACTTTGTGCCTGTGCCTCATTGGTGAAAGTTATAAAGGCATTCAGAGCATGAGTAATATCCCTCAAGAAATCTGGCAAGCTTTTGAGCTGCTGGACCACTTTAAAGGTTGGCAGGGAAGCCAATTCTGGGACAATGATATAATTGCTGATTGCTTCCACCATTCTCAAGAATTCTTCCATAGTTGCCCATATGGATCCCACAGGAATGGATTGCCACACTTGGCCATGGGGTGTCTGGAGCCAGTTTTGCCTGCCTGGGGTCTGAAGCCAGTCTAACCCTCTCTGGATCTGGAGCCAATCTAACCCTTTCTGGGTCTGGAGCCAGTTGTACCCTTCCTGAGTCTGGAGCCAGTCTTGTCCTCTCCAGCTTTGCAGTCACTCATGTCCTCCCTCAAGCTGCAGCCGGTTTTATCCTCTCTCAGTTTGTCCTCCCTGGGTCTGCAGCCAGTCCTGTCCCTTCCAGGTCTGCAACCAGTGTTGTCCTCCCTTGGTCCACAGCCAGTGTTGTCCACCCTCAGTCTGCAGCCACCACTCTCGTTCACCCTTGGTCTGCAGCCACTACTCTCATCCTCCCTTGGGTTGCAGCCACCAGTCTCGTCCTCTCTCTGTCTGAAGCCACTCTCATCCTTCCTCAGTCTGCAACCAGTGTTGTCCTCCCTTAGTCTGCAGCCAGTGTTGTCCTTCCTCTGTCTGCAATCAGTCTCATCCTCCTCAATCTGCAGCCACTCTCGTCCTCCCTTGGTCTGCATCTACCAGTCTTGTCCTCCCTCAGTCTGCAGCCACCAATGTTGTCCTCCCTCAGTCTGCAGCCACTCTCATCCTCCCCCTGTCTGCAGCTAGTCTTGTCCTCTCTAGGTCTGCAACCAGTCTTGTCCTCCCTCAGTTTGCAACCAGTCTCATCCTCCCTCTGTCTGCAGCCAGTGTCATCTCTTCCAGGTCTGCAGCCACCACTCCCGTCTTCCTTCAGTCTGCAACCAGTCTTGTCCTCCCTTGGCCTGCAGCCAGTCCTGTCCTCCCTCAATTAGCCAGTCTTGTCCTCCCTGGGTCTGCAGCCAGTTTCATCCTTTCCAGGTCTGCAGCCAGGCTTGTCCTCCCTCGGTCTGCAACCAGTCTTGCCTTCCCTCGATCTGCACCCAGTCTTGTCCTCTCCAGGTCTGCAGCCAATCTTGTCCTCCCTTGATCTGCAGCCACACTTGACCTTCCTCAGTCTGCAGCCACTCTTGTCCTCCCTCAGTCTGCAGCCACTCTCATCCTCCCTGGGCCTGCAGCCACTCTTGTTCCCCCTGTGTTTGCAGCCAGTTTTGTCCTCCCTGGGTCTGCAGCCACTCTTGTCCTGTCTGGGTCTGCACCCAGTCTTGTGCTCCCTTGGTCTGCAGCCAGTCTCATCCATTCATGCTCTGCACCCAGGCACACCCATCCATAGTCTCTGGCCAATCTTGTAAATCTGAAGTACGATCTCCCCAAAGCCATAGCATACAGATGAGAATTGACAGTGGCTCTGGTGGCCAAACAAGGAAGGATAGCGAAACCTTTAACTGATAAGGGTCCTCAGGTTGCATAGCTTGACTATGTTTCTTCATTTCTGAGAGCACATCCAAAAGGGCCATGCTTTCTGGAATATTTTTCATCATCAAGCAAAAAGAAGAATCAGTGAGTAGGGAGTGAGGTGATTGCATATCGTGTTCACATACTTGAGGGAGGCTGCAGTTTGATGGGTTAGAAACATAGTCACAAATGGACAAGTGATAAATATTCACGGGGAGAGTGCTATCTGTAGGGATATCCATGACAGACCATAGCTGTATCAGTGTTGTCTGTACATCCCTGCCAAAACCAGGGCCAAGAAGTGATGAGATTTGCAAGATGGGAAGAGGGTCTGCAAGTGCAATGACAATGGACAAGTGAATGTAGGCCTGTTTGGGGTCAGTGCATGTGGAGAGGATACTATTGTATAACTTGTACACCTCCATTCCTGGCAGCAGTTCGGTCATTAGCTTGAGCATCAGCTGCAGCTGACCATAGGGATCATCATCTTCATTGCCAATAATGAATTTCATCATTGTAGATGCCACAATGAAACATCTGCCTGCTCGACTTGCTAGCTTTGCAAGATCATCCTCTGATGGCTGAGGGAAATCGAAATGGCAACTTGCAAGCTCCATGAAGGAATGCTGCAAGAAAATATAGATGTCTTGATCAACATTGGCACCATTGAGTGAGATGATGGTAGCAACATCCTCCCCAGAAGTTTTCACAGGTATTTCACACAACAATAGCTGCACCTCCTTGTCCTGAAAGGCTTTGCAGATATGCAATTCTGAGTGACTCATGAGTAGAATGTGTGTCATGGGTAGATCAGGCTCACAAAGAGCCCATGCGAGGGAAAGGATAAGATCAGTGAGCTTTGGTTTGGATGTGCATTCATCAAGGGCATCAATAACAAATGTCAGAGGCAGACACCCACATAATTTGAGTTGAAGATTTTGGAGAGGTTGGAGAAAGAGAGCCTCCATCTGGTCACAGAGAGACTTATCTGGGTCTAGTAGAGTGGGATTGTCACGGATAGCTCTGTTCACATCCTTCCAGATGCTGGGAGAATTGGTGGCAAACTGATAGACAAGAGTCACAAAAAAATACCCAGTCATGCAACATTTCATGTACTTGTGCAAGAAAAAGAATGTTCCTCTGAGCTGCTTTTCGACACTAGTCTGCTCTGTCACTTTTAGACCTCTCATCCTCTCTGCTATGGTGAACACAATGGCAGACTTTCCAACGCCTGCCATTCCATACAGCCAAATAAGTCAATTCTTCTTTGAGTTGTCCAGTAAGTTGTATATGTAGGTGAGGAGATCCATCCAGGTCCCTTCCAAACATTTTGGGTGGGGCTGACACTCTCAGGAGTTGTATTCAGCACCTTTGACAGCAACCTGGGACAGCCTTGCCCAAGTTCCTTCAAATGATGGAAGAACTGTCAAAAAGGTCAGAAAGTGAGAGAGGAACAAGGGTGAGAAAAACCAACATTGTTCCTCACTCATTCACAAAGGTTATGATATGTGTGATGAAATGGACAGATTGAGAGTACTAGCTGGGTGCTGTTAGAAATCATCTGAGTAATATTTATCTCCAGGGACAACGTACAAAGATTCGAAGGATCTGTTAGAGCTGAAGTAAGTTGTTAACTTGAAGTCCTGAAATGTGATAGAGATGGGATAAGATAAATGGTTGTTTCAATCTATAGAAAGCTTGCTGGATAGTAAGATACAATTCAAGGATGAGTGAGCACTTGTCTGGTTGCAGGAGGCCATGAGGTTGCTGTAGTACACCTCATGTAACAGCACTTCTCGGGAGTATTAGAGGTCTCTCAGATGTGTTATCAGAGCCTACCAAAACCTTATATTGCTTCTAGTTCTCGATGTTTAGAACTCGATGTGCACAGCGGCCAGTCCGATTCGGATGTACAAGATCTATCTTCGCACCTATCTTTCCATGCCATACGAAGTTCGTCCTTATAATTAATGGTCAGGAAGTGTTTTATTTCACCATTGGGTACATCCTCAGCACCCGGGTCACTAGCTACACATGAGTCCGCATCATGAATGAACAGCATATGCATCTCTGATTCCTACTCTACAGTCTCCCGAAAAGAAAAACGACAAGCCAAAGTGGAAAAATCAGACGTTAAGCTTGATATTTGAGACGAGTGTGGCAATGACATCATTTTAATATTTGTAGAGTCCGAGTCAGTCTTTTGAAAAGAACTGAGATGCCTGTACGCTACCGCTGGCGCTTTTATAGTAAGTATGTTGATGACTGACATATATGAAAGAAAAACATAGCTAGAATATTGCAGGACGCGAGCCGACGTCACTGCATCACTCGCCCTTCAAGCTGTCCATTTTAGCTTGTGCTCGGACGTATCACTCACTCTCTGTAGTTAATTTCGAATAACCTGATCCTTCGCTCACTTATCTCATCAGATCTCTCTTGCGCCTAGATGGCAAAGCAAAAACTTGAACAGAGGCTTGGCGAGATATGTGAGTCTAGTTTTATTCTTCCTGGACTTTTACTAGCCTGACACTAATTAAGGCCAATGATTTCTGGGGTAATGACACGAACCGTACGCCTCGTCGCTCAGCAGACACATCATCTCCGCTTTATCTGCGCAATTTGTTCGGTTTCCTGCGCTCCGGCACTCGACCTACAAACGCGCCCCCATCAATTCAGCTCCGGCCCCGGCGTTTAAACTTGAATTTGAGCTTGAGCTTACTTCCCGTAAAACTTTCCAGGCATCCCGTCGTCGTAGCCCCTTGCCGTGAGGAAGACGTGAGTAGCCCGTCATCCCCAATACGTGTCCCTTTTTGATACCGTTGCCATTAATTTACAGAGATACGGCATGACCCACGAGACTGACGCAGAAGCAGAAGAGGCTATGCGACGTACGAACAGCAACACAGCCAACAGTTCAACACAGCAAGGACAAGTTGTAGCAGGGCCACAAGGGTCCTGCGGACGACCAGCACAGAGTGCTTAGGGGCAATCTTCCGATTTCGAAGCGGGGGAACCTCTGATAGGATGTTGTGGATTCCATCCCGTCCGTCGTCGGCCTGTATCGAACTAGTCCTTCCATCGGGTTATCATGGAGGCCATTGTGGTGCTTCTGCGAAAACATTCCTCGACGCACACGAGTCAACGCAAGCACTTGAGGACGGAAGAGCGGATGTAGTGGAGGATTCGATGGTGAATCGGGTGGGTTGAAGGATGAGGATAGTGAGTGAGAGTGGGTTGGTGACACCATCGTATGCGAGCCTGGCGCAGGGGATGGTTTGAATGAACTTCAGATGTGTGTAGAATAGTATCAAACACACCGGTCCGTGGATGAGCTGCCGATCAGGGACGCGCAGACAGCAGACAGTTCAAGTCAAGTTGCAGTGGACGCATATTGGTCCTAAAGGATGCTGACGGTGCATGTTGTATGACGAGAGCTGATAGTGTGAGCGAGTTTTGAAGTGCGTAATAGATATCACATGTACCATCCCGTGAACCTCGTGACTGTACAAAGTCTATATAGGCTTGACGAGAAAATAAGAGGGGAGTACAGGTTAAGAGGGCTTCATGTCAACCTGCTGTCCTCTGCTTAGTGGTAGTCCGCTGCGATAGGGTGGTCAACACCAGACGAACACCACATAAATTGAGATTGAGGAGATTGCATGCGATCCTGACTAAGACGCGTCAGCATGAAAAACGCAGGGAGCACAAAACGCTAACGCACAAGATAACAGTTCCGCAAATCCAAGAGCGTCTCAGATCGCACAGGTAACCAGGTTCTATGAAAATGCATTGATTCCAGTATCAGATAATATAGATGATCACGAACGATAATTTCTTCGGCAAGGCTGACACATCGGAAGAGCAAGGGAAACCGGATAATAGACAGGGAGCGGTGGAAGGTGGACGACGAGGAAATCTTGATAGGGTACTCCAGAATGCCGAGAAATGGTAGGAATATCAGATGTTCTCGCGTACAAAAAGATACTAGAGTCCCCACAACGCAGGGTACATTTTGTTCCGAAGACTGTACCCTGCGTTGTCTCCATGTCATGTGCGATCTGCTTTCAAACCTCTAGTTCTCATTCTCCAGATCATCCAAGAGGTTGACTGCTGGGTCAAGTGCCTGAAATGTGTAAGATAGGCCCAACAAGTTTCGTGACCCCCACAAACAAGAACTGTTGAACGTAAGTCTGAAGACACAGTTGAAAGCACAAAATACAGAAGTGATGAAGGCATGAAAGTACTGTCTGCAAATTCTAGATCCGTGAATAAACAATCAAGTCCAGGGCTGAGGGATACACACATCCACTAGGACGCGGGGAATCCACAGCTCTGGATAACGAGTGTAGTTATTAGGTCAAAGGAACGAACGGCAATAAGTACGACGAGGCTAGAGCTCGGAAGTGATAGTGGTATCTAAGAAATACGATCACTGGACTGAAACCATGTTCTCGTGAAAGGTGAGCTCAATTACGAAAGTACTGCGATGGTGTGAAATCTACCTGAACGATACTCCTACGTCTAGAAATATGCCCCGCGAAGGCGGACTACACCATCTTTGAGTCGCTCCGTAATTACAGGACTCGCCGCTGGGCGATATTTGAAATCCTTCGAGTACCTGTGCAAGATGTGAGTCCAGCTCTGCACCATTCACTGGAGCGCGAAGGGGTGGAAAAGTTTTTACACACAATGACAACTCACCTTTCAGCATGAATGATCTTAGTTTGGGATCTATGGGACTGCAACTTGAATGCAGCCCAGAAGAGGAACGCAGTCACGAGAAGGAGTGTAATGCGCTTCCAGAGCGAAGGTATGGGGCGGTTAAAACGGGGATCTGCATGGAATTGCTTGATTTGAGACTGCAGTTGTGGATCAGCTTCGATTTCAGCGGGATCGTTGGTTGAGAGGGCTTGATATTGGGCTGGCATGGTGCCGCTGGTACAGTGGCAAGTCGAAAAGTGAAAGGTGGTACGGTGTATTAATTTTTGGCACTGTGAAAGTGGGTGTAACGGTCGGAGTTTTAAATTGTACTATGTAGCTAGCCGCTGGCGCAACGAAGACGACGGTCGATCTACATGGGTATACTTGTCCAATATAAGCTACCATATTTTAACGTGCATACTGTAAGCTTCGTACATGTGTACTGTACCCGAAAAGTAGCATGTTAATCAAGCTGATTGAGATACTTCCTTTATATATAGGTGAGCCACAACCGCAATCTATGTCCAAAGCGTACAAGACACTCATCGCTGAGCTAGTTGTACAGGGGAGAGCTGACGCTTTTCAGTTCATTTTCCACAAAGGAAGCAGCATCCTCGATGGAAGGACGATCCTTAGGCTTGGCTGACCAACATTTCCGCATGAAATCCAAATGCTGGTGGCTAACGGTCACACCGAGTTCGACCCGATATGGCTCTACGTGCTTGAACTGAGTACCAAATAACTGTGTGGCATCTTTAAGCCACCAGAATGGGGGTCTACCCGAGAAAACCTGTACGATGCAAAATTCAGGTGAAACTCGAACAGGGTCTAGCATACGCGACTCACATGTAACATGATGCAACCGAGCGAAAATACATCGCTCTGACTGTTCGGTTTCGGGATGTCGGTAGCGCTGCTACTGTCACCTGGAATGCTCTCTGGATCCAGTGAGCCGATCAATTCGGGCGCTGACCACCGGACAGCGCCTTTCGAATACGAGTGGTAGTACGATTTGTCACTCTCTGCGAGAGCCAACGAGAGACCGAAATCTGCCAAAAATGCATTACCATCGTGGTCGATCACAACATTTGTCTTCAATTATAGGGTTAGTAAGGACTCCAAAGCATCGAATAGTACATACACTGGTCAGGTCCCCGTGAATTACTCCCTGTTTATGAACTAAAGAAGTTGTCAGAGAAAACGTGTATTCGAAACGGCGATCCCATACGATATCTCAAGCCATGCACCACCTGCTTCAACTAAATAAGAGCATCCATTGAGTAAGGTCTTATATTTGGCATGGTAAATCTCACCAGCTTTAGTTTCTGTTTCATGGTGAGGTTCGTGCGCTTTAGGTAAGCATCAAGTGCCCCGTTGTGCATCCATGTAGAAACAAGGGCAGGCAATGGTCCAAAACCGGAGACCGTGCCATGAAGAGTGAGAACATGCGCATGCTTCAATTTGATCCACACGGCTACTTCGCGGCGAAGTCTCTGCGAGTGTGCATTCAATGCACTCCACATCACGGAATAAATGCTAGCATACTTTCTTCGCTTTTTGGATAGCTTCTTCCTCACGCATGTCCGCGATCCTGATATTTTTGACAGCAACCTGTCCAATGGATATTAGTCGGCGAGGTTCGCGGGGTAATGTCATATGTACCTCAGTAGAGGATTCCGGATCAATGATCATTAAGCACTTCCAGATATCGCCCAAGCCACCAGATGTCACTGGAAAGTCTGATTGCTTCTTGATGGATGTAGCCGGAATGGTGGATGGGTTCACATCGAAGGTCACTCCAAGTCTGTGCCTCGTATTTTTATATATGCAGTTTATGAGGAAAATTGCACTTACGACTGTGCTTCATTTGTACCAGGGGTAACCTGATGGCAAGGTTAGTGAGATTGAATCTAATGAGTGAAATAATATTTTAATGCCTCACAGTTTGGGGCCTTTGAGGTGATGACGGGCGTGACGAGCGGTTACCCATGGTAATGAGTCTACTATTGGTGCAAATGGAGGTCTGCGGTGTTGCGCTGAATCAAAGGGTCAGCAGGAGTGAGCAGGTTTAAGAACAGCTGGTCGCGTCTATTAAATAGTACTATGTAGCCCCATGCCCACCAACTAAATTTGCAAGCACCTGAGTGTGCGGAAGAAATCAGCGCCAGCGCTTAAACCGCATACAGTGATCGAAGAACGGTCGAAAGCACTATGCATGACTGAACTACGTTCAACTCGACAACCTTCTACACGCGGCAGCTAACACCCTGCCATATCGGTGCAATCATGGACGGCGTAAACCTCATCACGATCTTAGATCTAGTCACTAGTATGTAAATGGTTAGCTCTGTCCTGCGGCCTAATCTTCGGCTGATCCTATGAGGCCTGCGGTGGATTTCATTAATCGAGTCGGACCTGAGTCAACATTCAATTGCAGGTGAGGCTCAAGCGAGGTTGCACAGGAAATCTTATTTTCTACCTTGATGGCTTATCATATGCACGTTGTTCTGGGCGCAAGTGATACTACCTGGGAGTGAGGCTAAAATACTTTATCTTGATTCTTGAGAGGCTATACTGTCATATTTATTAATACAGGGCCAAGGATTGAGAACACGAGTTATGCATACTTCAATACCTGGGATCCCCGAACATAACACGACTTTTGGGTTATCATGTAGATATTTTATACAAAAGTGATTCAATTTATCACTGTCTCCTCTGGGCTGTCATACTTCTCTCACCCTAATTGGATGAAGCCAAGGGAGCAGTATGAGAAACATGCGAATTGTACGTACCATAGAGCGCTCGCAGCAATCTATGATAGAACCTTGAAGTGACGAATGATTCATCCCCGAAGTAAGAACGCTGCTAGGAATGGCAAGTCCGTTAGATCGAGCCCACAGACCGCCTGCAGGTTGATCAGACCACGATGATGAAGTGTCCCTCGGCTATTGATCGCGCCGTACCGCAGAGGAAAAACGAATGACTTTGCGCTCAGCTTCACACACCATCGAACTAATTCATTGAAGAAGGCAGGAGGGGACAAATAAGTCATAATATTAAATGATGTTAGACCCTGGGTCCCTTTGTAGTTCTTAAACCTGCTATAACCGTCCGGCCATGTCATGCCTGTTTGTCGGAATCGCCACGTTAGAGCGTCAATTCGCCTGGATAAAGGTGACCTTTATCGCTGGATAGCATGTCACCTCCAGCAAGGCATCATATCGCCGAGCACCAAATTTGCCCGTCACCGCAGGCCTTCTCGAATCTCGACCGTGAGACTTCATCAAGATCTCATCCCGTTCTCATAGGCTACCACCACTGCGATATTATCCCACATTTTTTCCATAAGTTAGATATCATCCATGAAGGTCTCAGAAATTCTCACTCGATTTCAAGCCTGGCTGAATAAATGGGGGTTACGCTTTCTTCTTGCCAGCCTTGGGCTTGGTTTGAAGTCAGCACAAGAGGCGAACGTTAAAACAATACATGGCAAGAATGCGAAGAATAAGTGTGTTTTTTATGTACTTGAATGTCACGCAATTTTTGCTGAGTATCTACGGACTATTAGTCTGCCCGACCTCACTGAGAAAATCAGCAGGGAGTCATCCCGATACCCTGTCGCGCAAGGCAGCTTTGGGGATGTCTGGAAGTGCATATGCAAGCACCCTCCAATTCCAGTAGAGGCGAGTAGATCCTTCAAGTTTGCACCTGTTGTCACACTGGCACGCCCATAATTGACTGTCTCCCTATCTACTAGGTTGCAGTAAAGTGTTTGCGACTTGAGATTCCGAACGATAGTTGCAAGACAAAAATTACCGAGGTTCGGGTGGCTCCGCGCATGGGTACCACATGTTTATTTGCTAATGTACAACACTTCAGAGGCTGGAACACGACTTACAGCGGAACACTCAGCTGAAACACGACAATCTGTTACCTTTGCTGGGAATAACTCAAGGGTTCGGTCCACTGCCTGCTATTGTCTCCCCATGGATGCACAAAGGCTCACTTACTATGCTTCTGGAACATGATTTCGAGCAACTCACTATCACTCGAATGCTCCACATTGTGGGTGTTTTTTTGTGGTGTGGCTCGCATATTAATATTTGCTGTTGCAGCTCAAAGATGTCGCCTCAGCTCTTCAGTACTGTATGCGACAAATGTCAATATTCGGCGCAAAGCTAACAGGAATATTAGTGCACTCAAAAAACATAGTACATGGTGATCTTACCGGCGTGAGTACCATAGATACCTTTATCAAAGGAATTATTGACGCAACTTAGAACAACATTCTCATCCATGAGAACGGCAACGCCTTCGTGACTGACCATGGAATTCTCATTTTTTGTGCCGAGCTCCATGGCACGTCATATATCGGAAGCAATGTGCGATGGGCCGCACCTGAAAACTTTCAAGTCCCGGAAGATGACAAGTCAACGAGCTCGCCCCAATTGGTATCAGACATCTATTCTTTCGGGTGTATCATGTTGCAGGTTTGTGGGTCGATCTTGACACCACGCAGTGTGATTATTGTTCTCTTTGCAGGTCTTCACGGGAAAAGTTCCGTATTCCGAATTTCGAAGTGACCATCAAGTTACCGTGCAGATACTCAGAGGCCGGAAGCCTGCTCGACCCGTGACTCCGCCCATTGCGGATGCTCTATGGGATTTCATGCAGAAGTGCTGGCTTGATGAACCGGAGCGCAGACCTTCAGCCCAGGAAGTCCTGATATTTATACAGGGACAGCTGAAACTGCCATGGGGAAGCTCCCGACTCCCATGCGACTCATGATGCTATGACATGGCAATTTTGTGTGCTGTGCTCTCCGTCTTGCATTCTGTACCATATAATGTTCACAATATCCCATGCCTTAATATTACACACTCTTGTTACTCCCAGGCTTGGATTTCCTCGATAGGCTCGCAGTTCGTAGTTGTTTTTTGCAATGAATGCAGACTAGTAGATACATGATATACTACAGTTGCGGAAAAACAAACTCGATAATTTTGGTCTTCGATTTTTGGGCACTCTCCATTGAATCAAATCAAATATTTAAGCCTACAGATATAGTATTTGGGACATGATAAAGTAATTTGCACGAGCCAATTTCCTCTCTGTGGGGTCCGAAAGTTTTTCACCCTCAAAATTTGGCCAACCCCTAAAAATGGATAGAAAAATACCGAAAAATGCGGAAAACATTCCTTAGCACATTAGCATTGTGATCACAATGTCTGATTCCAAAATTGGATAGTGTGTTGTGAAGGAAAAAATGAACCTGACCAGTGATTGAAATTTGAGTTAGTGCCTACAGCCACCAATCCACCTGCCAAAATGCATTGTGAACGCCCACTCAAGTCCACTCAACAGAGGAATATAAAAGGCCTTCGGAACCAGCTTCATGTGGCTGCACAACAGCAGCATGTCTCATCATCTGAGTCTGAGTCTCCATCAAAAACAATAAGGCTGTCTGACCCTTCAAGTTGTTCACATTCCTCCAGTCATACCTCTGGACACAATACTCACACCTGGCACCCTCCAATCATATTTGACAGCCTGAAGATGGTCAACAACTGTGATGACAGTCAATCAGACATTGAATCAGATGCAGAGGAGATTCCAGACACTTATCTGAATGACAGTGGCCTCTGTTCATGGCTCATTGACCTTGTGGTGTCAATTGATGAGACATGGCTGCCTCCAAAGGAAGCCAAGCAGGTGGCTCAATGAGTGCCATGTCTGAAATTTTACAAGAAGGGTCCAGATGTTGACAGCAAGTCAGCATGAACACAATGACAATATAAAGAACTCCTTCAAAATCAAAAATCACTCACTGGTCTTGGATTCACAGTCCTTACAAAGCCATCCACATCCAAGTTAGCTCTGCCTGCACAGACCACACCACTATCTGAGTCACCCGATAATGTCAGTTCTGCCAGTGACTCAAACTCTGAAGATGCAGGACATACTGTACCTGCATCAGAACTTAGCATGGGTCTTGCCAGCAACTTAAATGCAGAGGAGATGTGGGAAGATGAGCTGCAGGAGCAGGAACAGTTTTTTTATTTTATTTTTTATTCTTGTTTATTGTCCATTGGGGTGTGGCCCTATAGTAGACAATACATACAGTATTTACTTCTGGTGTGGTGATCTATATGGTATCTTGGGAGACTATGCTATTGGTCCTGGCCTAGGTGAGGATGGCAGTGCCATCTTAAGGTGTTGAGGAGAAGTTGTAGGGGTTCCATCTCTGCTGTGGCATGAACTAGCTGTTTTCTTTTGGTGGTGGTGGGGTGACATTGCCAAAAGTTTGTTTGAGTCTTCTTGTATGTGCAATGAATTGGAGGAGGGGTCTGGTGTTGTTGCAATTTTTTAGGAGTTGTTGGAGTTGGTTTGCGCATGGACCAACTTCTGTGTGTAATGCTGTTTGTTGGCAGAAGTATGTTGGACATTTGAGGAGAAAGTGTTTGACTGATTCTTGGTGGGCATTGCATTGTGAGCAGTGAGCTGAGGTTGATTTGGATATGTGGAAGAGGTGTTTGTTTAGCAGAATGTGGCCTGTATGAAGTTGGAACAGGAGAGAGCTGTGGCAGCAAGGGAGGGGGTCTATCATGCTAGCAAAATGTTTTGAAGGAGCTGTTGGGTCTATTGCATGGAGTCTTTGGTAACACAGTGCTTGGTATGTGATGAGCTTTGCTTCCTTCTTGATGGTGTGTTGGAATTGTTGTTTTGCTGCAGATTTGTTGATTGGGAGAGTGATGGGGGAGCTGGTGCATGTTCTTAATGATGTGGGGAGGGAGTTACCTGCTGATGTTTCTCCTCTGGCTGCTCTCTTGGCTAGTTCATCTGCTTGTTCATTGCCTTCTGCTCCTAGGTGGCCTGGTACCCATCTGATGGTGAGTTTTCTTCCATTGTCTAGGAGGAGTAACTCTCTGAGATTGTTGTGGAATTTGTCAATTAGGTAGTTGCCTGGCTTGGAGGTGAAGGCATTCATTGCTTTGATTGCTGCTTGGTTGTCCACTCCTAGTGCCATTGAGCCTCTTCCTCCCACTACTTTCAACAGCTCTACCACTGGGATCATTCCTAATACTTCAGCTTCATATACTGTGTGGTCCTTTGTGCTTCCCATGTTAAAGTCTCTCTCATCTATTCTTTCGTCTCCTCTCATCAGTACTGCTGCTGCTCCTACTCCTTCATCCACTGCTGATGTGTCTGAATATACCTTTAGGTCCTCATTCACTTTGTCTTCTTCTTTCATTGTGTCTTCCTTGGAGTTTGCTATGCTGATACTGGTATCCAGTGTCCTACATGATTTGGGAATCATGCATGGACATGACTACTAGGTAGCCCCCTAAAAGACAAAGTCTGTTAGCTTAGGCATCAGGCTAGTCAACCCATACCTTGGTTTCAAACCTTGGTCAAATAGTTCAGTTCCCCCTCTGTGATTCATGAATTTATTATATCTTGAAGAAAAGTCATTTGTGAGATGGGAATCACATAATGACCTAGTTGATATTGTGAAGCAATAAGAAGGTTAAGGTATTGCCTTGCCTTTGGCTTATTCACTTTGGCTAGAGAAAACCATAGAGAAAAGTTCAAAGCCCAACAAAAACCTATCTAAAAAGCCTGTGTTTCGTGTCTTGTTATTGTATTATTATTTCTGAGTTGTTTTCTCTAGTATTTCCTTGATTTATCTTTCTATTGGGATGCTCTGACCCATCAGATACTTCACAAAATTGTACCTACAGGGTATGATGTCATAATGATGTCATATGGCTCCACAGATACTCCTGCAAGTATTCTGTTGAAAGTTATGATGTCATGATGATGTCATTTGTTCTGGAATGTTCTGCTCCACTTCTGATGTTATTGCTCCGCTTTTTTACTTACATAATATTCCCACACAAAATGTATACAAGGAAGGCCCATTCTCCCCCCAAAAAATAGGATCTCCCACTTGCAATCATTTGAATCTTAGTTTGAGCTACTCACTGTGAAGATTGTTGCTTACAAAGAAAGCCCCTTTGAAGTACCAGGTGCAGGGAAAAGACATTCCCTTGAGATTACATGAGTTTCTTACAATAGAAACTTAGTTTATTTGAGACCAGCTTCTCACCTAGTTTTCTGATATTGTCCAACATGAGCTTTGGTCAATCTGTTCATTTGTGAGACCCACTTCTCACCTAGTTTTCTGATATTGACCAACACGAGCCTTGGTCAATCTGATTGTTTGTGAGACTGTCATATCTGCATATCTGGATCTCAGATCCAACCCTTATCTCTTCTCAGATCCACATCTTATCTCCCTCCAACATCTCATCATTCAACCTGTCCACTTGTCTGGTCCGGTCCACAACTCATCTGAATCCACAACCAGCACTTGTCCCCTTTCGGTAACCCCCTAACTCCGGTATTTTGGTTATCTGTATATCCGTCCTGCTCCCTTATCTGCTACCTATGTTTCATTTCCGTTTCATGATTTGTGATCCATTTCTACTTACCAATAGACTATCCACATGCTTCGTACATAGCCTTGGACTCTGCTGATTGATCATTCTGTTAGATACCTATAGTATATAACCTCCTGTAACTTTCTGTAGTACCTTGGTTCAAATATCATCTTAGTTCTGCTCATTCCTGTCCTCTGGACTTGAGTACCTCTACTCTCATCACCCTCCGAGACTTAGGATTGATTCCTATAGTCTATCCGTATCTGCCTCTGTCCCCAACAGTCCATTACCATTAGTTTCTAGTCTGGACTCATCCAGAAGTCATCTGGATCCATTACACTACTTGTCTGACCTTCTGGACACGTTAGCCTTGCCTTCCTGAAATAAGGGGCAATACTCAGGTAAAGGGCACAGCGCATGAGCTGAGGCCGAAGCCCTTCGGAACCAGTTATCCTTTGAGTATGACCTTAACAGAGACCACTTTCTCACCACTTTGTGCCTATTTGACCAACCAGTCTTTGGTTAATGTATTCATATTTGAGACCATTGTCTCTACAGAAAATTATCTTAACAAGGAACCATGTTCCAGTGTCTAGATGGTTTATCCTAGACAAGTTTATAAGTTGGGATAAAACACAAAAGCTCTGGCTAAGTTAATTACATAGATTGGTTTAGCAAGCCTCCCAAGAACTCACACATTATCTACCATGAAAGAAGAAAAGTCATAGACCATGTTAATTGAGGACTGGCAAGAAGTCTTATCCTAGTGTAATTGTGGTGTCATTACATTTTACATGCATTTATATAAGACCCTTGGTTATTAAGACAATGGACTATAGGCTGAAGAAGCACAATGGGAATGAGATGAGTTGGGCAGATGTTCTGACAGGAGTAGAGATCACCATCTCAGAACTGGCAGAGGACATACAAATATTCTTGGGGATTGCAACCAAAGGCTACCTCATTATGCATGAACAACCATGGTGCTGTTTTGTTCTCCTTTTCAGTATTGCAAACAAGAAGTATCATGTGCATTACTTGGACTATTCTGGGATAATAATCTCAGCATCTATCTTAATTGATCTGTACCCTGTATGTTTCATTGATGTCTTGAACACCATGACACTAGTGAGTCACTCTGCACTTGGTCTTGATCCCACTATTCATGTTTGCAACTCCCTTTGCTGAGGCACTCCTCACAACAAGGGGGAGTTGATGTCATGCCAACTGGAGCAATAGGTTGGGTTATAGATGATGTAGGTAAGGTATACTGGATTTTGGCCATTTTGTGGAAAAGCTGTGGGCTTTTTCACACAGAACCATTTGTTATCGTGTCCAGCACAAGAATACCAAGAAGGAGTATGCATTAAAGGACTGTTGGGTAGATATTGACTCCCTAGATCACAAGGTCAAGTTTCTTCAGGCAGTTGATGGTGTTCCAAATGTGGTCCAGCTAGTAAAGTATTGGAATGTTGAGTATGCTGGATGTGTCAACAGCACATTAAATATTTGCAACCATCTTTGCAATCACCTCCCAGATTCACCAATATTCACCAACAAAATTCACTGATGCATACTTTTGACTCCCTGTGGACTCCCACTGACCACCTTTAAGTCTGTACCTGAGCTAGTCAATGTTTTTCTTGACCTTGTTGCTGGTGAGTCCCCATGGTATTCATCAAAATTTACAATGCTAACAGATGCTGGTAGCCCATAAAACACTGACATTTGAGCAGGAGGTTCTTCATGGAGATCTCAGCCCAAACAATCTCATCATACACAAGGGAAAGGGATACTTTATCGATTTTGACCACACCAAATTTGTCCAACTTCACAATCAGGCAAAAGATTTGCATGGAACCATAAGTTTGAAAATTGATATCAATATCTTCTGTAGTGCTTATTTTTATTTTTTGAAGGGAATGATACCATACATATCCTGTTGCCTTCTCAAGTTGATGGGAGGCATTCCAACTCCTGAGTCAGTTGATCATAGGGCCTCTGATGACCTCAAGTCTTTATTCTATATTCTCCTTGAATTTACAACCATATATGGTGGGCCTGGTGGTCTAATCATGGTGTAGGGATTTCATTTACTGTGGGCTTGTATAGGCAGATATTACTTAGTGTTATGTTCGCACTTTTGGTGCTTATGTAATCATCATAGTTTTCACCATCTACCAGTACCAGTCTGAGACTGAGAGTTTATAGCATGATTTCCTATCCTCTCTGAGCACTGAGCTTAGTCCAGAAACCCTTTAGGGTTGAATAGCAGCTAGGCATAGCACATTTAGCCCAACATTAGAAGTCTACTTTCCAGTTCTCTTCTTGTTGTGTTTCCCACAATGGGCAGAGAGGTGCCCCCAAAAAACACCTGTAGATAGAATAAAGTGTATATTATGATGGACAGAGATGGTCTTGGGACTAGTGGAAGCCTCAAGAAAGAGTTCCTAATGGACAAATCCCTGAGGTACGAGCCTGTGCCATACTTCCAGGCTTGCTGTCCCATCCTCTAGGACTAGTGCATGGCAATTAGAGATGCACTAGTAAACAATAAGGAAGTCTCTCATGACCACATCCATGAGATCATACAATGGGGGCTGGATAACATTGACAGCTTTCTGAGTCCTGAGATATTATTCCCTCTACCTCTGATGTTGTCTGCTGCTCCCTTGGGAACCTCAGTTTCTTCTCCAGCCATAACTCAGGGTCTGCTGCCTCATCATTCAAGCTGGATAAACCACCCTGCACATTCATCAGTACCATCTGGCCCTTTGGCATTGTTTGCACCTCCTCCTCCACCTTCTCCATCTGTTTTGATGAATTGACCTTGTTATTCTTGGATAAACTGCCCTGCACATTCATCAGTACAATCTGGCCCTTCATCATTATTTACACCTCCTCCTCCACCTTCTCCATCTGTTTTGACAAATCATCCTTGTCATTCTTGGATAAACTGCCCTACACATTCATTGGTACCATCTGGCCCTTCATCATTATTTGCACCTCCTTCTTCACCTTCTCCATCTGTTTTGATGAATCATCCTCATTGTTCTTGGTGGAAAAAGAGGGAGCCTGAGGTTTTCATGCTCTAACTCATCACTGTGTAAGTGTTATGATCAAGCTAAGTCTGTGACAAGCAAACAAAGTGAGTGAGTAATGTAGAACTTGGATTGGGGCTCACACCAAGCCTGCTGCAACTAGTGGGTGTTTGTAGGTATGAGTTCACAGCAATCAATCTAGCTGTGAGGGCTATGATCGATTATCAATGATTATGATGGCGAGTCGTCAATCATTCTCTTCATAGGGCTAGAGATGTTGGCAGTGATGAGCTCCAATGAAAGTACTTGCTAAAGAGGAGAGCTTGCTTAGGGCTCAAAGGGTAGGCAGTATAAACCAAGTAGACTCAAGTTAGAGAAATACAAGTGCTACCCATAAGGTATATATACTGTTGGAAGGGATAAGGGCAGGTCTGCCATATTAGTGGTAAGGGTAGAGGACAAACAAGTCACAATGAGTCAAGATACCAAAGTAAGTAGAAAGTACTGGTTGAACAGTAAGGGTAAAGAGGACATGAGTCATGGTGAGTCATGACAAGTCAAAATACCATAGTAAGTAAGAAGTACCAGTTGGGCGGTAAGGGCATAGGGTCAGTGAGTCATTGGACGAACCAAGGATAAGGTACAACCAACAGAATGGTTGGTGGAGCGATCAAGAGAAAATGATAGAACAATCAAGAAGGAGAAAAGGGGTGATCACCCAAAGAGGAAAGAGTCCAGTGAGGGCATGAGTGGGGAAAATGAATAGGGGCTAAACAAGTGGATGTTACTGTAACAGTAAGCACTGTGATGCATTATATACACTTTATATGCATGGAGCTCAAGATTTATTATGATTGCAAAACATCTAGATATTAGGTCTCAGAACTTTGTATCCTTAGATTTTCTTAGTTCTTTGTAGTATTCCAGTCAAGCGCTCAGTGTGAGGCCACTCAAACTGTCTTATGTAATTGATAAATATTTACTAGAATGCACCTGCAGCCAACCTTCAGCACCAATCCCTTCACCCAATGCCTCCCAGGAAGAAAGCCAGATGTACTTCTCCAGGCAATAATTCTGGGAAGGATGCCAAACCTGCACAATGAGGTGTATGATCTAATCAAGGTGTTGGAGGTCACATTGCCCAGCTGCAAAAAGCTGGTGAGAGGGTAATGGTGGCCCCAACAAGGTAAGGGAAAAAGAACACTGTCAAAATCAGCAATTCAGCAGATAACCCAATTGCTCCTTCACAAGTTGCAAGAGCAAAGAAAAGAGTTAGTGTTTGGTTTTTGGGCTACCCAGCTAACAATGAACATTATTCCAGGCTCCTGCAAAGATATCTGTGAAAGCCAGCACTGTATGGCCAGAGCGCCAACATGCTCACTCTCCACATCCCTTCCTGCACACTGCCCACCATTCTGATAGGTTTGGGCTTAAGCCACTGTATGCTACTGATGGTGACAATCAGGATGTGACCTAACCCAGTCACAGCCAGAAGACTAGAGCTACAGAACCAGGTACTAGGAATTATAGACAGCAAGACTCACTAGATCATCATGGTGATAATCTTGAGTATGATGCTGATGAAAACGACATGCGAGACAATGAAGATATTTTCAGAAGCTTTAATGACAGCAACCAGCAAGATGAACAAGATTACAAACAAGACAATGACAAAGATGACAGTGAGGACCACAACAAAGACAATGATGATGATGACAATGACAATGACAATGACAATGACAATGACAATGACAATGACAATGACAATGACAATGACAATGACAATGACAATGACAATGACAATGAGCAAGATTCAAGGCAGGATCTGCAAGCATATCAGAACAGGTATCATGATGACAATGATCTAATGGAGTTAGACCAAGCCCAAGACTCAAATATCCAGGTTGATGAGTGTGATGATCCAGGTGTTTTTGATGTCCTTGAGCACCATCAAGCAAAAAATGGACAGTGCAAGGCTCCTTCACCAAGTTGCCTGTTAAGTGTAACCAGTTTTTTACACTTGAATTTGCAAATACTGACCTGCCCTAGTCCTCTTGTGGATACTCATGTGCACCTGCTCAATCATGGTCTCCCCATCAATATACATCCCAGTGTGTATGTTCTCATTTTTACCAAAGTTTGTTTCTGATTACCTCTGACTCTAGGTGTCTCAGAGTACACATGCTCCATCTGGTCATGTGAAGTCTCCTCAGCATGCACCTCAAAATGCACTGTTTACAAAGTCTTCTGCTTGTAGATCTGATCATCTTTCTGCTACTTGTTCCAAGTCTCTGCACCCAAATGCATATTGCGCTTCCACTCATAGACTGTCTCCTCGTTGACACTCCCCAACTCAATCAACCCTCATCAGTTGCTCCAAGTCTCTACACATGAATACTTCTTGTGCTTCCACCCATAGACCATCTCCTCATCATTCAGCCATGATGTCCAGTTGCACACAGCCTCCCTCTCATGGGCACACCTTGTCACAGGCTTCACCTAGTCATGCTAGTCAGTCAGATTATGAGCCTTCACCTGTTCCTGTTTCAGGCCATTCCCAATCTCCTAGTCTTACACTCAATAATTGCGACCAACCTAAACACAAAGGGGAACAGACTAAGAATCAATCAAATCCCTTGAAACTTGGGTTTTACCCATCATGCTGGCAGGCATTTCTTCAGGCAGCAAAGTTGTAAATGCACCTGCAGGCAGTACTGACACATCCAATTCCAGAGCATTCTGATGCTGTAGAACTTGTGCAAGAAGTCCTAGATGTAGTGTTATGGAAGTACCACTCAAAGAAGATTGGATTGGAGCAAGGTAGGTACCCTCCATACTGTTGGAGGTTGTCATATCCTGTATGCCAGACATAGATCCCACCATATTCCCACACTTTCTGGACCTATTTCCAGACCCCATATCCGACTCATTCCCAGATCCCCTTCCACTGTGTGCTCCATATCTAAGCAGGATTAGATCTGCTATGGAATTACCCCTGAGCTCCAGACCTCCAGATCTTTACTACTGGCCTGATCCACACACCCCTATCCTGTCCACCCTATGCACATTCCATCCAGCAAGACATCCAGACTTTACCTCCTCTTGGATTCTGGACTACATCTACCACCTCACATATCTCAGTCCTGTTTCCACCTTGCCTTCTGGATTCCCAGATCTCTGGACCTCCGGATATTAACTGTTACTATCTCTGGACCTATTCCCACCCTCCATCCAAGATCCTGTGCCTATCCCCATTTAGGCATCTCTGCCTTTCTGGTGAAGGTTCAACAGCTCTGCTAGCTTGCAGGGCAAAAGAAAGAAAAAGAGCTCTACCTCTGGGGTGAGAGGAAAGCCTACTGACTCTCTAGATGTTGGTTGAAGTGCGCCAGGTGATATGTTCGACCCTTAAGGGAAGCAAAGAAAGCAAATATCCACTAAGTGACACCAGGTCAACTCTGGTGAAGTGCGCTTGTGGGAATATGGAGCGCATAGGAGTGCGAAGCATGGGAATAAGGCACAAGCTGTGCATGAATGTGTAAAAAACTAGTGAATGGTGTGAAGATGTAAACTGGGACTGCTGAATGGTGACTGATGCTGATGGACTGTTGCTGAGGGCTAGGGTGATGACTGAAGCATGCTAACTGAAGATGATGATTCTCACTATGAGATACTAAGTGACATGATGGTGGTTGGTGTATGAAAACTTCCTAGGCCACAGGTAAGCTGTGCCTTGGTGCACTCCCAGGGCTCAGAAGCAAATAGGGAGTGCTCTAAGTATGTAAATGATGTAAATAAGGGTTCATGATGGAATAATATATCATATGATACCAGAAATGGTCTGATATGAGAAATAAATGAAAAGGGACTCACTAGGGGACTGGTTGGATGATGGATGGATGCTCCCAGATGCTGTGCGACATAAGGCAACCAAGCGTGGGAAGAGCGCGCTAAGCATGTGCGCGGGAATGTGTCGCATAGTGTGGGAAAGTGTCGCACCTCTGGCACATTTTGTGGGAAAGTCATAGATGGTGAGTTGTACACTATACCAATTGTTGTGAGTCATAATATGGGTGATATATGCCTAGAGGAATCTCGTTCCCTACACTGGTTCTCAGTTATCTCTGTTTCCATCTTGCTGATTGATCCTTGTACTAGTTTCATCTCTGAGTTCATTTAGTTATGTTCCATCTTACTTACCAATGTGTTTCCACATGCTCATACATAGTCTTGCTCCATTGCTTACTAATCCTCTCAGATATCCTCTAGTATATAACCCCTGTACAACTCCTGTAGAGTCCTCAGTCCGAATATCATCTTAGATCTGTCCTCATCATCTTAGATCCTGTTCTACTTGCCAATCTTCTTCCATACTTCAGTCCATCTGAGTTTGTCCTTTTCCATAAGGCCTAGGGATGGATTCCCTAGGCTGGAATTCCAGACCTTCAGATTTGTCCCCTATGTCTCTGTCTCAAGTCTAGGGATTGCTTCCCTGGGCTGAAGTCTTGCCTTTCTGGCACTTACCCTCTCTCCAGACTTTGGTCCACTTCCTGTCTCTCCGACTCTACCTAAGGGTAGTCTACCTCTGTTTGCTTCTACATTGGACGAAGTCCAATGTAGCCCCTATTCCTTCCGGACCTCTGGACATCCTGTCCTGTGCACCTCTGGGTGTCCTGTCCTTTGGATGTTCCATCCTCCTAACCCTTGGACATCCTGTCCTCTGGAACTTTAGTCCTCCTGTCCTCCAGACCTCCTATCCTTCCATCCTGTTTCCTGTAGAAGTATTACCTTGCAGTGGGAACTCTCCTGAGCACTTCCTGCATTCCTCCAGAAATCTCCCGCACTCCTCTGGAAGTCCTCTAGCACTCTCCACCAGAGTAGCCAGCCTCCAGAAGTCCTCTGGACTTTGTCGGACCATCATCAGACTTCCTCTGAAATGAAGGGCACATACTTGGGTAAGGGGCACAGTGTATGAGCTGAGGCCAAGCCCCTCTGAGTCAGTCTGTCTCTCCCTTGAGCATGGTTCTTAACAGAGGTTCCAATCTGATGTCCATAGGATATTTTCCAGAATATGGTGACCAGATGTCACAGTTCGTGAGTACAGGGTACTGTCTGTGAGCATGCTTACTGACAAGTGATTAGCTTTGCAACAACTTGTTTACATTCCATACAGAGCTCAAGAAAATCATCATCTCTCTTGTGAAACAATTATATGGCATCTTTCCGAAGGGCAGCATGATGCATAAGCACTCAGTGCAGAAACATGTTACTGAAGCAGCATCTAAACTGATCAAGTCCAGTGACTACCTTCAGCTTCCTGACTTGTCTGAGGTCAGTGATGACTGCATGGGGTAATATCTTGTTGTATTGATTTTTTAGGGCAAGTACAAGAACTTCATATCACAGGTTCTTAAAGATGCATGCCAAGATTTTTACTACAGCAATGGCAAAAAAGCACTGAAGTTAACAGACAAATTCCAACACTCAATTCCTGTTAATGGCATCATTCTCATAACCACTGTTGTATGATTATTTCATTTTATTTTATTTCATTTCCGCTGCTGATCAGTCTCCACAGGCAAAAGGCATTCTAACTGGGTTCTGTGAAACTGGTACAGATAAAGTCCCAGATTTTTCCACTGATAAATGCAGGTCCAATTTCAACTCCCTGTGAAAATCATTGATATGTTAATGGATATCCCAAGTGTCATCAAGAGCTTGAAGATATGTTGGAGGAATGGGCTGAGTCTGGGATGATGAATGGGCTTTGCAATGATTCAGATGGTGGCTCAGCAAATGAGGATGTCAATATCATTATGTAGTGCTAGTCTTTTGAATTGCATCATTGTTTTGCCGTCCATTCAATTGTCTTTTGTGAACATTGTCAAGTTTGTCCAAGTCTGTGCAATCTGTACAATCTGTACAATCTGCATCAGCAAAATCACAAATGACTTAACCTGCCTTTTTGATATTTTCCCATGATATAAGCCACAAAATGAGCCTGAGTCTCAAAAGACGTGTCAAGGCCACTTGCTTTCTTAAACTGTCTCAATTTGTCTTGTGCCAACTTTTCATGTGCTGCACAAGATGAAAAAACTCACAAAAGAGCAAAAATATGTCATTAGAATGTCCTAGATATCATCAGAAAAGTGACTGCAGAAGATTCAAAGATGGAATAGGAGGTAATCAAGCCAGACAAAAGATGCATAAATGACAGAGAAAGTCATTAAAAGCTGCATGAAAGGAGGAAAATGCAGTAGAAAAAAGAAAACAACAGTGCAAACCATGACATAAAAGAGCAAAAGGTACAGATAATATGAGGGGGGGAGAAATGTGCTGTGATTAAATCTGAAAGAAAAATAAAGAATTTAGTAGGATGGCTAGGATAAATCTTGAGTGCAAATTACCAGACATCTTCATGGTCATCCATTTCATCCTCTGAGTTGATGCTGGCATATTTCTTACCACCAGGCTTTTTCAAGTGCTTGTATGCCATGGATGCCATCAGGCATGTTGCTTCTGGGCCCTTCTTGTTTGCTGCCCAAACAAATGCAGCAGTTTTCATCCCCCATTTAACGACTGAGAATGCATGCTCAGTTCCCATCTTCTTCCCAGTAGCCTTGTTGAGTGTCTTTGGGGTCTTGAAACAAGTCTTCTGTGCTGTGGTTGGCATGTCTGCATCCTCCAAATTTTTGATGCTGACAGCATTGTCGCCGAGCAGAGCAAATGCATGTTTGAGCTGGAAAACAAATATCAGCCCATCCCGGTCAAAACAGGCATGAGAAATTGACACACTGAGACAGCACATAATCCAAGAGCTTCAACAAAGCCACCCTGAGCTAGATTATCAGTATTGAGAGTGGGAACATCAGCATGCCCAAGAGTGTGATAGAGATGGGCAGTAGCGAGAAGCTCCAGAACAAAGGCAGAATGGAAGGTTTTGTCTTTATTGATTTCATCAGGATTTGGGTACAGGAATGCATATTGTTGAAGGAAGAGGGTTAAGAGCTCCTTTGCTGAGGTGTCTCTGTTTGAGGTGCAAAAAGCAATGATGATGGCAAACACAGTAGATCTGAAATTGCTGCACCATTCAATGATGTGTTGGGTGACCTAAAAACATGAAATCAATCATATTATTCAATAAAACAAAACATGGACTTACAACACCGAAAACTGAACCAGACATCACAACCTGGTACTTGATGTCTGGATAGATGACCTTGAATATTTCACAGCATGCATGAAGAAGGTTCTTGTCAGGGATCATCCAGGGCTCTTCTTGTGCACCCAGCCAGAGAAAAATGGTCAATACAAAAATGCGATCCCACTTGGTGTCTTTATGGTAACCAGGAGGAAGGTCAGTGTTCAGATATGTTGAGTGTGCCTTCAACACAGATTCCACCCAGCTGCTGTTGCTCTTTAGCACCATGGTTGCTGTATGCTCCTTCTTGGCTTTTACTTTCTTCAAAGGGGGGGCCTTGCTAGATGTGGTAGTGACTGATGTCTACCTCAAAATTAGTGGTGAAAACATGAGACAGGGGGGAAATACCGAAGTTGTGATGCATGGAGCTTTTTCTACCTTCACTTTGGCTTTGACTGGCTGCTTCGTGACCACTGCCTTGAATTCATTGACATCCATAATCTCTGAGTCCTTGTCACTGTCCAGTGGTTCAATATCATCAATTGGTGACATCAAGTCATTGCTACAATCAGAGAATTCAAGGACATCATCATGGAGAGTCTTCCTCTTGGTCCCAGAGGTGGCTCTGTCTTGCCTTTGAGCTAGAGGCAGCAGCACTAGGTCAGGATCCATTTCCTCTGTAAGTGCAACAACAGACTTGGAAGACATCAGTACAAGGAGTGTGTTCAACTGCTGACACACCTTCATGGGTACTTTCCCTTTCATAGCTAGCACAACCTCATGCTCATGTGAGTCATCAAGGTCCTCATCTCCAAATGCTCCAACCAGGGCCAAGTCATCCTCACAAATAGCTGAAAGTTTAGTAGGTGGCTGATTCAGGTGAGAATTTAAAGTGGCGGCACTTGACACAGATTTTTGAGACCTCAATAAAATGGTGGAAGGTGGAGGCTGGGCACTTGCAAATGAATTAGACTGAGAAGCAGTTGAGCTGGCCAGCTTCTGTGGAATGGTTGTCCTCCAGTTCTGGATATGGCCACCCAGACTTGACTTTGCTCTTGTTTTCCATGAATTGACAAAGAATAGCATAGATTCAGTGAGCATCAACATTGTGGTTTGAGATTAAAGTGCGACTCATGGCAAAGAGTTGCCTTTCTTGTTTGTCTGTGCACATGCTTGATATCAATCATCATCAGCAATCCCTGATTCCAACATCGTTTTCTTGCAAGCATTATTGATGGCAGCCTTCAGTGATTGATGTGGTGTTGTTTTCCGTCCTTTCCTCCTTTTCTGAATATCTAAAGTGTCTTCATTGTTGTCACTAGGCAGGAAGTCTTCATCAACATCCTCTCCAAGAACTGCTGCTTTGCTGCTAATTCCAGCAGCACCAGTGTTACCACTGTCTATATCAGGTCTGCCTTCCTTGCTCACAACACCTTGACCCTTTTTCTTACCAACAGGTTGAGGACGGGGCTTGACAGCCTTCGGCTTGTTCTTCTGCACCTGGGTCTGGGCTTCTTCCATATCCATCTCCAATGCCACAAGTCAGGTAAGCCCTGCCACTGCTTCAGCTTCCTTGGCTTCCTGAGCTTCCTGTAAATGCCTGTCATCTGCTGCCTTTGCTGCCTTAGTCTGGTGTTTTGGCTGTGTATCAAGCACTATCTGACCAGGGTGAGTGCTGGCATTTTTAGTGCAAGTAACACACTTCATAGACTGAGACATGAAAGGAAACAGTGATTCCAAGCAGCAGAGATATTTATTGGTTGAAGAGTGAAGTTTACCACACCAGTGGAAATGAATGTGTAAGTTGGTCTGATGCTGTGCCAAACAAAGAATTGAATGTAATTACTAAGGTTCAAGGTGTACAAGTTGATCACAAACCACAATGTGGTGGAGGGCATCACACTGGTCATTAGCCCTTGTTCTCTTCATTTTTCTGCTGGTTATCCTGGGCTACATGTCAGAAAATGATCACATGCAAATTCCTCGGCAACAGTTCAATGCTTTCCAAGTCCCTTGTGGACATGCAGGATGCAAGCAGTACTTCAAGACTACTGCTGGATGTACCAAGCACATCCTTTCTGCCCATCCCATCATGTCTTTCCCACCTCCAGAGGACTATGATAATGGTCTGGCAGATGTAGAGCCTGGTATATTCCAGGATGCTCCCAATGATGCCAATTTCTTGGACTATTTGGATCCTGCTGCTGAGGAACCAAGATCCTCCCCTCTACCTGACATACATGCAAAGTTTTTTGGGCCCAGAGATTCACTCTATTGAAATCACCATACCCTTTTGGACAGTGAGTTTGTTTGACTTGCTATTCATCACTCCAGTAGTCTGACCAGCAAGAAGGTCACCCATGTGACGAGCATGGAAATTTTCTTCCTGATGGCACACCCCCTCCACCTGCTGAGCCCAGGTCATGCAATGACTGGACCCCATTCAGAAACCATGTTGAATTTGAAACAGCTGAGTTTCTCTACATTCAAAACCAGATGCCAGCTAATCAGGCTGATTGTCTGTTAAACCTTTGGGCAACTACACTCCTCAAACATGGCAATTCACCACCATTTGCAGATCATTGCAACCTTTATGCTACCATTGATTCAATTCCTTTGGGGGGGGTGAAGTGGCAGGGTTTCTCATGCACATACTCAGATGAGAAGCCTGATGGAAACTACCCACCCTGGATGGATGGGAGTTATGATGTTTGGTACTGAGATCCTCAGGAAGTTGTTTGCAAAATATTAGCAAATCCCACATACTCTGATGAAATGGACTATCAGTCCTATCACAAATATTCTACCAATGGAGATGAGCATCAGTTTCAGGATTTCATGTCTGCTGATTGGACTTGGGACCAGGCAGTAAGTGCTTCATTTTGATTGCACTAGACTACCAAAACTCTGTTCTTCCCTCCCCCTTCTTTTCACAGCACTAGACTATCAAAATTCTCCCTTTTCACCCCTTGTTCCTTTATCTATTAGGGCGCTAGACTACCAGAACTCTCCATTCTTCCCTCCCCCTTCTTTTCATGGCACTAGACTATCAAAATTCTCCCTTTTCACCCCCCTTGTTCCTTCATCTATTAGGGCACTATACTATCAGAACTCTCCACTCTTCCCTCCCCCTTCTTTTCATGGTGCTAGACTATCAAAATTCTCCTTTTTCACCCCTTGTTCCTTCATCTATTAGGGTGCTAGACTACCAGAACTCTCTGTTCTTCCCTGCCCCTTCTTTTCATGGCGCTAGACTACCAGAATTCTCCATTTTTACCCCTTCATCTTCCACATTGAACATTTATTCAAGACTATCTAATTCTGCCTATTACAGGACATCATTACTGGAGACCCAGAGACACTTGGCTCAACATTCATGCCCATCATCCTCAGCAGCGATGAAATGACGGTTTCAGTTGCAACCAGAAATAATGAATATTATCTGCTCTATTTATCCATAGGAAATGTACACAACAATGTTCAACATGCACATCAAGATGCAGTAGCTATCATTGGGTTCCTTGCAATGCCTGAAAGTAAGGGTTTTATATCTGATCTATCATGACTTGCTAACACACAGTTCAACTATCTAGCAATGAAGGAGTATGCTGAAGATCCGAAGTTTCATGCATTCAGACACCAGTTGTCTCATTCATTGCTCTCCCACATACTCGAAACCCTTAGGCCAGTGATGACAAAGCCAGAAGTTGCTAAGTTTGGAGATGGGCATTTTTGGCAGGTGATTTATGGCTTGGGGCCTTACATAGCAGATTATGAGGAGCAAGTGCTCCTTGTGTGTATAGTGAGTCGCTGGTGTCCAAGGTAAGATTCCATTTGTGTCATTTCCAGGCATTGGGACTAAGTTGAGTCTAGATGCTGTGCACATCATAAAAACCTTGATGCAGATGCACTCCTTTGATGCCATGACCACACTGAAGCCCTCATTAACACTGGCACGTATACACAGCTCTGGTTTGAGTTTGGAATAATCAGCAATCTTGTTGCAAGTCTTTCATTTCCACCTGTCAGGTGGGCTTCACTAACTTTCACATACTTTAGCCATTCATGAACAATTTCCCACAAGCCGACATTTACCACCTGATTGCCCCCAATCTTTTGCATCAAGTCATTAAGGGTGCCTTGAAGGACCACCTCGTGGCCTGGGTGGAGTTATATATCATGAAGACACATGGAAAATGCAATGGCCTCCACATCTTAGATGACATTGACCACAGGTGGGTCATTTACATTTTGCTGCTGGTGCTGTGCCGCTGCACTTGAATCATTTGTGCTTATGACAGATGCCTTGACTAACTTCCCTCTCGCTTAAGAATAGCAGCTATTGCCTCATTTGCAGGCCTGCACCACTTCCTACAAGGGCAGGGCTTCAAGCAGTGGATGGGGGACAACTCGAAAGCCCTCATGAAGGTAAAAATACTTTTTTTGAATTCATTTCACTGAGACATTGTTTCTACTCAGGTTTACTTGGCTGCAATTGAGGGCCATGTACCACAGGATATTGTTTGTGCATTCTGCACATTTCTAGAATTTTGCTACCTTGTACACCAAAATACCATCACTGAGAGCACTCTGGATGAGATTGAAGATGCCCTCTCCTGTTATCATCACTACTGCACAATTTTTACAGAGTCTGGCACAATTCCCACCTTCTCACTGCCATGCCAACATTCCCTTGTCCACTATGCCTACCTTATTCGGCAATTTGGTGCTCCCAATGGACTCTGCTCATCTATCACCAAGAGCAAACATATCAAGGCTGTCAAAGAGCCATGGAGGCGCTCAAGCAAATACAAAGCACTCAGTCAGATGTTAGTTACTAACCAGCATCTCAATAAGCTGGCAGCTGCATGTGTTGACTTCGCCAATCACAAGATGTTAGATAATACTTGTCTTGCAGCAGAACTTGAAGCTCTCAGTAAGTTTTAAAATCAATTACTGTTATTGTCCACGCTGCTAATTGACAATGACAGGCCTTGCAGATACAGATAGCAACAACAACCCCAATGTCCAAGTCCATCCCTTGCCCAGTAGTGTTGCCAATGAGGCACCGGTAGCAGTAGACCATGGACTAACCATTTTACAAGCACACACATGGCTAGCACAGACAGTTTGTGGGTAGCATTTACACATGTCTATCTTCCTGAGTGTGGTCTACTAAAGCTTTGTGTTATGCAGAAAGAAAACACACTCACGATGTATTGGCACTAGCTGAAGAATTGGAACTTCCCTGTTTTCCTGATTTGATTTGCTGGTTTCTTTTTGAGCAGATGCACAGGCCAGATGATGACCAAAATCCAGCAGAAATTCCCCTCACTGGCTGTCCTAGGTTTGCAGGGAAAATCTCCCTCTTTAACTCTGTGTCTTCAAGGTTCTACACACCAAGTGACATTAGTGGAATCAGAGGCATGCACGTCAAACATATCTGTGCATGCCCTTTGTGGCAGAATGAAGCTCCACGCAATGACTGCATTTTCATCAGCACAGGATCCAGTACAGAAGGCATCTGAGGACTCGAAGTCACAAGGGTCCACACCTTCTTTTCATTCAAATATAGCAGTGAAAATTTTCTGTGCACCATCATGCACTGGTTTGATGTCATTGGAGACTCGCCTGATGAAGATACTGGGATGTGGATGGTTCGTCCAGCATACAGTGCTAACTGTGCACCTTTACATAGTATCATACATGTGGACACAATCTACCGCACTGCTCACCTCATCCCCATCTACAGCAGGCATTTTCTTCCTCCAAACATCAATCTACATGTTTCTTATGACACTTTTTGTGCTTACTATGTCAACAAATTTATTAACCATCATGTGTTTGAAATTGCTTCATAATCTTGTCAAGTTATACCACCTACTGCATGTTAATTACCCTTTGTATGACTTGAATCTAATTTTTTGGCTTTTAGGACAATTTTATTTTAATGACTTGTGGCATCTTTCAGTCACTGTTAAGAACCATGTTGCTCAAAGGAGAGAGAGACTGACTCAGAGGGGCTTGGCCTCAGCTCGTACACTGTGCCCCTTACCTGAGTATGGGCCCTTCATTTCATATGAGGTCCAATGATGGTCTGACAAAGCCCAGAGGACTTCCGGAGGCTGGCTACTCTGGTGGAGTGCTAGAGGACTTCCGGAGGAGCGCAGGAGAGTTCTGGAGGAATGCAGGAAGTGCTCAGGAGAGTTCCCACTGCAAGGTAATACTTCTACAGGAAACAGGATGGAAGGATGGAATGTCTGAAGGTATGGAGGGCGGAACGTCCAAAGGTACGGAGGGCAGAACATCCAAAGGACAGGACATCTGGAGGTCCAGAAGGAATAGGGGCTACATCGGACAAAGTCTGATGTAGAAGCAAACAGAGGTAGACTACCCTTAGGTAGAGTCGGAGAGACAGGAAGTGGACCAAAGTCTGGAAAGAGGGTAAGTGCTGGAAAGGCAAAGCTCTGTCCTAGGGAATCAATCCCTAGGCCTGATGGATAGGACAGACTTAGGTGGACCAAAGTCCAAGAGAGGATTGGGCAAGTAGAGCAAAGTCTAAGATGATATTCAAACTGAGGAACTACAGGAGTATCTACAGGGGTTATATACTGGACAGTGTCTGAGGGGATCAGTAAACAAAGGAGCAAGGCTATGTATGAGCATGTGGAAACACATTAGTAAGTAAGACAGAACATAAGTAAATGAACTCAGAGATGAAGACTCATACAAGGATCAATAAGCAAGACGGAACAGGAGGTAACTGAAAGCCAGAAAGGCAGGGATGCCTAAATGGGGATAGGTGCAGGATATTGGACAGAGGGTGGGAATAGGTCCAGAGTTAATATCTGGAGGTCTGGAGATCTGGGGATCCAGAAGACAAGGTGGATACAGGACCGGAATATGAGAAGGTGGATATAGTCCAGAATCTGAGATGAGGTGAAGTCCGGATGTCTTGCTGGATGGAGTGCACATAGGGTGGACAGGATAGGGTGGTATGGATCAGGCTAGCAGTGAGGATCTGGAGGTCCAGAGCTCAGGGGTAAATCCGGAGCAGAGTTGATCCTACTGAGGTGTGGAGCACACAGCAGAAGGGGATCTGGCAATGAGTCAGACATGGGGTCCGGACGTAGGCTCGGAAGGCGTGGGAATATTATGGAATGTGAGTCTGGATTGTGGGATATGACAGTCACATTGCAAACTTCATTCAAATTACAACTGTGATTAACTGTAGTTAAGAGGCACAAAGCCAAAAAAGAAATATGTGATTTTGCTGATGTGTTAGATGAAACAAGAATGCTTCTATACATACGCATGTTACCAGTCCCGGAGGATTAACCTCCAGGACCTCCCTTTTCCTTATTTGCATCTCTTATCACTTCTTGTCACCTTCAACACCATATGTCACTACCACTGGTATCACTATCACCAGTGGCTTCTTTCTGTCTCATATGGTACTTAATGTTTTGCTTGTGCACAGTCCCACCTCAGCATTGTCTATCACACTCGCTGAGGTACACGCTATTGTTACTCGTCATATCTACTCTTGCTAACATGTAATCTAGACAGTGTCTAGGTAATATAATTTAGTGTTGTCTATCACACTCGCTGAGACAGTGTCTAGCTTTGACCACAGTCTGTGCCTATTTGTACAGATTGTAATACTCTGTGACAGACTTGTAAATAGGGGACTTTGTTGTGGGTTTGTGCTCTTTGTACACACTTGTACAGTGACCCCCTAGTTTGCTGATGAAGCGCCAGCGCCGAGCGGTAGCGCACGGATATCTCAGTTCTTTGGAAGAGACTGAGATGTGAGTTAGAATTCGTTATCGATACCTACAAAGTTTAACGCGACGTAGTGTACTTGTCCTTACAGCGGTCGGACTTCCCACCTTCGTATATTCACCAGAAAGCTACCATAGTTGAACCCGTATACTGTAAGCTTCATACATGTGTACTGTGCTCGGTAATATAACAAGGCCCGAAAAAGTAGCATGTTAACCAAGCTGATCGAGATACTTTCTTTATATAGGTGAGTCACAGCCGCAATCTAGATCCAAAGGGTACTGTGACATACATCGCTGAGCTAGTTGGACAGGGAAACACTTTCCAGCTCGTTTTCCACAAAGGAAGCAGCATCCCCAACGGAAGGACGGTCCTCAGGCTTGGCTGACCAACATTTCCGCATGAAATCCAAATGTTGGTGGCTAACGGTCACACCGGGTTCGACCCGGTATGGCTCTGCGCGCCTGTACTGAGCATTGAATATACGTTGAGCATGGGTAATCCACCAGAAGGGAGGTCTACCCGAGAAGACCTGTACGATGCAAAATTCAGGTGAAACTCGAAAGGGTTCAACGAACGCGACTTACTTGTAGCATGATACAACCCAGTGAAAATACATCGCTCTGACTGTTCGGTTTCGGGAAGTCGATATCGCTGTCACTGTCATCCAGAGTGCTGTTTGGTTCCGGTGAGCCGATCAATTCGGGCGCTGACCACCGGACAGAGCCTTGCGCATACGAGTGGTAGTACGATCTGTCACTCTCTACGAGAGCCACCGAAAGACCGAAATCTGCCAAAAATGCATTGCCATCGCGGTCGATCACAACATTTGTCTTCAATTATAGAGTTAGTAAAGACTCCAAAGCATCGAAGAGTACATACACTGGTCAGGTCCGCGTGAATTACTCCCTGTTCATGAACTAAAGATTTTGTCAGAGAAAACGTGTATTCGAAACGGCGATCCCATACGATATTTCAATCCATTCACCACCTGTTTCAACTAAATAAGGGCACCGATTGAGTAAGGACTTATATTTGACATGATAAATGAATCTCACCAGTTTTAGTTTCTGTTCCATGGTGAGGCTCGTGCGCTTCAGGTAACTATCAAGTGCCCCGTTATCCATCCATGTAGAAACAAGAGCAGGCAAAGGTCCAAAACCGGAGACCGTGCCGTGAAGAGCGAGAACATGCTCATGCCTCAGTGTGATCCACACGGCTACTTCGCGGCGAAGTCTCTGAGAGCGGGCGTTCATTACACTTCACATTACGGAATAACTGTTAGCATACATTCTTCGCTCTTCGGACGTCTTCTCCATTGCTTGTCTCCGTTATCCTGATGGTTTTGACAGCAACCTGTCCAACAGATATTAGTCGGCGAGATTCGCAGGGTAACACATCATATGTACCCCAATAGAGATTGCTGGATCGATGGACATTGAGCACTTCCAGATATCGCCCACGCCACCACATGAGGTAGGATAATCTGATTGCTTCCTGATGGATGTAGACGGAATAGCAGATGGGTCCGCATCGAAGGCCACTCTGAGTCTGTGCCTCGGGTTTTTATATCTGCAGTTTATGAGGAAATTTGCACTCACGGTTGTACTTCATTTGTACCAGGGGTAACCTGATGTAGTATAGTCGCAGCATCGCTGTTATCTTGCGAAGAAGTGTCTTATAACCCAGAATTGCGTGAAATACTTACGGTACAATATTTTTATCCACGATGTTAAATGCTTGGACTTGCGGTGATATTTGAAGCAATGAATCTCTGTAGCCTGCATGTTCAGTGCTATCCATCATGATATGGTGACCAGACATACGATTGCATAGTGATACTGGATACCAACACTGGTACGACTGGTATCGTCAACGGGCGGCTGTCATAGCATGAGAAACCATTTCTTCGTAATCCTCGGTTGAAACTCACGTTACGGAATCTGCGGAGGCAGCAGTGTTGTCTACAGAATTTCCGTTGCCCTTTTCGACCTGTCAACATGATGGCAACGTCAGTGATTGAATTTAATGACTGAGACAATGAATGCCTCACAATTTGAGTCGCACGCCGAGGCTTTCGAAATACTGACTGGTGATTACCCATGGTAATGAGCCTACTATTAGTACAAATGGAGGTCTGCGGTGTTGCGCTGAATCGAAGGGTCAGCAGGAGTGAGCAGGTTTCTTAAAGAACAGCTGACCGCACCTACTAAATAGTACTGCGAAGCCCCCATACCCACCAACTAAATTTGCGAAACACCTGAGTGTGCGGAAGAAATTAGTGCTAGCGCTCGAGCGCTTAACAAACCACATGCAGTGATCGAAGAACGGTCAAAAGCATTAACGCATGCCTAAACTGCGTTGTTGACAACCTTCTATACGCAGCTAATGCCCTGCCACATTGACGCAATCATGGACGGCGTCAATCAAACCTCATCATGATCTAAGATCTAGTCACTAGTATGGTTTGTTCTATCCTACATCTTCGGTTGATCCTATGAGGCCTGTGCAGTATGGTGGATTTCATTAATTGAATCGGTCCTCCATCAAATTGCAGGTGAGGCTCAAGCAAGGTTGCACAGGAAATTTTATTTTCTACCTTTACGGCTTGCATGCATGTCGTTCTGGGTTCGACGACTTTTTAGGTGATCGTGTAGATACAAAAACGATTCAATTGATCGAGGACATCCAGGAAATGGACTCCTGGGGCGGACTCTGGGGATATATCGATAGCATCTGTGTGTTTCAGTCGGAGTTTTAATATCATGCGGCTGATAATGCTACGTAAGCAGCGTGATCACAGCCATGGGCCATACTTCTCTTATCCTAATCGGATGAAACCAAGGAGTATGAGAAACATGCGAATTGTGCGTATCATATAGCGCTCGCAGCAATCTATGATAGAACCTCAAAGTGACGAATGATTCATCCCCGAAGTAAGAACACTGCTAGGAATGGCAAGACCAGCCCACAGAGTGACAAACTCCGCCTGCACAGGTTAATGATGTTGAAGTGTTCCTCGGCTGTTGATCGTTATATCTAGTGCCATAGAGGGGAAACGAACGACTTTGCGCTCAGCTCCGCACCCCTGAGAACCATTCGTTGAAGCATCAAATATGTCATCATGTTAGACCCTGGATAAATCTAAACTTTACCATCGCTGGATAGCATAACTCCAGCAAGTCGTCATATCGCTCCAAGTCCGAGAACCAAGGGATTACTTTGTGTCGTAATATACAGGAAAGGGGCATTGGGCTTACGTCAAAATACTACAATATCCGAGGCGAGTTAAACTCAAGGTGAACTCGAATCGGTTCGAAAATGACCAAACTCGTTTCAACTCGTTGGGTTCGAGATTTGCAATCGATTTGGTGCACTTCGTCGTAATATTTCCCCTGTGAATGACTCGCCTATAGGCCCGTATGAATATCATTACAATGAGCGCATATATGCACTTTCAATGAGTGCGTTTCAATTTTTTTCGCTTGTCGAGTGACTGTTTATGCATTATGGGCCGAACTATAGTTGTTAACCCAAGCATCAAGCTTGAGTGGTTGAAGGAGCACTGGGAGCTGAGGATGTCGAAAATGCTCTAGAATGGATGCTACAAGCGGCTCGTCGTCTTTTGTTCTGCGTGTTATGAATATCGTGATTTTTTGGTGCAGATGACTTCTTTTCGTACGTCTATTAGAGTCGGCGAGACCCAGACCTAACTGGAACTGTTCACACCCTCGAACAACCTCAAAGGAAACGCGTGGCGCTCATCTTCTGCTACTAATAGTAGTATCCCTCCAACTCCCGCCATCATTGTCTCTGAACCAGTGGTACACTCCCTGACACCGGAAACCACAGAGGAACGCTTCCGCAAAGAACTCGAACTGGGCAGGAAGGATGCCGAGTGCGAGTTTTCTCGTTATGAAGATGCAGGTATACTACTTGAAGCAGCTGAACGCACAACAGATATCGTTCATTTTCTGGGAGGTATGTGATGTGTTTCTGTCTGCAATTCATAAGATTAACAGGTATCATGTTAGCAAAAAGAACGTACATTTCCGCTTCTATTCCACGTCGCTATGGACATCATACCTGCTCAAGCTTCATCTGTGCCTTCCGAGCGCATATTTTCATCCAGCGAAGGGATCTGCGCTCTACGGCGCAGTAATTTATCTCCGACCACACTTGAAGCACCACAAGTCCTGAAGTTCATTTACAAGCAGGGCCGCCTTAATTTCAGAGGACCTGGTGGCTGACGAGCGGGATTACACAATATCTGGACCTATGACTCCCAGGGCAGTTGACGAGTTAATGGCTGCTAGGAATATTTGCAAGCTTGACTGCTTCAGGATGCAAGGGACATTGATTGTAATTAGTATATCTGCTGGTCGTATACTAGCAACTTGCAACGATTGTCATTATCATGCAGAATCCCTAGCTTCTCATTGGTTGGACTACCGGTCCGTATCACTCCGAACTGGTTTCCAAATCGCGAGTACAAATCGTTTTAACTTGTTAGTCCGAACTGCGTCGATTTACCAGTATTTTCCACTTCTAATCGAATCGACTCGCCTCGGCGGCAACACTTAATTATTATCGACTAATATCTGAGTCTCACCGGTTTACCAATGAGTTTGTCCGTACTAACCGCAGGCCTTCTCACTGGCTGTGAGACTTCATCAAGATTTCGTCCCATTCTCATAGGCTACCACCACTACGATATCATTCCACATTTTTCTCCATCAGATAGTATCATTTATGAAGGTCTCACACATCCTCGCTCAATTTCAAGCCTGGCTGAAGAAGTGGGGATCACGCATTCTTCTTGCCAGCCTTGGGCTTGGTTTGAAGTCGACACAAGAGGCGAACATTAAAACAATACATGGCAAGAATGCGAAGAATAAGTGTGTCTTTTATGTACTTGAATGTCACGCAATTTTTGCTGAGTATCTACGGACTATTAGTCTGCCTGACCTCACTGAGCAAATCAGCAAGGAATCATCCCGATACCCTGTCGCACAAGGCAGCTTTGGGGATGTCTGGAAGTGCATATGCAAGCACCCTCCAATCACGGTAGAGGCGAGTAGATCCTTTAAGTTTGCACCTGTTGTCACACGCCCATAATTGACCGTCTCCCTATCTACTAGGTTGCAGTAAAGTGTTTGCGACTTGAGATTCCGAACGATAGTTGCAAGATGAAAATTACCGAGGTTCGGGTGGCTCCGCGCATGGGTACCACATGTTTATTTGCTAATGTACGACACTTCAGAGGCTGGAACACGACTTGCAGCGGAACACTCAGCTGAAACACAACAATCTGTTACCTTTGCTGGGAATAACTCGAGGGTTCGGTCCACTGCCTGCTATTGTCTCCCCATGGATGCACAAAGGCTCACTTACCATGCTTCTGGAACGTGATTTCCAGCAACTCACTCTCACTCGAATGCTCCACATTGTGGGTGTTTTTTTCGTGGTGTGGCTCGCATATTAATATTTGCTGTTGCAGCTCAAAAATGTCGCTTCAGCTCCTCAGTACTGTATGCGACAAACGTTAGTATTCGGCGCAAAGCTAACAGGAATATTAGTGCACTCAAAAAACATAGTACACGGTGATCTCACCGGCGTGAGTACCGCAGATACTTTCTTCACCAAGGGAATTGTTGACGTAATTCAGAACAACATTCTCATCGATGAGAACGGCAATGCCTTCGTGGCTGACCACGGAGTTCTCATTTTCTGTGCCGAACTCCATGGCACCTCATATATCAGAAGCAATGTGCGGTGGGCCGCGCCTGAAAACTTTCAAGTCCCGGAAGATGACGAGTCAATGAGCTCACCCCAATTGGTATCAGACATATATTCTTTCGGGTGCATTATGTTGCAGGTATTCACAGGAAAAGTTCCGTATTCCGAATTTCGAAGTGACCATCAAGTTACCATGCAGATACTCAGAGGCCGGAAGCCTGCTCGACCAGTGACTCCGCCCATTGCAGATGCTCTATGGGATTTCATGCAGAAGTGCTGGCTCGATGAACCGGAACACAGACCTTCAGCCAAGGAAGTTCTGATATTTATACAAGGACAGCTGAACCTGCCACAGGAAAGCTCCCGGCTCTCATGCAACTCATGATGCCATCGCAATTTTGTGTGCTGTGTTCTCCGTCTTGCATTCTGTACGATATAATGTTCACAATATCTCATACCTTAATATCACACACTCTTGTTACTCCCAGGCTTGGATTTCCTCGATAGGCTCGCAGTTCGTAGTTTTTTGCAATGAATGCAGAGTAGTGGATGCATGATATGCTATACCAGCCTTGAATGACGCACAGCAGTATTTAATCCTACTAGGTAGTAGTAATTGTATTATCGTCCATTGATCCTGACTACAGTGCATCATTTCAGCGCTTGAACCTTATGGTAGTCGAAGCAGGATAGGTTCCACCGCTGTGTCAATATTCCCGTCACAGACTGCAATAATCAATTTTCGTGGTAGCTCGATGACAAATACGATTGTCGCAGCTGCTGTCAGATGTCGTAGTCGCCCTCAGTTACAAGACCCTCTCAGCTTCGCCAATTTGCGTTTTTCGATGTTCACCCTGTGAAGGACATTCACGACCTTGCTAGCTCATCCGAAATTCTCAAAAATGCCTCAGAAATATCAACTATCGTCTCCTCCAGTGCTGGGCTGCTCGCTGCGGATATCCACGGCAGTGTACACATTCTGAACAAGGAGTTTGTATCGACAACGAGTTGGCTTGCACATGAGGAATGCACTTGGCGGAGAGGAAGGGTGTGTTGGTGACAATTAGGGAAGAGGATGCAGTACGGGGTAGTTTGCCGGAGATTTGGAATCTTGGGAAGACGGACAGGAGAAACCAAGCACCAGTGTTGTTGAGATCTTCCATGGTCCACCTGGCGATAAGCCTCATCCCTATGCTCAGCTTTCGTTTGACCATGCACTTTAGGTCTCTTGCTTTGCACTACCTTTTCTTGCCATCGGCTTGGCCGACGGGACGGTGCTACTTTACGGGCACTTGGACCAGTCGCTATCTCCCGCAGTGTCCCTGACTGCACTCCCCCGTACCATCCGTGAATCATCTCCTGAACCGATCGCTGATCTTGGTTTCTGAGAACTTCCAAGTCCTACTAACGCCGATGCGAAGGATAACAATGCGATAAGACACATACACTGATTCTTTGCACAGCTATACCTGAGATCTGGTTATACTCTGGGGATCTATGAGGTCATTTTACGGTTTTGGATGGTCAAGCGCAACGCATGGCCATCCGAGTCCTCCGCATCAACAGAAGTCATACAGGCCCTTGTACAATATGGTCCAACGCATTCGCACCTCTATGAGCTGGTGCTGCACTTCTTAACAAGCATGCCGGAGCTGCTCATGCGGCACCAGGTGGATATGGAGAAGATTCTAGGGAGATGACGACTCAGCATTAATGATCACTGAAGTATGGTCCTTCCAAGATTAAACTTCTGAGGGAGAATACCACCAGCACCCCAGGTAATACCATCCTTCGCATTCAGGGTGACGTGCCTTAAGGCTTGAATTACTAGCAGAGAATCCATAATCGGTGAGGTTAAGTATTTTTTTTTTCATTTTGTCAACAGAACAGCATTCTAATTGGGAACTCATGAACTCTATACTTAGATGTGCATGCCCATCACTGAAGTTTCCGTAGATCACGGTGGACCATGAAGGGACTGTCCAAGCAGCTCGATATGATTGATTAATGATCAAGATGTAAGTTCCCTTTATATCGGATACGTGGTCTAAACAGTGGACATACAGTGGACGGAACAACACAACACGAGTCAGATAGGCGCTGTCTCGAGTTGTATTATTATAGGGGAGATAGAGCCATTCATTCTAGAATGAGCACATATTTCTCGGCGCTTGAAGTCAGACGACAGGCAGCATTTGCTAACGTAGAATTAGTTATCGAGGTTCATTCCATGGGGCTGTTACCGAGGCCGATGCCATGCACAATAACCTAGTTTTGGCCAAAGTTTTACAGCTAAGTCCAAATTGGTTACATGTGGATTTCATTAATTGAGTCAGACTCGAACATTCAGTTGCAGGTGAGGCTCAAGCGAGGTTGCACGGGAAATATTATTTTCTACCTTGATGGCTTGTATGCACATCACCCGAGAGTGAGGCAAAAATGCTTCGTCCTGATGAACATTAATCAAGTTGATCGAGATACTTATTTTATATATTTAAATAGGAGCCGCAATCACAATCTGTCCAAAATGTATCGTGACATACATCGCTTGAGCTAGCCGGACAGGGGATTGAGAGGACCTTTGCCAATTCTTCTTCCACAAAGGAAGCAGCATCTCCAGTGGAAGGACGATCCTCAGGCTTGGCTGACCAACATTTCCGCATGAAATCCAGATGCTGGTGGCTAACGGTCACACTAGGTTCGAGCTGATATGGCTCTACGCGCTTGAACCGAGCACTGAATAGCTGTCGAACATTTCTAAGCCACCAGAAGGGAAGTTTACCCGAGAAGACCTGTACGATGCAAGATTCAGGTGAAAATCGAATAGGATCCAGCATATGCGACTTACATGTAGCATGATGCAACCGAGCGAAAATACATCGCTGTGACTGTTCGGTTTCGGTAAGCTGACAACGCTGTCACTGTCATCCAGAATGCTTTCTGGATCCGGTAAGTCGATCAATTCTGGCGCTAACCACCGAACAGCGCCACTCGAATACGAGTGATAGTACGATCTGTCACCCTCTGCGAGAGCCACCGAGAGACCGAAATCTGCCAAAAATGCATTGCCATCGCTGTCGATCAGAACATTCGTCTTCAATTATAGGGTTAGTAAGGACTCCAAAGCATCGAATAGTACATACACTGGTCAGATCCCCGTGAATTACTCCCTGTTCATGAACTAGAGAGGTTGTCAAACAGAAAACGCATTCGGAACGGCGATCTCATACGATATCTCAAGCCATCCACCACCTGTTTCGACTAAATAAGAGCATTCATTGAGTAAGGATTAAAATTTGAGATAATAAATCTCACAAGCTTCAGTTTCTGTTCCATGGTTAGGCTCGTGCGCTCCAGGTAACCATTAAGTGCCCCGTTGTGCATCCATGTGGAAACAAGAGCAGGCAATGGTCCAAAACTGGAGACCGTACCGTGAAGAGTGAGAATATGTGCATGCCTCAGTTTGATCCATACAGCTACTTCACGGCGAAGTCTCTGCGGGCATTCAATACACTGCACATGACGGAATAAATGTTAGCATACCTTCTTCGCTTTTTGGATGGCTTTTTCATTGCGTATGTCGTCAACCCTAATAATTTTGACAGCAACCTGTCCAACAGGAATCAGTCGGCAAGATTCGCAGGGTAACATTATATGCACCTCAGTAGAGGTTGCTAGAGCTGCTGAACCGATGATCATTGAGCACTTCCAGATCTCGCCCAAGCCACCAGATGCCATATAATAATCTGATTGCTTCTTGATGGATGTAGACGGAATGGCAAATGGGTCCACATCGAAGGCTACTCTGAGACCGTGCCTTGTGTTATTATATCTGCAGTTTATGAGGAAATTTGTACTTACGGCTGCGTTTCAGGTGTACCAGGGGTAACCGGCTGTACTATAGTCACGGCGCCACTATCATCTCGCGAGGAAGTATCATATAAGCCAGGGCCGCGTGAAATACTTACGGTACAAGATTTTCATCCACGGCGTTGGATGCCTGGACTTGCGGTGATATTTGAAACGATGCATCTCTGTAGCCCTTATGTTCAGTGTTATCCATCATGGTATGGTGATCAGACATACGGCTGCACAGTAGTACTGGATACCGGCACTGGTACAACCGGTATCGTCAACGAGCGGCTGTCATAGCATGAGAAACCATTTCTTCATGATCCTCGGTTAAAAGCTCACGCTGTGGAACCTGCGGAGGAGGCAGTGTTGTCCACAGATTTGCGGTTGTCGTTTTCGACCTGTAAATATGATGGCAAGGTCAGTGATTAAATCTAATGACTGAGACAATCAATGCCTCACAATCTGAGGCCTTGGAAATACTGATGGGAGACTACCCATGGTAATGAGCCTATTATTAGTATAGATGGAGGTCTGCGGCGTTGCGCTGAATCGAAGGGTCGGCAGGAGTGAACAGGTTCAAGAACAGCTGACCGCGCCTATTAAATAGAATTACGAAACCCCCATACCCACCAACTAAATTTGCCAAGCACCTGAGTGTGCGGAAGAAATTAGCGCTAGCGCTTAAATCGCACGCAGTGATCGAAGAACGGTCGAAAGCATTATGCACGCCTAAACTACGTTGTTGACAACCTTCTATACGCAGCGAATGCCCTGTCACATCGGTGCAATCATGGACGGCGTCATCCAAACTCATCATGATCTTAGATCTAGTCACTAGTATGGTTAGTTCTGTCCTGTAGCATCTTCGGTTGACCCTATGGGGCCTGTGGTGAATTTCATTAATTGAGTCGGACCTCAATATCCAACTGCAGGTGAGGCTCAAGCGAGGTTGCATGGGAAATCTTATTTTCTACCTATATGGCTTGTGTGCATGTCGTTCTGGGCGCAAGTGACACTCGAGGCAAAAACGATTCATCTTGACGAAAGTAAAAACATAATCTAATTGTCCTCGCTTAGTCTCGAGAATCGTAGACAGCGAGGACATACCAGCAATAGGCGGGAGCGGTGGGACCCTATAGATTCGGGAGACAAACAGCCCCACACACAAGACGAGAAACTCGAGTGAGAAAAGGCAAAGAGCCAATTCGGCTCCGTCTCGCTAGACCTAGACCGACAACTCCACTGAAGGAGGCGGCATGAGATTGCCTACGGCACATTCGTCATGCCAATTTGCACGGGGCAAAAGCCGCAGGGGCAAAGGGCAAGGCCCAAGACAAAGACACGGGAGACCCGAGGGAAGAATAGGTCTGCTAGGGCAGACTCGTACCAATTACCCTTGTGTAAACTCGATAAATAAGTAACGTTAATCAAACTGATCGAGATACTTAGTTCGAACCTAATTTACGACGTTTACCTTCAAGTTGGCTGGGTAAATTTCGTTATGCTATATATTTATATAGAGGAACCACAACCGCAATCCCAGTCCAAAGTGTACCGTGACATACATCGCTTGAGCTAGTCGGACAGGAGAGAGGGGACCCTCGCCAGTTCGTCTTCCACAAAGGAAGCAACATCCCCAGTGGAAGGACGAACCTCAGGCTTGGCTGACCAACATTTCCGCATGAAATCCAAATGCTGGTGGCTAATGGTCACACTGGGTTCGAGCTGATATGGCTCTATGCGCTTGAACCGAGCACTGAATAGCTGTCGAACATTTCTAAGCCACCAGAAGGGAAGTTTACCCGAGAAGACCTGTACGATGCAAGATTCAGGTGAAACTCGAACAGGGTCTAACATGCACGACTCACATGTAGCATGATGCAACCGAGCGAAAATACATCGCTGTGACTGTTCGGTTTCTGGAAGTTGACATCGCTGTCACCGTTATCCAGAATGCCTTTCTGGATCCGGTAAGTCCGATCAATTCTGGCGCTAACCACCGAACAGCACCACTCGCAAATGAGTTGTAGTACGATCTGTCACTCTCTGCGAGAACCACCGAGAGACCGAAATCTGCCAAAAATGCACTGCCATCGCTGTCGATCAGAACATTCGTCTTCAATTATAGGGTTAGTAAGGAGTCCAAGACATCAAAGAGTACATACACTGGTCAGGTCCCCATGAATTACTTCCTGTTCGTGAACTAGAGAGGTTGTCAGAGAGAAAACGTGTACTTGGAACGGCGATCCCATACGATATCTCAAGCCATCCACCACCTGTTTCAACTAAATAAGGGCATTCATTGAGTAAGGATTAAAGTTTGAGATAATAAATCTCACAAGCTTCAGTTTCTGTTCCATAGTTAGGCTCGTGCGCTCCAGGTAATCCATTAAGTGCCCCGTTGTGCATCCACGTAGAAACAAGAGCAGGCAATGGTCCAAAATCGGAGACTGTGCCGTGAAGAGTGAGAACATGCGCATGCCTCAATCTGATCCACACAGCTACTTCGCGACGAAGTCTCTGTGAGCGGGCATTCAATGCTCTTCACATTACTGAATAAATGCTAGCATACCTTCTTCGCTTTTTGGATGGCTTGTTCATTGCGTATGTCCGTTATCCTGATAGATTTGACAGCAACCTGTCCAACAGATATTAGTCGGCGAGATTTGCAGGCTAACATCATATTAACCTCGGTAGATGTTGCTGGATCGATGGTCATTGAGCACTTCCAGATATCGCCTAAGTCACCAGATGACGTAGGATGATCTGTTTGCCGCGTGATGGATGTAGACGAAATGGCATATGGGTCCACATCGAAGGCCACTCTGTGTCTCATGTTTTTACATCTGGAATTTATGAGGAAATTTGCTCTTACGGCCGCTCTTCATGTGTACCAGGGGCAGCCGTCTGTAGTATAATTACCGCGCCGCTGCTATCTCATGAGGAAGTGTTTCATAACCCAGAGCTGCGCGAAATACCTACGGTGCAAGATTATCATCCACGATGTTGGATGGTATGGAAGGGTCGGGCGGCGCCTGGGCTTGTGGTGTAGAACGTTGAATCGGTGCATCTCTGTAGCCTGCATATTCAGTGCTATCCATCATGATATGGTAATTAGACATACGGCTGCGAGGTAGTGATATCGGATGCTGACACTGGTTCGTCTGGTATCGTCAACGGGCAGCTGTGATAGCATGAGAGACCATTTCTTCATGATTCCCGGTTGAAAGCTCACATTACGGAATCTGCGGTGGCGGCAGTGTCGTTTACAGACTTGTCGTTGCCGTTTTCGATCTGTCAACATGATGACAAGGTCAGTGATTGAATCTAATGACTGAGACGATTAATGCCCTACATTTTCAGTCTGCCGCTGAGGGCTTCGAAATAATGACGGGCAACAACCCATGGTACTGAGCAAAGGAGGTCTGCGTTGCGCTGAATCGAAGTGTCAGCAGGAGTGAGCAGGTTCCTTGAAGAACAGCTGACCGCACCTATTAAATATGAAGCCCCCATATCCACAACTAAATTTGCAAAGCGCCTGAGTGTGCGAACTCAGAAATTAGCGCTTAAACCGCATGCAGTGATCAAAGAACGGTCGAAAGCAATAATGCATACCTAAACTGCGTTGCTTCTAGATGCTAGTGCCCTGCCACATTGGTGCAATCATGGATGGCGTCCGAATCCAAACCTCATCATGATCTTAGATTTAGTCACTGGTATGGTTAGTTCTGTCCTGCAGGTGACCAGTGAGGCCTTGAGGTTCAAGCGAGGTTGCGCCACTGTGGGAATTCGTATTCCCTACCTAGTATGCATCGACACTATGCATGAGAGTAAGGCAAAAACACTTCATCTTGATGAAAGAAGTAAAAATACAAGTCTGACTTACATAAACTCAGTACACATCGTTCACATCATTTACTAGTGGTGACACATCTAAAAGAGACCCAGTCCTCGAGCCGAGTGGAAAAGTTGTCTGAGACAACGCAAATTTGGTTTAGTCAGGGCAGGTAGTTCGTAAGATCATATCCGAGAGAAACATACTATTTCAAGTGCTTAAGTAATTGCTACTGTAGTATTTAACAGTACATCAAAGGTAGAGGGTGAAAAATGTGTGAAAGTAAGATGGAATCTACAAATTGTGATCCAAATTTCATGTTTGAATGACTAACTCGAAATCAGACAGTATGAGTGTACTACCAGACCCCTGTTGCGACCTCCTGCAAACAACTAAATGATCCTTCCAACTGTTGAGACTCATCTTCTCAGCGTTGCTGAGAGAATCCAAGTAGGAACTGACAGTATTGAATGATTTTTGGTTCCCATCTGCTGAAAACTTATGCTTCGTGAATGTTAGTTGACCTTGTTCCAACAGTGTGCACTTGGTCATTGTGCATGTGAACAAAAATGCATGATGTAGTGCCTTGCAGGGTGATTCATGCTTGTTGAGTAGCAAGTGAAGCTTGTGGTTTGTGAGCCAAATCAGCTTGAGGAGAAGGGAAAAAATAAACTTGTTTTGGCATTTTTGATGAATAACAAGTGTCCCATCCTGAAGATTAATTAGATAATGATTTTGAAAGAAAAAGGTTAACATACTTCAGCAAATGAGTAATCATGCATGTATGCATGTGGAGTCTCTTGAATGAGATGATGTACTCAATTGATGCAAAATTGGTCTGGCAGAATATCAGAATCATGCGGCGGGAGAAGGTCATATGCCATCACAATGTTCTGTCATGCAATTGTCATCATCACTGAGCACACCACTGTCACTGCTCACCAAATTGCTGAGATGTCCTTTGGGATGGCTGGCCATTGAGTAAGGCCTAAGATTTGATCAGTATCACTTATAAAAATCATTGTTGAACTCACTGTGAAGACTCAGAACAGAAGGTACTGCTTTGTTAATGGTTTCCTTGATGATGCATTTTTGATCTGTGGGAGATGACACATTTGCATCAGGGGTAAATATGATTCCTTTGATGAGTTCTCTTGAGCAGCTATGGACTTGTTCATAGGCCGCCATACTGATCTTGGACTGGACTGTAGTTTCTGCCAAAGTTGCAGCCTCTGAAGACAGGCCTGCAGCAGTGGTGGAAGCAGGAGTGGGAGCATGCATTGAGAGCGAAGGAACTGAGTAAGGTGCCAATGTTGGTGTTGGGGGCATGTGTTGGGAGCGTTGATGTTGTTCAGAAGACCTCGCAGGGCCCAAAGTCTAGTATTATCATTGAGTGTGTTGTAAGATATAGAAAGAAAAGACTTACATGAATGACATTAGAATCTGGTATTTCATCTGCTGCTGGGTCATGTGTCAGTGCATGCCTGGCATCAACATCATCACCCAGCCAATGGGGAATGGGGCCAGTAAGGCGGTTGGGCACCATGGGCAATGTGCTTAGCACTGGTGTTGGTGCCAGGTTGGATGGGTTTGGTGCTGAATATGATAGATTCAGTGTTAGAAGTTTTCAACAATAAAGAATACAATTACATATGTGAGTTCAGTGATGGATTGTTAGAGTTGCTGTAGCCAGTGGTAGATAGGGAGTTGATGTAGTGGGTGCTAGACAGTGGATTGCTGTATCCAGTGCCAGACAGCGAGCTGCTGTATCCAGCACCAGACAGCAAATTGCTATACCTGCCAACATTTGAGGAACTTGGGTCACCTGAGTTTGCTTGGCTGGTGCTTGCAAATGAGTTTAAGCAGTTGTTGAATGATGAAGCTGAATAGCTGTGGTTGGGATTGGCTGTGCTTGGCCTGCAAGAAAATTCAGTGGTGGATGACGAGGTACATGATTAAACTCATGAATTGTGTGCATCAAGGGGGTACTGCTGGTGTGGATTGAAGTTGTCATTGGAGGTTGCAGCTGTTCATCAGGGAGGTTGATCTATGTGTCTGCATGTACATGGGAGGGATTGAGACTGGACCCTCAAGTGGGCTTTGGAATCATTGTTTTACCTTTGCACTGTGGGGGACATCTACCAGTCATCCAGGGAGTATCATAATCTGGGAAGAGGGCAAAGGGCACATTGATTATGATCTTGATACAAATGGAAACACACAAACAGACTATACATCTTGTGACTCAGTGATATACTTGTAACCGTGAGTCAAAGAAGCGGGAAAATGAAGGGGTAAGGATGTAAAAAATGGTGTGCATATGACAAACCAATACAGTCAAGAAGGGGGCATGATGAAAGAGCGATGCGTGTATTACAACATCCCTTATCAATTGATCAGTGTGGTATAATGAACATATGCACATACCCCACTTACCATGATAAGAAGGTCAATAGCCTAGGATGCAGTAGCCACACATGATGCTTCAGTATGGAAGCCAGGGTGTTTGGTATGATCTGCATGTGTTCCTGGATATATGGGGTCATCATCATCAAGAACCCTATAGCCAGTGGGTGATCCAGATCCATCAGCCCTGGATCTCACTGATGCCTTGTTGACATTGTCTTCATCATCAATAACCCCAGGTTGGGATGAAGGGAATCTGGGCCCTCTGACTCCAGATTGGAAAGCTTTGCTAACATGCAATCCTAAAACCTTTGCTACTTGCTCAGCTTAGGATGAGACAATCTTAAGGATTTCAAATTCATCCTCATAGACTGCTTGAAGGTAGTCTCTGTCATTGTCAACTTCTGTGCAGTCATGCTCAGAAAAGAGACTCCTCAAGCTGTCTAACTGATCTTCTGTGAGTTTGAGTTGGTCTTTGTTATTGACATGCATGGCATCAAGGAACACAATAAAGTGCTCAGCTTCTTCAATCTCCCCTGCTGTTGCCAGCATGCACTGGCGCACAGTCTCACAAGCAGCCAGCTGTGCTTGATATCCTTTGTACAGGGTAGAAGGACGCATTTGCCCAAGGCCATTTTCTAAGTGTCCAGCATGCTTTATAAAATATAAATGAGTCTTTGGGACTGGATAATATATGTGTGTTACCTTCTAAAGAGATTCACTGGATACATATGGCCTGCGTTCTCACCCCATAACATGAGCTGCAAAATGAACCTCAAGTGGAGCTGGATTGGGGGGGTATGGAATAAACTTCCTGCTTGTTCTGTCATATATGAACTGATGGCAAGTATTATGGGAAGGGTCTGGAGATGCAGATAGATCATAAAATAGGCTGCCTGACCTGTTAGTAGTGGAAGTTGGAAAAGTCATAGGTGGTAGTGTCCTCTCTGCTGAGGAGATGCCTTTGAGTGAAGCACATAAGTTGGAATGTCTGGTATCAGGGGAGCTGGCTGAGATGTGGAAGGAATCAAAAAGAGGTGACCTGGGAGTTGAAGAGCATTTTAATTGAGAGGACGATGGGTAGTCATATCCACATATCCGGATCTCAGATCTGACCCTTATCTCAGATCCACATCTTATCCCCCTCCAACATCTCATCATTCAATCTGTCCACTCGTCCGGTCCAGTCCACAACTCATCTGAATCCACAACCAGTGCTCATCTCTTTTCGGTAACCCCCTAACTCCAGTATTTCGGTTATCTGTATATCCGTCCTGCTCCCTTATCTGCTACCTATGTTTCATTTCTGTTTCATGATTTGTGATCCATTTCTACTTACCAATAGACTATCCACATGCTTTGTACATAGCCTCGGACTCTGCTGATTGATCATTCCGTTAGATACCTATAGTATATAACCTCCTGTAACTTTCTGTAGTACCTCAGTTTGAATATCATCTTAGTTCTACTCATTCCTGTCCTCCGGACTTGAGTACCTCTACTCTTGTCACCCTCTGAGACTTAGGATTGATTCCTATAGTCTATCCGTATCCGCCTCTGTCCCCGACAGTCCACTACTGTTAGTTTCTAGTCTGGACTTGTCTGGATTAGCCATACGATACTTATCCCTCATCCAGAAGTCATCCAGATCTGTTACGCTACTTGTCCGACCTTCTGGACGTGCTAGTCTTGCCTTCCTGAAATAAGGGGCAATACTTGGGTAAGGGGCACAGTGCACAAGCTGAGGCTGAAGCCCTTCAGATCCAGTTACCCTTTGAGTATGACCTTAACAGTATATTTGAACTCACACCTTACCGAGTATACTTACACTTCCTATGACTCCAACCAAAACTGCAAACACTCTCTGAGTGGCTGGATTAGTATCCGCCCACTGTGATTCTACTCCTATCGTCGACACCTTCAATAGCTTCTTGCAGCATCGTGTTAGTCAGTGTGCTACTGCCGGAAGCATTTCAGAGCTTCTGGGTCATCAACATCTGGAGACCCCTACATGGACTCCAGCCCTAGCCCCTCTGGGCCAAAGGGATCCGGATGACGATGAAGTTGATCATGATACCCCTGGCAGAAACCTGCCGGATGGTAATGGTGGAAATCCAGACGATGATCCGGATGATGAAGACGATGGCCTGGGTCCACAGGATTGCGTTATGGTACTCCTATCCAGAGCTATCAACAATCTTGCCCGAAACAATTGTCGCACCACCCTCCCTGAAGATCCTAAAGTCAAGGTCCAGGAGCTGGATGTCTTTGATGGCACTGAGCCCCAGAAACTTCGTGCATTCTTTGTCCAGTGCGAGCTTAACTTCCAGAGCAAACCCAACACTTTCCATACCGGAAGGTCTAAAGTCAATTTTGCCCAATCCTACCTCAAAGGAATGGCCCTTGAGTGGTTCAAACCCAACCTCCTTTCCGACGAACATACCAATCATCCGGACTGGATGGATGACTATTCTGAGTTCATGCTTGAACTCCAGACCAATTTCGGACCTCACGACCCTTCCGGAGATGCGGAAATGCAGCTTGAACAACTCAACATGCGCGATGGACAGTGCATCAACAAGTATGTTGTAGAATTCCAATGACTTGCCTCTCAGGTCTGCGGATGGGGTGACGGAGCCCTATGCTGACAATTCTATAACAAACTTCCTGCTTGTATCAAGGATGAAATCAGTCGCATGGGGAAACCTGGCACACTCTCGGAATACAAAACCCTTGCACAGACCATTGATGCCCACTATTGGGAATGCAAGGGAGTGATCTCCCACGAAACCAAATCCTCCACACCCAATCCTCCTGCCAAGTCTTCCAAACAGACCAATGCCAATGCATCCGGATCCAGAAGCACTTCCTCTGGAAACAACAAATCTGGAAAGACAACTTCATCTACTACCTCCGCTTCTAAAGCTCCGGACCTTAACAACAAGTTGGGTAAGGATGGAAAGCTTACATCTGAAGAACGTCAGAGAAGGCTGGACAGGAAGCTCTGCCTGTTCTGTGGTGGACCTGGGCATACTGCTCAGGACTGCACCAAGTCGACTTCACGTGCTACCAAAGGTTGCGCAGCTACAGTCAATCCAGAAACCAAACCGGATGCCTCAGACAAGGCGAAAAATAATCCGTGACCCTCCTGACTCTGCATGGGATGAGGGTCGTGTTGACTCAACCTGTGCAATGGAGCTATGACTCAACACTGTTTCCTTGTCCGATCCGAACTCTCTCTGTCCATATGTTTCCATCCCTACGTATTCCAATATTTCTGACTTCCCAGCTCTTGTAGATTGTGGTTCCTCCCATTGTTTCATAGAATCCGACTTTGTCCATGAATATAATTTACCTACCTATGCAATTCCTCTGATTCTGCTCTGTTTGTTTGATGGTACTTGTAATGCAACCATTTCTGAAGCTATAGATCTGCCCATCTGTTTCTCGTCCGGTGTAGTCACCTCCAATACATTCTATGTAACTCCTTTGGATTCATCCTGTCTTATTGTCCTTGGATATAGCTGGCTTAACTGACACAATCTGTTGATTGACTGGGTTTCGCACAGCATCGAGTTCTGGACTTCATCTCATGGAATGCCATTGACCCCTCTGATATCACCTCTGCCACCCCCAGTGGAAACTACCCCTCCAACTACTCCAGACACCTCCGCTGATACCTTCAAGCCTAACATTTCTCTAATCAACGCAGTTGCCTTTTGCCGGGCCTGCAAGTTAGAAGGCTCCAAGCAGTTCAGCATCTTCCTATGTCCTTCTGGTGTCAAGATCCGCTCCGTATCCACTTCATCCAATGCTCCGGATCTATCTGCGATCCCTCCGGAGTATCATGAATATGTGGATGTCTTTGACAAGGGAAAAGCTAGCCAACTTCCTCCTCATAGGCCTTACAACCTAAAGATCAACTTAGAGGAAGGTGCTGCTCTGCCCCTAGGCACCATATATTCCCTTTCCCTGGTTGAGCTTGAAGCTCTCCAGAAGTTCCTGGATGAAAATATCTCATCCGGACTCCTCCGCTCCTCCTCCTCTCCGCATGGAGCCCCTGTCCTGTTTGTCAAGAAGAAGGATGGCTCCCTGCATCTTTGTGTGGATTTTTGTGGCCTGAACAAGATCACCAAGAAAGACCGCTATCCATTGCCCCTCATTACCGACCTCTTAGACTCTCCGAGCTGCACCAACGTTTACACTAAGATTGACCTCCAGTCCACTTACCATCTCGTCCAGATATCTTCCGGAGATGAGTGGAAGACAGCGTTCCGGACGTGCTATGGCTCCTATGAGGTGTTAGTTATGCCCAAGGGTCTCACCAATGCTCCAGCAGCTTTCCAGTGTTTTGTCAATAGCATCTTCGCCGATATGCTTGACATATGCATTGTGGTGTATCTGGACGACATCCTCATCTATTCCCATGACCTTGCATCCCATAAGCAACACATCTGAGAAGTACTTTGACGACTCCGGAAGCATCAACTCTATGCCAAACCAGAGAAATGCGAGTTCCACTCTGATTCCGTAGAATACCTTGGTTATCTCCTGTCTCTGGAAGGCCTTACTATGTCATCTGATAAAGTCAGAGCTATCGTTGACTGGCCAGAGCCATGGAAGGTCAAGGATGTTCAATCCTTCCTCGGATTCACAAATTTCTATCATCATTTCATCTTCAACTACTTGGACATCATCACCCCACTCACCCAGCTTACATGCAAGAATGTTAACTGGGATTTTTCGGAGGATTGCCGGAAATCATTTGCTGCACTCAAGAAAGCCTTCACTTCCACTCCAGTGCTTATGCACTGGATTCCGAACATTCCTATTGTTGTTGAAACTGATGCCTCTGATTATGCTATCGCTGGAATACTGTCCATTGTATGTCCAGACTCAGAGCTTCGTCCAGTAGTGTTCTATTCTAGAACCCTGTCCGCTCCGGAACTCAACTATGATACCCACAACAAGGAACTCCTAGCCATATATGAAGCTTTCCGGACCTGGCGACACTACCTAGAAGGCTCGTCCGAGCCTATTGATGTTGTCATGGACCATAAGAACCTTGAGTACTTCGCAACCACCAAACTCCTCTCTCGCCATCAGGCACGTTGGTTGGAGTTCCTCCACCAATTCAATCTCATCATCCATTTCCGTCCCAGAAAACTTGGAGCAAAACCAGATTCCCTCACTAGACGCTGGGATGTCTACCCCAAAGAGGGGGATAAGGACTATGCTCAAGTTAACCCTCATAATTTCTGTCTGGTGTTCATGTCTGAACAGTTAGCTTCGTCCCTACGAGCATCAACCCTAGCATATCCGGTGCTCTGAGCAGCTGTACTCATGGATGTTGACCAACTCTGAAACAATATCCTATCCGCTCTCCCTAATGACCCTATCATGTCCGCTTGGATGTCCAGTCCTCTGGATCCCAGATGGACCACGGACAATAGTGGTTTCCTCCGTTGTGACAATTGTATATATGTCCCTGATTCCAATGACCTCCTACTTCGCGTCCTCTGGAACACCCATGACCATCCCTTGTCTGGACACTTTGGCCAGAACCAGATGCTAGAACTCATCTGACGTGAATATACCTGACCCGGAATACGCACCTATGTCAAAGACTATGTTAAATTGTGCACCACTTGCGCCTGAGCCAAGGTTCCGAGACATAAGTCATATGGATTGCTCAAGCAACTTCCTGTTCCAGAAAAGCCTTGGAACTCCATCTCCATGGATTTCATTGAACAACTTCCGGACTCCTCCAGCTTCACAGCCATCCTTGTCATCATAGATCGTCTATCCAAGCAAGCAATATTTGTTCCAACCCACGACACTATCACCTCTCCAGACCTCGCTCACTTGTTCCTACTCCATGTGTTCTCCAAGCACAGTGTTCCGTCCCATGTAACCTTGGACCAGGGAACAGAGTTTGTATCCCACTTCTTCCGGTCCTTAGGAAAAGCATTAGATATGATCCTCCACTTCATGTCCGGATATCATCCAGAAGGGGACAGACAAACCGAGCATGCCAACCAAACCCTAGAACAATACCTCTGGATCTACTGTAACTATCAGCAGGATAACTGGTCGGAACTACTCCCCTTGGCTGAATTTGCATACAACAATGCTCCAAGTGCTACCACTGGAGTCTTGCCCTTCTTCGCCAACAAGGGATACCATCTGAACATATCCATCCACCTGGAACGCAACCTTTCCTCCGTCCGTGCACAGGAATATGCCATAGACCTCAATGAGCTTCACCAATTCCTCCAAGAAGAAATGACCCACACACAAGAATGTTATCAAGGACCTGTGGATGCAAGGCGGATACCAGCCCCAGACTTCAAGGTTGGAGATCAAGTCTTCATCAAAGCAAAGTACTTCTGTTCCACTTGCCCTTCCAAGAAGCTCTTGGAAAAGAACTTAGGTCCTTTTGACATTATATCCCGTCCCGGATTGCATTCCTTTACCATCTGACTCCTGGATTCCATGCAGTCAGTACATCTGGTCTTCCATGTCTCCCAACTGGAACCCGCAGTTCTGAACACCATCCCTAATTGTATCCAACCACCCCCACCTCCAATAGAAGTCGACAGAGAACCAGAATATGAGATATCCAAAATCCTAGACTCTAAGATGGACCGCTGGAGACGACAATGTCAGCTTCTCTACCTCATCCAGTGGTCCAGATATGAAGGGACGGACGAAGAGATGTCCTGGTTACTAGCCATGGAACTTGGTAATGCATTGGATCTAGTTTCAGTATTTCACTCTTCGTATCCAGACAAACCCGGTCCAATTGCATTACAATGAGTACAGAATCAGATACAAGTACATTAGGGGTAGAAGTGGAAATCCAGAGCTCCTCACCCATCAGTCTCCATGTCCCCTCCAGATCCTCCAGCCTCCTCCTCAACATCCTTGTCAGCATCATCTGGAGTGGAGGCATCTGCAATCCAGAATCCATTCCAGATCCCCTCCAGGAGGATGGACTGGAAGTCCCTCTGCTGCTGGATGAAGTCCTCCATGTTAGTATTCATCCGCTCCATCACCAACCTACTCCCTTCCGCAGCTCCAATACTCTCCTGGAGAAGCCCATTGGTCTGGGCCAGTTCCACTACTATGCTGTTGGCAGCAGCAACCCAGGCCTGATCATCATACTCCACACTCCCCTCATCCGTCTCTATTCCGGTCTGCGGATTGGAAGCTTCCTCCACTTCCAGTTCCTCAGGGGTAGGGCTCCTCTGATGTCTCTTACCCTTGGATTTCAGAGATGGAGTCACCACAGCGCGCTGCCTCTTCCGCCTCAGTTCCCTGGGCTTGTCCGCACTTCCAGGACAGGAGACCCTATCGATCTTGCAGATGTTGCAAGACTTGATCTATCCAGATATCAGTACACCTAGTTCTGGACATCCGCGGCAAGGAATATCTCACCAGCGCATTGGACTTGGCATCCTCCCAGGAGCACGCCTTCTTCTTACTGATGCAACGAGTGCAGGGAGCATCCTGAGCTCCGGACATAGAAGTGGACTGGGACTAGCATACCCCTCAGTTTTGGATCTGATAGAGTTAGCATCACTCACCCTCCTAGCCACCTCAGCCCTCCACCTCTCTTCTTCCTGCACTACCCAGAGCTCGGACTGCTCAATCCACTTCCTCTCCTCCTCACATTTCTATTCTGCTTCCTGATGCATCCACTCTGCTCCTCTTCCTCTTCCTCTCTCTGAGCTGCAGCCTCCGCGAGTGCCATCTGGCGCTGAAGCTCCACAAGGGTCTCCCTAGCGGATTTCTGACCACTGGATTTGTTGCCAGACATGATATTCAAAAGCTAGTATGAGTGGGTAAAGTGAGGGAAGGAAGGAAGACCCAGGACTGCTTTGACATCCATATATCTGTGGAAACCAGAACTCACAAACTCCATCCATCAGCTTCTCCATTAATTCTCACCCTCATATTGTCTGGTCCGGATCGTCAGATCTTGTGCCTCTAGGGATCGGCCCTAAAGGGGGGATACTGTCATATCCGCATATCTGGATCTCAGATCCACCTATCTCAGATCACATCTTATCTCCGATGCTATCCACATCTTATCCCCTCCAACATCTCATCATTCAATCTGTCCACTCAGTCTGATCTGGTCCACAACTCATCTGAATCCACAACCAGTGCTCGTCTCTTTTCGGTAACCCCCTAACTCCAGGTATTTCGGTTATCTGTATATCCGTCCTGCTCCCTTATCTGCTACCTATGTTTCATTTCTGTTTCATGATTTGTGATCCATTTCTACTTACCAATAGACTATCCACATGCTTTGTACATAGCCTCAGACTCTGCTGATTGATCATTCCGTTAGATACCTATAGTATATAACCTCCTGTAACTTTCTGTAGTACCTCAGTTTGAATATCATCTTAGTTCTACTCATTCCTGTCCTCCGGACTTGAGTACCTCTACTCTCATCACCCTCCAAGACTTAGGATTGATTCCTATAGTCTATCCGTATCCGCCTCTGTCCCCGACAGTCCACTACTGTTAGTTTCTAGTCTGGACTTGTCCAGATTAGCCATACGATACTTATCCCTCATCCGGAAGTTATCTGGATCCATTACGCTACTCGTCTGACCTTCCGGACACGTTAGTCTTGCCTTCCTGAAATAAGGGGCAATACTTGGGTAAGGGGCACAGTGCATGAGCTGAGGCCAAAGCCCTTCGGATCCAGTTACCCTTTGAGTACGACCTTAACAATGGGGGACTGCTTGATGGAGGGGGGCAACTGCTGGATTGAGTTGGAGATGAAGATGGAAGTGAGGGGGACATGCTAGGTCAATGAATGACTGAATAAAATCACCAGTGTGTATGAACTAATGTTTGTGAAACTGTGTCTCTGGCCTTAGTGCAGACTTGAGACTTGGATATGCTGTGAATACAACTCTGCACACTATGCAGTAGAGTTTGAAAGACTTGGTGAATTCTGACTGTAACATGGAGCCCATTGCCTACAGCAAATGTGTGTATCATTTGCTCTCATTTATCATTTCAGTATACTTATTAATGTGCACACCTTTGCCAGGCTGTGTCCCAACTGCAATGGGGATTTCCCTTCCATTGAAGCTGTTGTTCTGCATCTCAATTCCCAGTCTACCTGTTGGCTGCATGAAGCATGTCCACAGCAATTGCCTATCCCCCCTGTATTCTGAGATTCATCAACATCTGATACCACTGGTCACTGTCATCCTCATTCTGGATATGTCTTCAGTGTTGGAAAAAACCTATTTGATAGGTTGCAGGAAGATTAATATAATTATCAGCGGGAGATCAACACTTATTATTCTTTTCATGATGAGGGGGAGTGGGAACTAGCCAGGTTCTTGGTCAAAAATCTGAATCAGACTCAGGTTGACAAGTTCTTGAAGTTGAAATGGGTAGAAGATTCTGAGCACCTTTCAACAAGTCTGACTCTCCTTTCACAGTTTAACACTTGCTCAAAACCATCTTTCACCTCAAAAGATCAACTTCTGGACTGGGTAGATGTGCTACCTTGCTTTGCAGAATGGAAAGTCTCACACCTAGAGTTTACAGGCTACAAGACAATTCATCCCATTCAACTCATTTGGCATGATGGTTTAGAGGTCATTAAACAACTTTTCAGTGACCCAGTTTTCACCAACCATATTACCATCCAGCCACACAGAGTCAATGTCAGGAATCAGTGCAAGTATGGAGATTATATGAGTGTGGATTTGGCATGGAAAATTCAGGTCAGTTTGCCCTCCTCAGTCTATGACTTAAAATATTGATCCCATATAGGACCACCTCCCATTGGACGCTATGCAAATCCCAATCATCTTAGGGTCTGACAAAACTCCTGTGACGAGAACCACTGGAGGGCTTGAGATGCACCCTGTCTTCATCACTATTGGCAATCTTGATTCAGATGTTTGATCCAAGGCCACACTTTGAGCTTGGTGCTGTATTGCTTACATGCCCATTGCTAAGTTTCATGTGTATCCTGATTATCAAACCATTCTTCAGGTGTGGCTGTGGCATAAATGTGTCAATCTCATCTGTGCCAACCTTAAACTGGCAGCCAAGACAGGTTGCTTTATGTCTGATCCTTCCAGATTCATTTGTTATGTCTTTATACCACTTGTTGCTCATGTATGCGACCTGCCAGAGGCTTGCATGATTGCTGCAGTCAGCAAAAATGCATCTCCTCTAACAATGGCATTACAAGAAAATTTTGGTGATGGAGTTCTCTACCCTCCTCATACAGGGCAACACACACTTCAACTCATCTATGAGATCTCCCAAACAATTGATGTTTGGGATCTCGACAAATTCCAGAAGGCAGCCAAAGCTGTCCATCTCTCTGGAGTCCATATGCCATATTGGCATGATTGGAGGTTTGCATATCCATCTGTCTTTCTCACTGGCAAGATCTTGCATACCTGCCTCAAATTCTTCACTGACCATCCACTCAATTGGATCAAGGAGGTAGTAGGAAAACCTGAGCTCAATGCTTGCTTCATCACTCAGCATAAGCAGGTGGGAACATGCCACTTCACCAAAGGTATCACACATGTCAACCAAATGACAGGCCATGAGCATTGCAATATCCAATGCACCATTGTTGCTTCAATTGCAGGTGCCACTCCACCTAGATTTATTCATGCAATTTGTGCCCTCATTGAGTTCATATATCTTGCCAAAAATCTGCTTCATTCTGCAGAAACCCTATGTTAAGGTCGCATGCTTGGGGGGGTTGGATCACAAGGGCTTGGCCTCAGCTTGTACGCTGTGCCCCTTTCCTGAGTATGTGCCCTTAATTTCTGAGGGCTAGGACAGTCGTCTGGAGTTTCCAGGATTTGACTGGGGCAGATAATGGACGTCCGGATCTGAGATGTGAGATAAATCCGACAGACGTCCAGATGTTACCTGGGCAAGTGGATAAGACTAATCCAGACGAAGTCCGGACTAGAAACTAACAGAGGATGGACTACCCTGGGGTAGAGTCAGAAATGTAGTCTAGGATGCAATCCTAAGACTTGGAATATGACAAGAGACTTATCTCGAGTCCGGAGGACACAGGAATGAGCAGGAACTAAGATGATATTTGAACTGGAGTATTTCCGAGAGTTACAGGAGGTTTATATACTGTAGGTATCATATAGGAATCAGTCAGCAAACATAAGGGCTATGTATGAAGCATATGCAGAGTCTATTAGTAAGTGGGACGGATCACAAATAATGAACACCAGAAATGAAATGTATGTAACAGATCAATAATCAAAAGGGAAACATGGTTAACCGGAGTCCGGAGACAGGGGCAGTCTAAATGGAGTTGGGCGCTGATATAGGGTTTGGATTCTGGAAGGGAGATAAAGATAGATCAGATCATTTGAGATCTGGATCTTGGATCTGGATATCCGGAGAAGTGGATTTAGAGTTGAGAGTCTGGAATGGCATATGACACCCTACTGTCAATGATACAGGCCCTTGCAGACTTTCATGCAACCAAAGATGCTGTCATCAAGGCCCAGGCAAGGAGGGGAAAGAAGGGTGCTAAGGAAGATTTTTTTATTCCCAAACTCGAGCTCCTACAAAGCTTCAGAGGTACAGTCGAGAGACTAGGCACTTTGATGCAGTTTTCGGCAGATATGACAGAGTGCTTGCTCATCACACACTGCAAGGATCTCTTTGGACAAACAAATTGGCAAGTCAATGACTTTGTGGAGCAGGTTGTATGGATTCTCAACCGCCAGGAGTCAATGGAGTTGTTTAACCTGTATGTGCTGTTATGTTCTTGTGGCACATCACTTGTCAATGTAATATCCATTGAAGACAAGGCAGTGACAACTGTCAATCCAGCGCTCTCCTGGGTTTCTCATGTCCTCCCTGATGAAACACATTCCATTCATGGACCTTGACCAGTTCATAATCATTTCCTCAAGGGCATTCTTTCTGAAGATGCTCTCACTACCTTTCATCTAATGTTGACACTGGATTTCAAATCATTGTCACCCACCAATATTCATACCATATATTCACTCATCGACTTCAATAACACACTCTCTTAGTGCATCAGATGTTCTTCTCTCTCCACTGATGAGCATACCCACTGGGACTACAGATACAGACACTTTTCCACATGGAAAAAATTTCAGTTGCAGCTTCATTCTGCCTTTGAGCCATGGTTGATCATGCTGAGCAGAGTGATACAAGCATATCCACCAGGTGATGAATTCCCCCTTGGAAACTGTGATAATGTCCTCATTGACATCACAGGCAATGATGGCCAAATCAGTATGTCTATTCTTATCTTCATGTTCCTACACTAATGAAAGTATATCATATTCAGCAACTCACATTACACAAGTTCAACTTATTTTTCAGCTGAATCTTCCACAAGCTTCTGACCTGGTCTTGCCATCATATCTATCCTGTTGTTAAGGTCATACTCAAAGGATAACTGGATCCGAAGGGCTTCGGCCTCAGCTCATGCGCTGTGCCCCTTACCCAAGTATTGCCCCTTATTTCAGGAAGGCAAGACTAACGTGTCCGGAAGGTCAGACGAGTAGCGTAATGGATCCAGATGACTTCCGGATGAGGGATAAGTATCATAGGGCTAATCTGGATGAGTCCAGACTAGAAACTAACAGTAATGGACTGTCGGAGACAGAGGTGGATACAGATAGACTATAGGAATTAATCCTAAGTCTCAGAGGGTGACAAGAGTAGAGGTACTCAAGTCCAGAGGACAGGAATGAGTAGAACTAAGATGATATTCAAACTGTGGTACTACAGAAAGTTACAGGAGGTTATATACTATAGGTATCTAATGGAATGATCAATCAGCAGAGTCCAAGGCTATGTACAAAGCATGTGGATAGTCTATTGGTAAGTAGAAACAGATCACAAATCATGAAACGGAAATGAAACATAGGTAGTGGATCAGGGAGCAGGACGGATATACAGATAACTGAAATACCAGAGTTAGGGGGTTACTGAAAGGAGACAAGCACTGGTTGTGGATTTGGATGAGTTGTGGACTGGACTGGACAAGTGGACAGATTGAATGATGAGATGTTGGAGGGAGATAAGATGTGGATCTGAGATGAGATAAGGGTTGGATCTGAGATCCAGATATGCGGATATGACACCTGTCCACTCCTCTACATTCAGTACTACCACTTCATTGCTGGTCCTAACAACCACCCTGAACTTGCAATGTGGACAGTAGAGTGATCATATGTGGAAGACCAGCATGGTAAATGCAGATGTGGTGATGTGATCCCATTGATGAGTGTAATGCATGCTATTGAGTTGATCCCAGAATATGGTGAAAAGGTAGATGAAAATATTTCTTCAGCTATTTGTTTGGAAAGCTATGACCATTTTTTTCTGAACACTTTCATGGATAAGGAGAGTTATCACATATTCAGTACAGAGTTTGCATAGTATCATAGCTCACAATGGTTTTGAATTCATGCATTTACTGCTGTAAAGCTTCACAAGTATCACTGCCCTAGTTTAGGGTTAGTCCAAAACCCTTGACAAGTATTAGTTTACATTGAAATATTCAGTATGACTACAGAAAAGTCTGTTCCACCAATTGCATCACTCCATCACTAGTGCTGTAAGCTCACCATAAGCATCAAACTTCTTTTCGACAAGCAAACATTATGGGTCTCTTGCTGATGCATGTAGCTTGAATATGCAGCATGGTGTGAGTAACACAACTTGGCTAGATACTTGGTAAAGTACCTAGCCAATATGTTGGGTCTTAAGTGCTGTACCTAGCTGCTATTTGACCCACAAGGGTGTCTGTACTAGACTCAGAGCTCAGAGAGTAGAAGAAATTATCATAAAATGGGTAGTCTCAGACTACAGGTAAAGAGTGAAAGGTAAGAGGTCATGCTTATATAAGCTGCAAAAATGCGAACATAAGCTAAAGAAAGTGGGGGTAGGTAAAGGTAATGAAAGTAAGTAAATCTAAGCCCAAGGAAAACTTGACTGTCACAATGGACATCATTATTTGCTGGAGAGTATGTATAAAACCAGCAGGCAGTGCAGGTAAGTGGGAAGCAAGCAAGTTGGACCCAACTATGTGTCATCACATTCCAAACCAGATAACCACATTTTGAGTTATCACTGCTCGGTCCATGGAGTAGATGAATTCTGAAATTTGATTACAGTGGAGCAGGTCAAGCTACCACTGCCTGCATGATCAGAGTGTTCTTCAATGAGTTGAGACCTACAATCTGTGCTCACAACTCACAAGTTCCTTGTCAGAAATTCCCCACCTGCATTACAATGACTAATGATTGAGATAAGGTTTGAATTGAACATTGTAATGTGTGTGACGTGATTGTAACACAGCTCGATGCTTTGCAAATGCACCCATAGATATGATAAGATTGATATGGACATAGTGATTTGTGTTCGTCTTATTCTAATGTAAGCATGGCTTATTTGAATCAAACAGGGCACAAATACAATCTGATTGTAATGTGACTATCACTGTCACATCATCTGTTCTGAACTGCCATCAAGCATTTCATCCCTCAGGATTATCTGAATTGCCTGGACCACACTATGTCAATCTTGCTCTGGCTCATCATTGGTAGGTGGGATTGTCTGTGGTCTTAACAATTTTGCTGATTATTCACTTCAAGTTGCTGATTACCTGAATCTTCTGAATCCTTAGACTGGACCACTGCTTTAAATTTGTCTGTATCATGTGTCAATGCATATTAATCTGGTGATGTAAGTTATTAGTGACTTGTTATTCATCCATATGTCATGTTCATCACAATGCAGTCTGCATGTTGCAACCGCATGTCAACTCCATATTCTGCCATCAACATCTCTTGCATTACCCCCACTGTACTCTACCTCAGTCCTGATATTAACATTGTACTGAATACTACCACAGCATGTCCGCACATCTACAATACATACAGGACAAAAAATGGCAAGTCTGTGATACTTGTGGATGCAGTTTCAAGCCAAAAGGCTTTGACAGTCACCAAAGAGCTTGTGAGCGATGTGCAAGAGAGTCTGAAGAAGATGCTGAGCAATGGGCTTTGGTCCCATGCATACAAGGTTCATCGTGGGTTGTTTTGCTAATAGTACGATTCTACTAACATTAATAACATTAATATTTACAGCAGCTGCTGTGCCAGCCTTATCAGCACAAGCTGCACATCACAATGGTGAGTTTTATATTTTTATATTTTAGGTCAATCTATAGCCTGCAATAGGGCAAGCTTGGATTGAGAATGGCCATGACTATGATCATGACAATGACCAATATAACACCAATGACATTGACATGTCGTCAGGTAAGTTGCCATCAGTCAGTCGTTATATAGTGTTCTGAATCTTGACTACTATCTTCCAATCTGTTAGATCACTCTGAGCCTGAGGATGTCCCTAGACATGCTATGGATGATATCCATACTGAATTCCACCAGCATGCAAGGATTCAAACATGTTGTGAAGAAGTAATTGGTACTAGGTGGTTAGCAACTAGCACTACTTATCCTAAGAGGCACAAGTTTAATTGACTGGCCTGAGAGGACTGCTATTGAAGCACTTCCTTCAATTATGTGTGAGGGAAGTAAGTGAGTGAAGGAGTTATAACCTATATTGGCCTAAGAAACTTGAATGCAGGCCATATGTATACCTCTGAATTCCTATACCAAAGAATCAACCGTGAGTGCAGGCAAAAATCAACCAATGTCAATATCACAGGAGTGAGATGAACCATTAGAAGATACATGTGAATGTATTGGATGTCAGATGCCGGTGCAGCAGATGTAACACACACAAAATCAACCGCACTCTATGGAGCAGCCAGTTGCAAGGGATATAGTGTGAGTGAAGAACAGGGCTAAACTACCTGTCACGGGTTGGGTATTCTTGCAAGAGCTTTAAGGGTAAGATCCTAGTGGTATGGAACTTCAGAGTGGTCAAATTGTGCAGGATTGTCAAGAAGGAGCAAAATAGATGGATAGTGCAAGGTCTACAAAAATAACGCAAGAACAACTCTCCTATAGAGCTGAGTCCAGGGGAAAGGGAACTACCCAATTGTATGTACTTCAGTTGTTTATATCATAGCATGTGAATGTCTGGAATGCATAGGCAAGAATTGTAGTGTAGTTAGTGAGCACACAATGAGTCTATAGGTAATAAAACATCATGCGCTGCAGAATGTGAGTAGTTGTGTAATAAGACCTGCAGCTTGTTTAGCAATGACATTTGGGAAAAATAATGCACCAGCGGAGATAGGTGGACATGGATAGGACATGGGAGGGCGGATTTCTGGGACTGGACCGGAGTAAGAGCGGATGGGTTGATATATATGGATTTAATGATCCATGCTTTATCTCCTTTTCTGAAGGTGAGAAGAACTGTGCTATTGATCATATGCACCTAGCGCTGGTATGATTGTCACATCTGTGAGAGACTCAAATACTGACTGTCCTCAGTTGGTTGTGCATTAGGACTTGGACTTGGCAGAATTTTTGCATCTATGAGGGCACATGACCATGGAATTCCAGGTATGGTAGAGTTCGTGGACCAGTTCTGGATTGAATAGAGATGTGGAGTGCAGAGTTCAGTGATTTTCACATGGACAATGGAAGAAGTGTGGACACATGGTGGATGTGATTGTGCTTCCCTATAAGTTCCTCTTACTTCTTTTCCTATCTCTCATCTCTACCATCAATAACATGTCTACCTTTACTTTTGATTTTTCCAATGTCGTTGACCCTGCTGCCGACAGAATCCAGCACACGTTCGCTGAGTTACATGCCTGCATGGTCAACTTGGCTGACCTTATGCCTGAAGGTCGACCTGATCTGATGGCTTGCAAGGAAGAGTGGTGCCGCAATTGGGTCAAGCTATTGGTGAGTGCTTTTTGTACCTTTGTGCACTTACTGCCCTTTCTAACAGTCTTTCAGGCTGACTTAGAAAGGTGCTCGATGGACAGCAAGACTCATAATTTGAGCCTTGCCCTCGCTCCTGAGGAGAGTGTGAAAGGTCATAAGGCCGAAGAGGTGCACATTTGCTTCCACAAGCAAATACACACTTTCAAGATCAAGGCCAAACACCAGGCTGAGGAACGCACATGTTTAGAAGAGGGGAAGTGGTTGAAGGAAAAAGGCAAGAGAAAGGAGAAGGAGGCCACTAGAGAAGACTTTGTGATGGAGGATGGCCAGGAAGAGGCTGGTGAAGACGCTGTGGGAGAGGCTGATGAGGAGGAAGAGGGATCAGAGACTCCCAAGCACCCTGCATGTGCTGGGATTCATAAGGACTCTAAGGCTGTAGAGCCTGTCCTTAGTAAGGCGAAATGCACGAGTATTCTCTGTCTTCTCTTTCAGTCGTTTTTGCTGAACTTGCTTGCTAGATGGTAGGACGTATAAGCATTCCCAAGGCCCATGTCTCACATAAGGACAAGTGCGACTGGTGCCTTAAGCATGATATCCCTTGCCAAGGTATGCCTGGTATGGGGTGCTTCACCTGCCAGGTAGCCAAGCACAGCTACAAGCATGCTATGCATCAGCGTGGCAGTAAGTTTTTCCCTTAGGTCTTTCTTCTCTATCTAACCTTTCTTTTCTTAGTGTGTCAAGCCTGGCTCCAGGCTGCGGCCAAGCCTAGCCTCAAGGCCACACGCAAGGCACCTTTGACTTCTGGTTCTGGCCCTACCACTGGTTCCTCTAAGGATATCTGTGACCTTATGTGCCACCTGGTCTCATCGCCCGAATCCTGTTACAGTCTCTGAGGATGAGGAACCCAATTCTCCTGTGTGCATTGAGAAGTGCAAGCTGCCTGGGGGTGAAGATCTGGAAGACTTCGACCCGCTTGTTGATGCGAATGCAAGCAATGAAGACTTGCTTATGGAGGGTCGGGTGTGCGCCCTCTATGCTAGGGTTCCCACTATGCATGGGATGATGCTGGAGGTGATGAATGAGTTGGACATTATTGTGATCCACTACAAGAAGAGAAGGCAGTTCCTGTAGATAGTTTCCTTTTCTTTTGACTTGAATCAATGCACATGTACATTAGAATACCCTTGGATGGCACCAAATGGAAGTGTTTTGACCGGTTGGAATCCTTGGGTGTGCGCCTTGAGTCCTAAGTGTCTGGTATCCATATCCCATGTCCATGTCCTATGTTCCAGTCCTACTCCACTGGGTGCCTAAGAGATAAGTAAGGTAAAATGAGCATGTGTGCGTGCTGCAGAAGAAGTGGAAAGATACATGTCACTTGCAGGTTTCCGCCCAGCTTATCTTCCTCATTGTGCTTTTGTCCTCTATCCCTGCTGTGTGGCAGTGCAGTCGAATCCTTAGTACATATCAATGTGTGTGGTGCGCTGCCTATGCATTCGAAGAGAATTTGTACAGTAATCATCAAGCACGTGTATAATCTAGTCCTTCAGCAATGTCTGTGTGTGATTAGAGTCTATGCATGGGTAGCGCATATCATATGTAAGTTACTGAGTGACTGGAATTGGGCAGGAAAGAAGGGAAATGAAACTGAGGCTATCGTACAAGGATGGTATGTTTTTGTGTTTTTCTGGTTTTTATGTGGATATAGGCTGATGTCTGATGTGAGTATGTGGGTATAGGGGCAGGTGTTGTGCATGGAGGTGTGGCTATGCCTCTGGGTCAAAATTGAGCACTTCATCATCTGGTTCTTCTACATCTTCTCCTACCAGGTTGTCCAATACTTCATCATCCAGGCCTGTAATACTAGTAATGGAGATTTTAGTTTCACTGCATGGAAGGTAAGGAATCAAGCAAAAGGCCGCAAAATGAAGCCTAGACACAGATCCATCTAGTTCTGACAAGATATATGACCTGCCCTTTGTGTGACGGATAACAATCATAGGTCCGAGATAGCACAGCTTTGTCTTTCGACTTAGCTCATACTCAACTTTGCTGTTGTGTACTAGAACAAAGGTACCGGGTTTGAAATCATAATCTGTAATTGAGTGCTGGAAGTGCTGCTTGAATTTACGGATGGACTGGTACTGGGCATTCTGGACTCTTTCTTTGATGGCTTTGAGATCTTCTTGTCGCTTCTGCAATTGGCGCACGCACCAGGCAACAAGGTCCGTGGTTGAGAATGTATCTTGGTCTGGGAGTGCTACTAGAAATGTGCCTTCAGCAAGATTGAATGGGAATATAGGCTCTATGCTGTGGACCATAAAATAGGGTGTTAGACCTGTCGCTTGGTGTACCATAACACGCTTGGCCCATAGGATGGCATGCGTGGATTGGTACCAGCGTGACTCATCCCCCTTGCAACTTTTCATGATGGCCTCCTGGACATCATAGTGACACTGTTCGATAATACCATTGGCTTTGGAGTTGTACGGTGAGATGTGAATCAGATGAATCCCATAGCATGCTGCTAAATCATCAACTGCTGCCTGGAATGTGGGTCCATTATCAGTAACAATTTCGGTGATAGGTCCCCACCTGCAAAGGAGCTCCTCAAATATGAATGCACCTAGAGACTTGGTGTTCTCTTTGTGTAGCATACACCATTCTGGGTATCCAGTTAGTGCGCACTGCACATGGGCTAGATGGTCAAATCCGCCCACTTTGGGCATCATCATACTATCTATATGCACCTTCCTGAATATGCCACCCAGGATGGGTATAGTTGGGGGAATGTGCAGTTTGCACATTTGCCTGATCTGGCATTCATGACACATCCTATTGTACCATTTGACATCATCAGTAATCATAGGCCACCAGAAATGTAGGAGAAGGCGGGCACGGGTTGAATATACTCCCTTATGTCCAAGGTCGTTGTGTGCTTCCTCCAGAATGCGAAGGCGGCATGCTTCAGGGACTATCAATTGGTGCTTTCCAAACGAGTTCTTTCACCATAATTTTCCGTCAAGTATAAAGTACCATACTGCGCTTTTGACAAATGACTGGTAGTCATCATTGGATAAGTCAGCAGGTCTTTTGCAGGTCTCTAGGAAGTGTTGGATTTCTATCATTCTTGCATCTCGCACTTTCGTGGCTTCTGAATGGGGGATGGTCGGGTTGGCAGGCTTGGGTTCTGTGGTACCTAGGAATGCGATGAGAGTGGGTGGACAGGTTAGTGGGTTTGGCATGGGTATGGGTGGCACATGATATCAGCTCCTGCACCTGAAATTGTGCAACTACAGTTGTTTAGGATTTCGACGCTGAATGAGTATGAGCAGTCAAGCCAATCCTTGTGGTCATTGTCCTCTGTGGGATCTAATTCTGCAGGTGGTCTCCTTGAGAGACTGTCTGCTCCAGTATGCTTGGAAGTGGGCACATGAATGAGCATAAAAGGAAATAACAATATACCTGCAATCCATTGGTTGATGGTTGTGTTGGGTTGGAGGTCCAGGTTATTGATCATGCCTTTTATATATTTCGCATTGACCTCAACCATTAGGTTGGTGACTCCGAAGATAAATATGCATACCACGTGGAGCGCACAAAATAGGCTGTAAAGCTCTAGCTTCGCTTGAGAGTAGCGGCTTTCAACTTCTGTGAGCAAAATTGAACTGAAGCGACTGGGATAGCATTTGCTGTTTTTGCCCATTTGAAGGAGTATGAACCCTATAGCAATGGAAGAAGTGTCAACTGCAAGGATAACTTCCCATCCACATTCATAATTGAGTGGTGTGGGAAACACAACAAGAAGAGAACTAGAAAGTAGACTTCTAATGTTGGGCTAAATGTGCTATGCCTAGCTGCTATTCAACCCTAAAGGGTTTCTGGACTAAGCTCAGTGCTCAGAGAGGATAGGAAATCATGCTAATAACTCTCAGTCTCAGACTGGTACTGGTAGGTGGTGAAAACTATGATGATTACATAAGCACCAAAAGTGCGAACATAACACTAAGTAATATCTGCCTATACAAGCCCACAGAATATGAAATCCCTACAGCGGTAGGAGTGTGGGAGACTCTAATATTGAGTCCTTCAGGGTCTGCATAGCTACCTGTTGTTCCTCATTTCATTCGAATGGTACATCCTT